CCTTGTTCGTCACGCTTCTCCATCAATCCCCAGAGCGGCAACAAGGCTGGCGGTACTGAGGGCCAGCATCAACACCAGACGTCTTAGGGCGTCGTTATAACAGGATGCAGCTTTTGGAATAAGGCTTGCGTCCAGCCTGGAACGCAGCTCGATGGCGCCACTGGTCATTAGGTCATCTGGATCCAGCTGTGGAAGACGCTGGATAACTAGGCCACGCAGCTTGTTGTTGAACAAGCTTTGGCTGATGGATACAAAAACAGTACCGCCGAGAAGCTTGCATACGGTTGTGAGCGACATTCCTGTGGGAATATCGGGCCGCCGGAAGCACGGTCTGTGCAATGAGAATGGGCTGTTGCCAGCCAAAGCCTTGACCGAGACCGTACAAGGTCAAGTAGCCGAAAATCTTAGCAACGCCCGAGTTGGGGGTCCACGTCGTGAGCAGGCCACAGGCAACGCTGACCACGATGACGCATAAGACCATGAATGGCGCTGAGTAGCCGCCTTTGGTGAGAATGTACCCGGTTATCATCATTGTAACCGTCATTCCTGCGATGAATGTCACGATATCGAGGCCGCTACGCACGGCGTCATGACCCTTGACGGCCTGGAACCAAAGAGGCACATAGTAGAGTATGCCAAAGTTGACGCCGCCCTGCGTAAAGGAATAAAACGACGCAAACAACATACTCCGCTGCCTAATTATTGTCCGCGGAATGGTAGCTACTGGGCCTAGGTGTGCTTGCCAAGCTATCCATCCGATAAATGTGACCCCGAAGAGCACTAGCAAAGCGATGATGCGTCCGTCTGACCATGAGTATGTCTGGCCACCCCATTGCAGGGCTAGAAGCAAACAGGTCAAGGCCACGACAAATATTACCATACCTGCTAGATCCAGTCGCTTGAGTTTCTCTTTAGGCGCCAGGCTTGCGAGCCGGGCCGATGTCTGCGGGGACTTAAAGAATGGTATCAACCCAGCGATCACGATGGCACCGAGGGGCAGGTTCATATAGAAACAACCACGCCAGCTTAGTCTTGAGGTGAACACACCACCTATGGGCGGTCTGTATGATAGCCGTTAGCAAGTCGTTCAATTTGTCTGAGGCACGAATGCTCACCCTAGAATGCTAGCAACGCCATACACTGTGCCAAGACAACTAGCATAGAGCGGCCGCTTCGCCAATGGGACGCTGAAGGCGATAGTGACGAAGCTGCCAGAGAAAACCCCTCCAGCGCCTAGGCCGGCAAAGGCGCGTCCCACGATGAAAGTGGTCGAAGTAGGTGCGACGGCGCACAACAAACTACCCACCTCGAAGATAACAATGGCCACAATGTACGTCGTCTTAAGGTCATAGAAAGTGTATACCCGACCCCAGGAGATCTGAAAGGCACACATGGTCAGGAAGTAGGCGGAGCCATACCAACCGACATCCTGGGTGGTTTTAAACTCCTCCGAGATGGCTGGAATTGCTGTCGAAACAATGGTCGTGTCCTATTCGGGCCCATTAGCAGTTAAAGCTTAGTCTGCCATAACTCGAGATGCGGTGCAAGTACCAAAGCCTGGAGGAGAAGCGCAATGCATGCGAAACAGACAATTAAGGCCAGCCGGGGCCCTGTGGGCAGTGATGGCGGTGTGGCGGTTTCCGTCATGGCCCTTAGTTGAAGGGATAGGCATTAGTCGCTGGCTCGAATCTGTAACCTCAAACCCTTGACTCACATTTTATTATTCTTTAACACTAGGAGAAGAGTCGATGCTATTCTTGATCAAAACAAGCGCTATAGAAATTTGTCCCAGTATCCGATGCTATTATCGGCAGAAGAGCTAGAACGGCACGACTTGTTTTGATATTATGGGTCTACTGTTTTTTAATAAATGATGCAGCGGTTGGTTTTGCCCTAGAGTTGACACAATACTAGGTACCTGGCCCCCATCGGTGATAACGTTATTATCATATTACTAAATCACTTATGTTGGGGCTCCGGTCGTGGCAATGTCCAGACCCGCATACCTTTGTCTCTCCATGAACACCGAGTGCCGTCTAGGGTTGGAAATGCCCGCCTTGGCTTCAGCTCATACATGGTGAGGTGGAACTTGACCAGATACCCGGGATCCGGCTAGGGGGCCCATTAGAGCGGGCTTCGGGTGTCGGGCCTCTCCCTAGACACTGTCCTAATACCAGAAGATAACACTGACAATGGAGAATGTGGTTATGCTATATATGGAAAGGTTGAGCCTTCGGCTGCCTCATAACCCTTCTTGCAGTGTAGATCACCTCCATTCTTTCCACCTTGATGATACTCTCCCCAGCCACTAGAGCGTGTGGAGGTAGTATGAAGAGCCAAGAATGCCTCTGTCTCTTTGGAGACCAGACCAATGACTTCGTTCCTGGCTTGCGCCAGCTGCTTCGAATTAAAGATGGCCCTTTACTTTTATCCTTCTTTGAGAAGACGCACATTACATTACGGCAAGAGATCACCCGGCAGAGTCGTGAGATCCAAGAGTTACTGCCGCGCTTCTCCGGGATAGCCGACCTACTCGCCTCTTATTCAACGGACCTAGACTCTACCCCTGTCCTTGCTAGTACTTTGACGGCAATTTACCAGCTCGGTAGCTTCATAAGGTATGATAGAGTCTGGAACCCATACTCCTTTCTTTATAGATTCTAACATTAATCAGCTACTATGGAGATGGCTCCAGGCCATATCCTACAGGCCAAAGCCACACCCTGATTGGCCTATGTACAGGCCAGCTCGCCGCATGTGCCGTTGCATCCGCGTCTACCGCAGGCGAGCTTGTGTCTTTGGCAATAGAGGCAGTGGTAATTGCATATCGCACAGGCCTCCACGTCACCAAAACTCGTCGACTTCTAGAGAACGATACCGATAGGAATAAGAATTGGTCCTATATAGTTCCGAAGTTGCAGGTCGACCTCGCTGCTTCACGGATCGAACAGTTCTCCCAATCAGCGGTAAGCCTCCCTCTTTCTCCTTCCATACAAGGATGTTTTTAATTCTATAGCCTAGCTAACGATAAGCAGAACTTACCCATTGGATTCAGGCCATTTATTGGAATTGTAGCTCCGTGCAGTGTTACTATTTGTGGCCCTCCTAGGGTCCTGAAAGACCTCTTTAACTCACCCATCATGGGCGATGTTAAGCCTATCCCGGCCCCAGTTTTTGCTCCATATCACGATTCTCATCTACACACCGAATCAGATATCGAAGAAATTCTAGGAACCCTCCCAGAGACAGCCGCCAAGACCGCCACGAAACTTCCCGTTGTCTCCAGCGTTACGGGCGAGCACATCCGGGCTTCTACCTTTGGGGCTCTACTTCATACGTCGCTAGGAGAGATTCTTAGGGAGCCTCTCCGCCTGGATATAATCACTAAATCCATTAATACTGCTGCCCGAGCGTCTTTATGCGCTCGGTGGGTTATCTTGTCAGTTGGCACGAACGCTTCCCAGAGTCTGGCTAGCGCTCTCAATGAGATTGAAGGCATCTCCGCCAAGGTCGAAAACATAGAAAGTACCCCAAACCTTGACACACCACATTTGCAAACGAGGTGTAGTGGGCGGCCAGAACAATCCAATATAGCTATCATCGGGTATGCAGGGAGATTTCCTGAGGCCGCAGATGCAGACAGTCTTTGGAAGCTCCTCTGCGAAGGACGGGACGTTCACCGTGAAATCCCACCCGACCGATTTAATCTCAACACACATTACCACCCGACCGGAAAGAAGAAGAACACCTCGCAAGTCCGATATGGTTGCTTCATCAACGAACCCGGCCTTTTCGATTGTCGTTTCTTTAATCTTTCTCCCAAGGAAGCGGACCAGAGCGACCCCGGCCAGAGACTCGCTTTACTGACCGCCTACGAGGCCCTCGAGATGGCCGGCGTTGTCCCAGATAGGACTCCCTCCACCCAACGAGATCGAGTAGGCATATTTTACGGCATGACTAGTGATGACTGGCGAGAAGTTAACAGCGGGCAGAGTATTGGGACCTACTTTATCCCCGGTGGCAACCGCGCGTTCACACCAGGGCGTATTAATTACTACTTCAAGTTCTCTGGGCCCAGTATTAGCATTGATACAGCCTGCTCATCTAGCGCTGCTGCCATTCACATAGCCTGTAATTCTCTTTGGAGGAACGACTGTGACACTGCTATTGCCGGGGGTACCAACGTCATGACTAACCCCGACAACTTTGCTGGCTTGGACAAGGGCCACTTCCTATCTCGCACCGGAAACTGCAAGACGTTTGATGATGGAGCTGATGGATACTGCCGGGCAGATGCTGTCGGGACCGTGGTTCTGAAGAGGCTTGAGGACGCACTGGCCGACAAAGATCCCATCCAGGCTGTAATTTGCGGCGCCTACACCAACCATTCCGCAGAGGCCGAGTCCATCACTCGCCCACACATTGGCGCACAGTCGGCCATTTTCCGTCACGTCCTCAATGATGCTGGCCGTGATTCTCTGGATGTGAGCTATATTGAAATGCATGGTACAGGAGTAAGTCATAACAAGCCTCCAGTAGCGTCTTGAAACTGACACTTTGAGTAGACACAAGCCGGTGATTCAGCAGAGATGCGGTCAGTCCTAGATGTCTTTACGGGCAGCCAGTCTGGCCGCACTGCGGAGCGACCACTATATCTTGGTTCCGCTAAGGCCAACATCGGCCATGGCGGGTCGGGATCCGGTATAACATCACTCATAAAAGTGATACTGATGATGAAAAACAGCATAATTCCGCCTCACTGTGGCATTAAGACCAAGCTCAACTCCAGGTTTCCGGCAGATTTGAAGGAACGCGGTATCAATATCGCTTTAGAAGCGACGCCATGGCAGCGACCGGCGGGTGGTAGGCGGATGGCCTTCCTCAACAACTTCAGCGCGGCTGGCGGGAACTCGGCGCTTCTTTTGGAGGATCCTCCTGCTGAATTCGAGCTCCAGGCATCGGCGGACCCTAGGAGTTTCCACGTAATTACTGTGTCAGCCCGAAGTAGCCAGTCGCTTCGCCAGAATGCCAAGCACCTTGCAGAGCACCTCCGAAGAAACCCTGAGATATCTCTTGGGAGCCTTGCCTACACAACGACAGCTCGCCGAATTCACCATAACTATCGGCTCTCTGTTACTGGGCGGACCATCACCGACGTGAAAACCGCTCTAGAGAAGTCTGCTAGTTTGGACATCCGACCTGTGCCCCGGAAGATCCCCGGGGTCACTTTCGCGTTTACTGGGCAAGGGTCAATCTACCAAGGGATGGGAAAGCATCTCTTCGCTTCCTTTAGCGTCTTTCGTGAGGAGCTGCGGCGCCTAAATGGCATTGGCAGAAGTTTCGGGTTTGATTCGTTCATGGCCCTGATCAACGACAGTACAACTTATGAGACAATGCATCACTCCCCACAGGCGACGCAGCTGGCCTTGACCTGCTTTGAGATCGCGCTAGCTCGGCTCTGGGAGTCATTTGGGATTGTTCCCAGCCTGGTGGTCGGACACAGTCTCGGCGAATATGCGGCTCTGCACATTGCTGGGGTGCTCTCGGCTCGCGACGCCGTGTTCCTAGTTGGGACACGAGCTCGTATAATGCAGGATCGTTGCTCAGCTGGAACCCACGTTATGCTCGCTGTCAAAGCCCCCGTAACCGCACTCACCCAAGTCTTGCAAGACCATCGCCTAGAGGTTGCGTGCATTAATACGCCTGATCAGACTGTTGTCACTGGCCCTATGGCCGATGTTGACCGCGCCCAAGAGGCACTAGGGTTGTCTGGTATCAAGACAAGCAGATTAAAGACCAATTTTGCCTTCCACAGTTCTCAGGTAGAACCAGTCCTCGACGAATTTCAGAAACTCACTCGTGGGATCAAATTTGGGAAGCTCACGGTACCCCTTCTCTCGCCCCTATTGGCAGCTGTCATCACTTCAGAGGACCAGCTTGGAATAGAATATCTCACCCGTCATTGCCGTGAGATGGTTAACCTTGCCGGTTCTATCCAATCTGCTCTCTCCCAAAAGATCGTATCCGAAGACACGATCTGCTTGGAAATTGGACCAGATCCCGTTGTTATAGGAATGTTGAAGGCTAGTATTGGGTCATGCACCAGAACAATTGCCTCTACCCGGAAGAGTGAGGGCCTTTGGGCAACATTATCTAATGCTCTTCGGACCCTCTATCAAGCTGGACTGGATATTCAGTGGGGAGAATACCACCGAGACTTCGACGCATTCCAAAATATTGTCCCGCTGCCCGCTTACCAGTGGGACTACAAGAATCATTGGATCCAATACGTCCATGACTGGTGCCTGGCCAAGGGAGACCCTCCTGCCGCCATAACCGAACCTCAAAAGCCTCCAGCTACACCCGACTTCTTGTCTGCTACGTGCCAGAAGATCCTGCACTTGGAACATGGATCAAGCAAATCGTCTGTGCTCATAGAGTCGGACATCTCTCATCCCGACTTTCGGGCCATTTTTGAGGCACACAAGGTGAATGGCGCAATGCTATGTCCTTCTTCCGTCTATTATGACATTGCTGTAACTCTGGGCAACTATTTGCATAAGTCCAATCCTATAAAGGCTAACCGCGGCGTCGAAGTTGCCGACATGGCCACCACAAAGCCTCTGCTTATGCAGACCCCAGGAAAGTCGGAACTCTTCCGTACATCCGTCGAGGCCGACTGGGCCTCTCAAACAGCTAGCGTTGACTTCTACAGTCTTGACTCGAGCGGTGAGAAAGCAGTGGAGTATGCCACCTGTATGCTTCGATTCGGAGACTCTGATTCCTGGGTATCTGAATGGAAGCGTATTGCGCATCTTGTACAGTCGCGGATGAAAAAACTGCGGGATGCCGCCCACAACGGTAGCTCCCATCTAATCAAGCGTGGAATAGCGTACAAGCTGTTTGAAAACTGTGTCGAGTATGGACAGGGCTTTCAGGGAATTGATGAGGTCTATCTAGATAGTAAAGACCACGAAGCCACGGCCCGTGTCACATTCAAGGATAAAAGCACATGCTTCTATGCCAACCCTTACTATATTGACAGTCTCGGCCATCTATCGGGCTTTATCATGAATGCTACAGAGTCGTTCGACTATAAGTCGCATGTGTTCCTTAACCATGGTTGGGAATCAATTCGATGCGCGGTTAAGCCCTCCGCTGAAGGCACATATGACACATACGTCAAGATGGAGTCCTTGGACGGGAAACGATACGCTGGTGACGTCTATATTTTCCAGGGTGATTCTATCGTTGGTGTAAACCAAGGCGTGGCGGTAAGCATATACGAGGGCGTCTTCCCAACAAGCCTATATGTCTATTGCTAACTTTTTCTTAGTTCCAAGCGGTGCCCCGCAAGGTGTTGGACATCCTTCTCCCTAATCCCAGCATCGGTGCCAGGATGAATACAGCAAAGGAGACAACCACTGTCGTCAGCGGGCGTCCTGGAGCCCCTCAGAAAGCTGTCATCAGCCGACCAGAGAACGCCCTGATGTCAAGGAATGGGCAGGCTCTAGTATCTCCACAAAGAGACAGGGTTCCGGAGCCCTTTCTAATCGTGCGGGCGTTAAATATAATTGCAGAAGAGACCGGCATTGCCATGGTCGAGCTGACGAATGACCTTGTATTTACGGATGTTGGAGTTGACTCGCTCCAGGCCCTGTCTATTTGTGGTAGGTTTAGGGAGGAACTAAATATCAACGTGGGCTCAGCTCTCTTCGTGGAATATCCGACGGTGAGGGATCTTAAGATCTTCCTCGGCACCGGGACTAGGCTGGCAGGCGCTTCCGAAGACAATTCCAAATCCTCGACTCCAGGTTTGGGGTTTTCCTGCGATGACGACGTTGCCTACACACCTAGCGATGCCACAGATGTAGACCAGAGAGACAAGGAGCGAGAATCAATGCGCGAGGATAGTCCTTCCCTATCCGAAATCTGCACTATTCTGGCTGAAGGGCTCGGAGTCGAGGTGGAAGAGGTGTGGAATGCACCATCCCTTACTGAGCTGGGCCTTGACTCCCTCATGTCCCTAAGTATACTCGGGAGGCTGCGAGAGGAACTGAATATTGATCTCCCTACAGAGTTCTTCTCTGATGACGACATGACAACTATCCGAAGGAAGCTTCTTGACAACTCCGCAGGGCCCGATAACCCCAGCCCTATAACGACAGCACCAACGTCTATCATTTGTACAAGCACTCCTACTACCATTCCAACAGCAACGTCAGTCCTGCTCCAGGGAAATCTTGCGACGGCGCAGAAGGTCCTCTTCCTCTTTCCTGACGGCTCTGGTTCGGCAACCTCATACGCCATTCTCCCCCCTGTCGCACCTAGTGTTGCCATAGTTGGCCTTAACTGCCCCTACTTGAAACGGCCTCAAGACTTGAAATGTGCACTGCAAGACATGACAGCCCCATATTTGGCCGAGATCCGCCGGCGACAGGCTCATGGGCCGTACTATTTGGGCGGGTGGTCAGCAGGAGGTATCTGTGCCTACGACGCCGCGGCCACACTGATGGTAGCGGGTGAGCAAGTTGCCTCATTAATCCTAATTGATTCACCCAACCCAATACGCCTCGAAAAACTCCCCGTACGCATGTACCACTTCCTCAATGACGCCGGCATGTTTGGCTCTGGCGGTTCTAAACCTATGCCTGAGTGGCTGTTACCTCACTTCCTCGCCTTCATCGACGCACTGGCCCGTTATGAGCCTACCCCATTCGCATCGGGAACGGCGCCTAAAACGCACGCCATCTGGGCTTCAAACGGAGTCTACCAGTCGACTGGAGGGAAGAGGCTGGAGGAGCGGCCTGACGATACCCGTGAGATGAAGTGGTTACTAAATAGCCGCACCAACTTCGGCCCAAATGGGTGGGATAGACTAGTTGGGATGGAAAGCTTGAGGATAGAGGTCTTACATGGGGCAAATCACTTTACCATGATGGAAGGCCCTCAGGGCCTCAGGTTAAGCCGGTTCCTTGCCAAGTCCATGGGGGTTTAAAACCTTACCCTCCCTGATATTTCGGACCAGTTTTGGGAGATGTGCGTAAGGGATAGGTGTAAGGCTTGGGTCGCAGGTGAGGCTCTATTGTGTATATACGAAATAGATCGGATATAATGTTGAATTAGAAGTAATAATTTATAAGCTCTCTGTTATTGATTCTGAATTCGCATTTTTTACCCTTGACGGATTCAAACGGGAAAATATAGTCGAATTAGGCCGTCCTGGCGTCGCTTTGAGCGCTTTGGGAATATACGACTTATGTCCAGGCACAGTGCTTCCCTACTACACTAAAAGGATAGAAAGGCCCAAGGGTGGGTCCGGGGGGCTGGGCAGAGATTATGTACATATTCCGTAACGGTAGTTATAAAGATAAAGATCAAATAATACATCACACAAGTGCTCCATCTCGCAAAAAGTCCTGCACCCAACCAATGGTCATCCTAAAGGGGAGGTGGCCAGTTAGTAACAATCACACCATAACGGGGGGGCCTGGGCTGCTGAGGTCTCACTTTGATCTGTTGGTATCGGCGAACTTGTTGTGGTCCGCAAAGACGGCTTGCTTGTACAAGGGATCCTCCTTGAGCGCCACGAATTGTTCGATATTGCGAAACTGAACCTGGACAATGCAGTCATAGTCGGCCATGTTGGAGAACTGAGGATCAAATATCCTGCCCATCAAAGAGCGGGTAGAGAGCGGATTGTGTGTCTATTCAAGCCATGAGTTAGGTCTGCAGGCCAACTTCACACCGTAAATACTACCTAGGGTAGGCGCCAGAAAGACGAGCGGGCTAGTCGACAGCAGCGAGAGACCATTTCTACTCACCATGCTGAACTTATCAATTCCGTGCTTCACCATGAGGCCCTGGACTAATGGCGCGTGGACCTTTGTCATATAGCTGCGGTACGCTTCCTCGTCCATTCCCCCTTTACGATAAGCACATATTGTGAGGCAGAGCATCGGCTGCTTGGCTTGGTGTCCGTTCTCCATGACTGTTAACTACCTTAGTTACTTATTGTTGGGAATAGCTAACCAGCACGAAAACCAATACAGCAGCAGATATTTCGAGGAAAGCAGCAACCCTTCAACCTCCTCATAGACGGCCGCAGCAAGAGATATAGATATATACCCGTGGTCCCGCTGGGGCTCAGAGGTAACCGGTCGGCCTTCGGGTTTGGCTGCATCGATGGTCGGGCTTGAAGCCATACCTGGTTACCTACCTATCTATTCCACGAAACACTGGCCCGGGACCCGGGGAGACGAGTCAAATGGACGGGGAAATGGCTCACACAATCGTATATTGGAAGCTCTCGATCCCCTAAGCGCTCTATAAAAAATAAATAAAAATTAAAATTAAAGCATTTGGGGGAGTATACCTTGGCCGAATACTTTTCAATTCCTATCTAAATTCTGCTTACGCGCATAATGGGAGCGGACGGAGATATCCTAATCATCGGCGGAGGACTTGGTGGGCTGTGTCTAGCGCAGGGCCTCTACAAGGCAGGTATCCCGTTCCGGGTCTTTGAACGCGACGCAAACGCATCTTGGAGGCCCCAGGGCTATCGGCTACGCCTGGGCGGCGAGGGCGCGAATGCGCTAAAGGAGACACTTTCGCCAGAGCTGTGGGAGCGGTTCGAAAAGACATGTAGCATCGCTGAACTCGGCGAGACTGACATCAATGCCATCGACGGCTCCGTGTTCGCCAGCAGGGCCGGCGGCGGCCCTGCTCGAAAGGGGTTGAAACCGTATACCTGCGACCGCAAGGTGCTGCGAGATATCCTGCTGACTGGCCTGGAGGACAAGATATCGTACGGCAAGGAGCTGGCCCGCTATGAAATCGTTGCTGGGGCGGTCATCGCATACTTCCAGGACGGCACGACTGCTAGCGGCCGCTTCTTAGTCGGCGCCGACGGCAGGGGCTCCGTGACGAGAAGCCAGTTCCTCCCAGGTAATGAGCCTCTCGACACCGAAGGCATGTGTATCTACGGCAAGACACTCATCACCCCAGAGCTGGTCGAATGGTTTCCCGCGCGCGCCATGCGGTGGATGACGCTTGTTGTCGACCGCACGCCCATAACGCAGACGCTCGACTTCGACGACACGGCCGTGACGCTTCTGCTGGAACCCATCCGCTTCCCCAGGAGAAACGATGGATTCGACGAATACGTGCCGGCAGACTACATGTACTGGGTCCTTATTGCACGAAAGCACATCTTCAACCTCCCAAACGGCGTGCCGCTGTCCAAATACACAGGGGCAGACGCAGCGGCGATATCGCTCCGCGTCACCGACTGCTGGGACCCCCGCATCCGCTCTATCCTACACCTACAGGACAAGACGCAGTCCAGCCTGCTCAGGGTCCTGTCAGCGAGCCCGGACATCAAGCCTTGGGTGCCGTCGGACAAGGCTACGGTGATTGGGGACGCCGTCCACGCGATGAGCCCTTGCGGAGGTGTAGGCGCTGTGACGGCGCTGGTGGACGGCGCCAGTCTCGCTAGGACAATTGCTACCGAGGGAATCTCGGCAGAGAGCATTGGGGAGTTTGAAAAGGCCATGCGCGAATTTGCTGGAGCCAGCATTCGTAGGAGCTACATTGGGGGACGCAAATTGTTTGGACAAAAGCCATTTGAGGAGTGCAGTCAGTATATCGGATAGAAGAGAGTGCTCCTTGTGCCGAGTAATAATGGCTCCTACCACGTTGGGCCTTATAACTACCTGGTACTCCCTAGGGAATAAGTTTATAGCGAGTCTATATGTCTATATTTACAACAGAGGAGATACCAAAGGTACTAATCCGACTACCTATACGTAGTATTTACGTATATATTGGTTGTCTTATGAATATACTCCCTTATATTATATCCCCTACTAGGTCATGTGACCAGGTTATTTAGTATCACGTGATATTGCATAACAAGTAAGGCCACAATTCCGAAAAAATCTCTAAATTCCGATATGTGGATAACCCCTCGGGCCGCTTATATCAACCCAATTTTCAGCCCCAACATTTTAATATATGCCGCTAGCAGGTGCATTTGAGTACATGTGCTTCGTTTCTGTCAGTAATTGTTAGCTGTTGTTTTGGTACATATTTAAATCTTCCCCTCACCTCTGTTCTCCTTAGATGGTGATAAATTTCCTGTCTGCCAAACTAAATAACTGTATAATCTTCTCGCAATCCTATCTACTCAAGATACTACATACACACTGATTCCTAATCTAACGATGCTTCATCAAATAGTAACTTGTGCTGTATACTACTTTGGACAGGCGTTGAGATATGCCTTGACTGCGCTCGTATCCCTATTCACCTCAATATATTCTGCCCTTCCGTCGCCGTTCAGATCTGCGAACATCACCTGGTACGGCGGCGTGCCATCTCCCGTCGCAATCTCGCCCTCAGGATACCATACAGGCTCTGCCGCGTGCGGCCCGTCGTCCGGCCCGCCGCCATTGCGCCACATTTGCACATTCCCTCGGCCCCCGTCGCCGGACCCAAGCGGAGGGTAGTTTGGGAAGAAGAGATGGTCCGCCTTGCCGTCACCGTTGATGTCGGCGAACATAATTTGGTGTCGCTCCCCTCCTACACCCATCGCAGTCTGTTTCTGTGGTAGCCATGCTACCTGCGCACCTCGGGGATCAGAGCCGGGTTTGGGACCTAGATTAAGGTAAACAGTAGCAGCACCCTTAGAGTTAACAGATATGTAGCACGACCATCGCCGTTGAGGTCAGCAAAGCGAACCGTGGAGTCAGGAGCTCCAATTCCACTAGCCACCAAGCCCTGTTCATACCAGCCGACGTTGGCTGGCGTCTTGCCACCGTCGTACTGACCTTGGTTGAGCCAGACGGAGGCGGAACCGTTTCGATGCACATGAATATATTCAGCGCGCCCGTCACCGTTAAGATCAGCGAAGTGAACCTGATAAGGGGTTGCACCCACCCCGCTTGCAATAACTCCTGCCGGCCACCAGCCTACTTGCGCGCCATTTGTCGACTGCTGGCCCCCCGGAAGGCCTTGGTTGTAGAAGGCGGTAACTTCACCTTTTGAGCCCACCCAGAGAAACTCAGCACGTCCATCACCATCTAGGTCCGCAAAATGGACAGCATGGGTAGGGTCATAACTCATATCATGGCAATTGGATCCTTCTTTAGGCACATCCATGTCGTCAGAACCGGTAGGGCCATCAATACGACTGCCGCAGACGCATGTGCCTTCATCGCCCCGTTTTCTAGTTCAAAAGACTTTGTTAAAAACTATAAAATTAATGGCAAAAGTGTGAAAATTAAAGAAGACTCATACTCTCCACAGGTCAGATAAGGATACAAGTCTTGTCCAAGGCCTGCACCGTTCGCGATCTCTCCATTCGGAATCCAGATTGGGTTTTTGTCACAAGGAATTAGGTGTGGTCGGGTCCCGCCGCCAGCTACGGGTTTCGAAATCCATCCGAGTTGGTTGTCCGCGAAAGCTATCGCGTTATACCAGGCGGTAGCCAGTTTTCCGTATCCCTGATCGTTTGGATGAAGGCTATCCGCAAAGTCATTTGCAACAAATGACAGCGGGGAATACCCATCCATAAGGAACACCTTGTACCCGGCAGAGACGCGCTTCCCCACTATCTCTGGAAGGGCAGTATTGAAATCCACTGCGCGCCTGGGTATTTTCATTACTAGAGGGTATCAGCTTGGAAACAAATATAACCGCATCAGGACAAGCCGCAGTTATCTTGTCAATCAGCCTGCTTAGCCGATTAGGTGAATCTTCTGGGTTTATATTCTTATCCATATCATTAGTCCCAGCATATAGGAGAACCACATTAGGCCGTTGTGACAGTATGTGCGTTATAGTAGCTGATATTTCGTCGATCACATAGCCGTTATGTCCCTTCCCGGCCCATCCTTGGATAACAGGCCAAGATGACCATGTTTGGTTTTAAAACGCCTGAGCCAAAAGAGTAAACCCACGCAGGATATCAACAGGTTGAAGTGACACCTTTGACACCCTTCCCCTTCAGTTTTGTGGAACAACAACAGACGAGCTGTGAAAATAAAAGAACATATGTTGGGTTGTTGGTTTGATGTGTTGTAAGAGGAGGACGTTGGTTCCTACAAATGGTAGATCTGAGCAGGGAAACTCGGTGTAATTGCTTGGTACGGTGGGTGTTGACTGTTAAAACGGCTGAGCCAAAGAGCGGGACTACACTAGTGGCTGACAGGATGAAGCCATATCTCCGACAGTAACACATGCCTGATGTTATTCTTTCTACAGGCTGCTGTTAGGTATGCTAGCCTGCGGGACAAGGGGGTATACAGCGGCGGATGTGCTTCTGGAGTCATGGCGAAAAACTTCTGGGGTACACCTCTGTATTTCCAGCAAGAAATCAACTTGTGGGAACCTGGTTTAAGGCAATATAATCCGGCCAAGCAAGGAAAGTCCTCCCTGTGATTTGTTGCTTTCGGCTTCAATTGAAAACGCGGCAGGGGAGGAAGGGATTGAAACGGCGTGCATTGCATTGCAGCCAAACGGAGTTATTACGCCGTAACTAGATGTCCCATAACAGAGCCCTGGCTCCTCATAAACCCGGAGTAAATCAACGGCAACAGTTGGCAGTCAACCAGAGCAGGGCGTTGGGTATAACCTGCGCACAGGCAGTGTGCAAATAACAAAAAGTTATAGAGAACAGAGCGCCGCTGAGCAATTAGTGCCGAAAGCGACTAGGAACAGGGGGGGTAGCGACGCATGCACCACTTAGATAATAGCGAGTAGGATTTCTGGCTATATACTCCGTGTCTAAAATGACACAACCCAACTTGTTCGTAACGGTATCTGGTTATCTGTGAACGGTAAAGTTAACTGGTTACCCTTGTAAGATGCGAACAGCTAACGATTAGGCAGCAGTATTTCAAAGTCTCGTCTGACTTCTTCTACTGGCACATCTACGCACCACTTCTAACAACGTACATCTTATGACGAGACCGGCAACGGTAGTTACGGAGTGATGGGCTCAGCTTTCTCTTCGACTCGGTAGCAGGAGCCTCTTGAGTACAGACCGCCATCCACACCTCCAGAGTACGATAACCCACCACCGTCCCTTGATTGGATGCGCTCGCCCGATGGATACAAGGAACGCACATCTTGCTACTCACGAGATGGCTACGTTATCTACGGCTATCCGTCTAAAGGACCCAAAGGCGAAGCAATAAAAGATTCCATAATAGCAAAGACAGGAGTAGATATTGTTGACCTTAAATTCCTCGGATTTGATAGATTCGCACCGCTAAAGGAACGCTTACCGGGTCAAGAGGCAGAAGACCGGTTCTGTGGTCTGCTCCGGAAATTGGGGGGAAGGCATTGGCGAAGTTACCACGCCCTATATAACGGCTCCGTAGATGAAATGACCGCAGAACGTGATGATGGGATTAAGTGGTTTTTTGCATGGCCAGGAATCGATGAACATCCAAGCGCAAGAAACCTCGAGTGTACCATTGGCAAAGATGTGGTGGAGGATGGTGGTGTTTGGGCTTTAGAGAATGTATATGGGGTCGGTATTGAGTTTGGGAAGCTTAGGATGTGTCTTACGATGGAAGAGAAGGTCAAGGTGATGAAGGAGTTGGGTGCAGTCTTCTATCCAGACCCGAGAGACTGTCCACCACTTGCAGATCTCTATCCTGCGCGCAATGTGCCTCCCAAGGCGCCTATTGAACAGACTATATAAATGGTTAGCTGATTGATGGCTCTCTTGTGTTACGGACTATCTGCGGCGCAGCCCAGATAACTACGCTCATTGGATACAATTGAAAGTCACGGAGGAAAAGGGACTTGGGATAGAAGGATTATCGTTTTTTGCTTGCGTTATTCCTCTACTATTAGTTAGTTGATATTTGATTCTGAAAGTTGGTAATCAGAATATGCTTAATAAGAGTATTAATTTGAGTCGCTTTTGGCCTCATCTTACGTAGGTATTAGTCGGCTAATAGCCCTTTATCCTCTATAGATAAATAGTAGTAATATAGCCTCTAGACCTTTTATCTATTATTATTATTTACTTCTACGCCTATTTATTACCTTTTCCTATGTTCATTTGGTTGCTGAGGCATTGTTTTGCTGTTCCGTTGTGCCTTGCAGAGGCTGCGGTCACGTGTTCCCCCTTCAGCCTCCGAATATTCCCCAATGGGTCATGTGACCAGATTATATAATATCACGTGATATTGCATAACAATAACGGTGGGGCCACAATCCAAAAAAATCTCTAAACTTCGATATGGATAACCCCTCGGGCCGCTTATACCCAATTTTCAGCCCCAACATCTTAATACTCAATACTATATCGACCACTCCAACTGCACAAACTGCGGAAACGTGCCTTGTAGGTGAGGCGTGTGTAATTTAGTTATCTAATGGCGAAGAAAAAATCCAATAAGGCTGTAACGCAGCCGCAGCCCCAAGCAAAAGCAGCTCAAGAGAAGACAGCAGCGCAGCCACAGGCAAAGACTCAGATGAAGACAACAACGCCCGGGGGTGTAAATGTTTTTGATGCACGGACGGTTAAAAAGAAAATCCGCCAAGACGTGCGTACCATGTACGAAAAGAACCGCAATATCAATAGAAAGGAGATTCGATCTAGGTATTTAGGTTTATATCCCAAGGAGGAACAATATATTTGTCAGGTGTTGAACGGGTAAGCCAGCTTTTCGTATAGCTATGCCCCCGGCTTTGATATATCGTTAATAGAATTCTAGCTATGCTGCATTTCTTGAACAGAATAAGCCGACGCCTACGCCTTGTATAAAGGAGACGAAGAAGCAAGAAGCCGCAGGACCTAAAAAGGAAATTAAAAAAGTTGAACAAAAGGAGACGAAGCAGGAAGCCGTGGGACCTAAAAAGGAAATCAGAAAAGTTGAACAAAAGGAAACGAAGCAGGAAGCCGCAGAACCTAAAAAGGAAATCAGAAAAGTTGAACAAAAGGAAACGAAGCAGGAAGCCGCAGAACCTAAAAAGGAAATCAGAAAAGTTGAACAAAAGAATACCCGTTCCAATAATACATATACCCCATCCCCGCTGAAGAAGCCTGATCACGCCGCAGAAATCTATATTACGCCCAATAGTATAGATAAAGAACAAACCAAGGCACCAATATTAAATGGTATTATCCATTCGATATTTTCTCAGGAAGAGCAGAGGCTGATCTAGGGTATAGAGTTCACCGAATACTTTACACGCAATAGTCCTGACAGCGAATCATTGGCAGTTATACCTACTGCACCCAAAATTCCGGATCTAGGACATCAGATGCAACTGTTGAACTTGAGCTACGATGAATCAATTAATAGCCATGCATCTCCGCACCTGCGGGAAGTAACCTTGCTGTCTCCTGTTGTGGAGGGGCACGGCATTAAAATGCCCCCTCAGTTTGCACTTTTGGGCCATCAGCCATCGATAACGTCTACAGGTATTGATCCTAGGGTGATGCTTAATACCAATATTCCGTTTTCGACCTTTATATGCGGGGTTCAGGGCAGTGGAAAATCCCACACAACGAGCTGTATAATTGGTATTATTTTAATATCTTTGTACAATTTATGGCGTTAACTAATCTTAGAGACTAGAGAATTGCACTCTACCTCTCCCCTCTCTAGGGATTCTTAAGCAGCCGTTATCTACTCTTGTCCTACAGTTCAACGAGTATAGCTCGAATATAAGCTCCCAGCCTAGCGAAATGGCATTTCTTTCATCGATAATGCCGGAATACAGCTCACAGAAGCTGCAAGTTCTGGTAACCGTCCTTGTATCACCTTCGAATTTTTATAATCTTAAGACCTTATATTCTCAAATTCCAGGTGTCCAAGTTCGTCCATTCAGACTACAGCCTCGGCATCTGAATATTAGTACAATGCTCTCACTTATGTCACTTGGTAAAGGCGACTCAATGCCTCTATATATGTCCCAAGTGACTATGCTGCTGCGTGAAATGGCAATAAAAAATGAAGGAAGCTTTGATTATCTTGCGTTCCGCGCACGTCTAAACTCCCTCCACTTACAACGAACCCAAACGCCCTTTCTTGACCAGAGGCTTGACTTACTGGACTCGTTCCTCGATCTCAAGGGTGAAGTTGACGAGGGCCAGTTTGTTAATAATGGGATTACTATCTTGGACCTTTCCTGTCCTTTCGTGGACCAGAGTACCGCGTGTATACTGTTCCGCATCGCTATTGATCTTTTCCTCCACGCTTACCCTTCAAGAGGCAAGATGATCGTCGCGGACGAGGCGCATAAGGTATGTATAACCAATGCCTTTTATATATCTTCCTAGCATCATACAAATTCAATCATCACTAGTATATGACCGATACGTCAGCTGCAATGGAACTTACCGATACGTTCCTAAATATCGTTCGGCAGCAGCGTCACTTGGGAGTTCGGCTTATAATCTCAACCCAAGAACCCACAATATCACCTCGACTAATTGATCTATGTTCGATGGCAATAATCCATCGATTTTCTAGCCCTGAGTGGTATCAAAGTATTCAGAATCATATCACAATTGGCCATACGAAGGATAACAGTGGATCGGCGGATGGCAAGGATGGTCTCTATCAGATATCTAGTCTTCGCACCGGGGAAGCCTTGGTATTTGCGCCTTCGGCACACATCCTTGATGAAAACCAATCTCTGAGGGACACCAAACATAAGGTTTTCAAACTGGCAGTTAGAAAACGAATAACCTGGGATGGGGGACAGTCGATTTTATGCGTCAACTGAACTTATTTTCTTATGCAACTCAAAAACATTTTGTTAAGAAACAAGATACGATCAGTTTTTGCACTTTATCCCTAGTATATCGAAGTGTCACACGTAAGGATTGAGAGAAACGGAAACAAATTTAGAAAGCTATGCTAGAACAGGCACTGCGTACTTTCGAAAGCTTTTGTCTAATATTAACGTGTACAAATTGCCAGGTTAGTAGCCTCCTGTTATCCTTTCTGCGTGCAACATCGGGCTTTGCTTTGACGTCCTCTTGTATGTCACCCGCTGATCCACCCACTGATTCGCCACAGATACCGCGCTCCGCCCAAAAAAAGAAAAGCAATGTCCTCTACGGGCTCTGCGTCTACTTTGGGGTCGTTTAGTTAAGCTATAAAGATTGAACTTAAGCGGCTGTAGAGTTAACTAATGAATGCTTAGTGTGTTTGGCTACGCCTTGGCATGGTGGGTTCAACGGCCTCAAAAGTATGGGCAGGTACGACTTGTCGATAGTTTTCTATAGGGTGAAAGTGCGAAAAATGCGATCGATGCTCGAGAAATATTCATATGATTAAACTCCTAAGACGCAGGATAATGATTTCAGGGTCTTTGTCTAGACTATATTGCCTTAAGAAGGGATTTACAGGTCTTGTAACATATATATATTGCCTTATACCACCTAATATAACTCTTATTTCTTTATATATATTGGTACTTGGAAGGATAATAGCCACATATTAGTTTTTATAGCATATAGAGGGTAATAGGTCTTAGTTGTGCTTAGGAACTGCCTCCCATATTGATCGTAAGATAAGAGGGCCTAAAGTAACTTTTATTATAGTGTCAGAATCTTCCATTCGGCCAAAAAGGCGAGCCCGCACCAATTGGTGGCAGAGAGACTAGTTATATTTGACATATAGTTTTATATGAATACTTAGTTTATATCTATTTTCTTATATATCTTGACATAACTCCCCGTTTTTATATTTTGGAGATATTATATATGTTTTAACCTTTATATTTCTAGGCTTATAAGACCCGGTAGCTAAATACATCCCTTATTAGATTATTAACTTTCCTTTTGTATTTGCATTCTACTGTTCGGCGACCCCGGAGTCCTATTAGTCATCCCTCGACCGTATGTACGGAGCCAAGGCTAGGGACAACTAACCAAACCATCGAGCCTACTCCTTGTACCATATACTTATACTATACAATGACTTCCTGCCCCCATCTCACGAGCCGGCAAAAGGTAGCGTTCGACGAACTGGCCGCACTCTATTCCCGCGCGCTCTTCTAACACGACCATCGCTATAATAACCCCTCACTCTCCCACTTTAAACCTGGCAATCGACTTTATATATATGCGGCGGATGCTACCTCTTTTGAGATATTATGGAACATGGGTGGTCTTTCGTGATTTGTGAGTGGAATTCCTGCAAAATAAAGTATACGCATATTTCTTAGACTATATACCTCCCTACTGTGATTAGTTGGGACAATACTACATGAATGTCTATGTCTCTAATAACCTCTACCATAATCTACGCCTCTATGTAAGAGAGGCCGTATGGCTGCGGTTGGAATTAAATATTAATTTTTCGCAGTCACTATCTACTCGATCTGCTAACCAACTATAGGAGGGAGCTTGAGCTATCTTATAAGAATAATAATTTTTATAATACCTATGAAATTATCCAACAGTTACTCTAACTATTTATATCTGCCCTTCCCCCATATATGGAAATACTACCTGTGAGCCGCTTTCGAGAATATCCTCCAAATACGCCGTAATTAAAGGGTCAATACCTGCTTTCGCTGCTTGGGCAATCCATTTTCTCATATCCACCTCTTCAAAAGTGCCTCCATATTTTTCCCCCAGATATCTCCCGAAATCGGCCACCGGCACTCGAATTCCGCTAGATTGATGTTGGAATTTGATTGAGCATTCCTGAGTTGGTAGAGCAGGCCCCTTGAGAATTTCAAGTGCTGCTTCTTTGATATTATCAACCACCGCATCTATTTCTCTGAAATCAATATATCCTACCATTCCATCCAGTCGAGGCACACTTCGCATAGAGACGGAATATTGTAAGATCGCATTCAGAGCGTCTGAAGAAGCGGCTTGGTCACTCACAACTATACATGGCCGATTAATTGCCACATTCCACCGGTGACCCCCGTTTTTATTCAAGGTAGTAACTATATTCTCTAGAAATACTTCACTTGCCCACTTGCTCGCAGTGTAACCTTCACTGCCGTTTGTTGGTGGTATAAAGTTTGAGACAGATCCAGGCAGTGGCGACGTTTTTCCAGACAATAGAACGACTCTGTTTGATGATAAGTATAACAGTGGAATTGATCTTGGTAATGCCAAAGACGCAAGATAATGGGTTGAGAGTAGGTTTGGCAAGCGTAAAGAGGTATATGTATTGAGACAATGACCGAAGGCACCGGCATGGATGATAATATCTATATTCTGCTCAAAGTACTTGGACTCGGGTATGCTTAAACCTAGCGTTGGTGATGCAAGACTCCCCATATAGCGCTCGAGTTTTGGTCCTCTGGAAGCAGATGTTCTTCATCAGCGGGCACCGCGACGCAATGGACTCTATGGATAGTAGGTGATTGCATCAGTGAACGTAAAAGAAAGCCACCCAACACGCTTGTGGCACCTGTCAGAAGAATTTCGATTCCGCTCGGCACCTTTTGTGGCATCTCTACCTGCTCAATGGATGTTGCCCCTAGTGTGTTCAGAGTGCTAATCTGCTCATGTAACCAGAGGGGTATAGAGGTTTCCGTTGTCCAGTTGATTTCCGTTACGATGTTTTCTGCTTCTTGCCGATGTTGTTCTTCCTGGAGGCAGTTACTAATGTACTCTGCCATTCTACTTAATGTACTAGCGTGATATAGTATCCTCGTTGATACTACAATTCCCATAGACTCCCTGATTGCAGTCTGCAACTTCATCAATGAGAGCGAATTCCCACCACATAGAAAGAAATCTGAAGAAGGCGAAATGCGGGCAGCGAACGATATCTTAGGGAGAGCACGTTCCCATAGCAAACGAAGCTCGCCTTCGCGAACTGTCATCCTGCCTAGCTGTCTCTCTGTTATGGAGCTGTTTTCTGATATCGGGAGAGCACTAATGGCCTTGCGATCAACTTTGCCATTTGCATTGGTAATCATCTTGGGTATAATAGCAATAGTCACCGGGACGGAATATCGTGGCAACAATAATCTAAGACGCCTTAGAATTGCAGAAAGTTCTTCCTCACGATTGGTAATATGTTCTTTACCTGATGTGATTGTCGCATGGGCGACCAATACTTCATCTCGTCGAGAAACAACCACGGTAGAAAGGAGACCGTTGGCGGCACATAGCAGAGCCGTTTCGACTTCTTGCATCTCAATGCGTACTCCATGTAACTTGATTTGCGTATCTGCATGTAGCCGGCTAAGCAGTAACAATGTCCCGTCCTGCATCAATTTTCCTTGGTCACCAGTGCGGTAAAACCGCTGTTTTGGTTGGCCGAGATCTATTCCTAGCATACCAGACATGGTGACAAATTTACGCTGACTCTCCTCCACTAGGTTTAGGTATCCTAGGGCTACTCCAGCACCACCAATACAAATCTCTCCAGTATGTTCAACAGGTTGCGGGTTTCCATACTCATCCAGAATGGAAATTGAGTAGTTGGACAATGCTTTTCCAACGGCATATCTGGCAACACTATCATTACCAGCTTTCAGGTCGATTTCATAGAACGTCGCTGCAGCAGTAATTTCAGTAGGGCCATAGCAATTCCATATTCCCAATGCTCTAATGTCAAGACGACGTAGCTCATTCCTTAAATGTTGTGAAACCATCTCACCACCCATACAGGCGTAACGCCACGAAGTATTCTCTTTCAGCGTCATTCCTCCATAGTTTATCCACATCGTGTATTCTGATGGCGTGGCGATTGTTAAAGTGATACGGCTACGAGCCATCAGTGTCGTTAATTCATGTGGGTCGTGCCGCAAATCAGACGGTATGATAACCAGGAGGCCGCCGTTAGCAATCGCACAAAACGTTTGTATTATAGACATATCGAAGCCCAACGAGCTTTGCTGAAGAACTCGTTCTCGGCATAAGTGAAGCGCCTCTTTCTTAGCGGCTAAGTGATTGATAAAGCTGGCCTGAGAGAGGAGAATGCCTTTAGGCGCTCCCGTTGAGCCACTCGTGTAAAGCAAGATAGCGGGTGCGTCTTGCTCGGCAGCATATATCGATGGAACCTCGTAGCTGGCTTGTTCACTTACTATGTCTACTCGTACTTCCTGGATTAGGTATCCGGTTGTGATGGCCTGGGCTTGCTCCTCTGTACCTGCGTGCATTAGGAGAAGAGCAGGCTTACAGTCATTCATCATGGCTACAAGCCGTGATATAGGTAAATTAGTATCCAGTGGAACATAAATAGCACCGCAGTGCAGGACTGCCAGCATAGATATAATAGCATCTGCAGATGGCTCGCATAGAACGGCAATATGAGAACCCACAATGTCGGTCGCTGAATGGAGGATTGTAGACACTAGAGAACTCATTCGGCGAGCCAACTGTGAATACGATATTACCCTTGACTTTTCCTGAATTGCAGGCTCAGTAGAGTATAAGCGGCACATGTCTAGCACCCGTTGAACTAGAGTTGGTGGCCAATCAAACTTCATAAAGATAATAGTGGTAAATAACTTATACCCTCCCCAGGGGACCCTCGGCGGTATAGAACTTAGTTCCAAGCGCGATAAGACCACCAAACAAACACATGGTACCACTAAACATCGATACCTCGAAAAAGCTTCCATATCTTTCAACGAATGCTCCATTGACTGGAGGGCCTATTAGGCCTCCGAGGGAGCTGATAGACATCCCCATCCCCATATATGTTCCAATATCTCGTGGGTCTTGGGGGCAAAGGGAAAATGCTGCAGATGCTCCAGATATGATGGTACCTGACACAAAACCAAAGGCAACTGAATATCCAATCAAAGTGGGGTCGGTTATAGCAGAGTTCATGCAGAAAATAACAACCCCGGTGACAACACCTCCAAGTGCGAATATATTGAGTCGTCCATACTTGTCTGCTAAGACGCCGGGGATTATACGGCCAAATGTAGAAGATGCATTGGTAATTGCAAGCAGATAACCGGCAAGTGTTGGATCCATTCCCCTTGATACTGCATATGTTGGGAGGAAAAAAAGTGGCGTAAACATGCCGACAAACATAAAGAATAATGATATAATCAAAAGAATATATTTTACTTCTTTATATGCCGACGGGATCCAGAAGGTAGTCGACCTAGATGGTAGCCGGGCGCTAATGGTTAGACATGCGAAAAGCATGAAGGGTATAATCAGAAACCCTATGATTCGAACCGACCACCCAAACCCCAGAGCTGAACTGTTAAGCATTTTCGACAGAGCAATGGGGATGATGATTCCACCCACAGAGGAGCCAGATACCACCACACCCAAGGCGGCGGCGCGATTCTTGTCGAAGTACTGAGAGACTGCTGCAAATGCTGGAAACTGAAGGAAGCCCATAACTATCCCCATGAGAACTCCCTGCACAAGCATAAGTTGCCAGTAGCTTTTGCATAGGCTCAGCATCATTATGGCAAAGATATAAATAACAGCGGCGGGTATTATAATCTATCACTAAGTTAGTAAGCTCACCAGCAATCGTGTGATAGATAACATTACCCATGCGCCAAAACGATCGAACGATGGTCCCCCCACTATCCCAGTCGCAAACAAGAGGAAGGCTGACAGAGACCCGATCCATGCAACCTTATCGGGGGATTCTCCGCTGAGCTGGTGTGACAGATAGTACTCTGTAAAGACGCCAAAGGAGTTTGAGAAGCCCAAGCAGCAAAAAAATATCGCAGCGCCCCCGGCTGCAACTAGCCATGCTCTCACCCCACCGTCTGGGGCTGCTCCAGATGCAGTAATGGTGGGAGGTGCTTTATCTTCCTTATCATCATTGTGAAGGAACGCTTCTGGTTCTGTTGTAGCAGCCTCCATGCCAGGCTATTAGGGTATAGAGCGATTTATGTAGGAAAAAAAGTGCACAAGCTGTACAAAAGTTGCGTGAAGCGATTGAAGTTGATTGATCGTGCCATCAATCCCATCTTTATATATACCTACCTTCTCCCTCCCCAGAGCTCCCCGAACCCTTTTTCTCCTTCTTTCGCCATCGATACATGTTTGGAGATGATAATTGTCGGACTCGGACTCGGACTCGGGAAATGGGAAGGCACACGGACCTAAAGCGCAGTCACGTGGTTACTGGCTAACTAACTTATGTAATTTATTTTAACCTCAACAATGGGCTTGCGCTTTTTTTACCTTCAACACAAAGCTTGACGTGCCCGTTCTTGATTTTTCAAATACTCTTTAGATGACTAGCCTTACGGTTGAAGACTACAGTCAGCGATAAAATCTACAAACAGTGTATGTGAAGTGACGTCGTAGTGATGCTTAGGACAGAATATCGACAGCGACGACCTGCTGTGCAAGTTAATTATGTCCCTCCTCATTAGATATTTAAGCTGACATAAAAGAGGTGCAGGGCTTGTGCCCTCTGTCGCAAGCGGAAGATTCGATGTAACCGGGAGAAGCCTTGCAGCAACTGTATGCGATCTGGAGCTAGGCCATGTTCCTATGAGGCCAACTCTTTTCTACCACCACAACAACATGATACCCATAGACAGGTAAACGAGTTTGGCGTGACTGAGGCGGCAACTGCTAGAAGCACGGGTTCTAGTTATATTCGACAGCCAACAACTCTGAGCCACCCACCATCGCTAACGGATGGATCCACGGATGGATCGACCTTTGAGAGCCCGCCGTTGACCTACAATGCCAAATCAGATAGCACCAAAACTGGCTCTAGAGAAGATCAATCGTATAAATCTAAGCCAGATAGAGGACAGTATCTTATTTCCATTCTAACCCCCGACATATATACAACTTCGTCGCGGATAGGCGGTACCTTCTATATCCACCGTGAGCCTAGCTTATCTGACGAATCAACCGCCATTCCTCGCAGTATCACGCACAAGGCACGCTCCTTTGGCCAAAGTCATTGGATTAATATGATTTCTCTGGTATATCTCTTATACTTGACCTTGGATTCTTTCATTAAACAGATGATTAATCTGTTGTTAGTTTGAGGATACCTGTGAAATCGTTGAACCATATTTACGAAGCGAGACATCAGCTACCTTCTCTAATATTGAAAAATGTAAAGCTTTAGCAAAAGCCATCAAACTACAACGAGCACCTACCGAATGTTCAACACCCAGTGCTAATATTCCCTCTAAAACCCTTTCCGATGAACTTGTTGACTGCTACCTTAAGACAACCGAGTCCATATATCGTATCCTGCATATCCCAAGTTTTAGACGGGAGTATGAAGCATTATTTCTACCAGAGACTGAGCCCAGATTTAATGTCGCGTTCCTAGTTCAGGTTAAATTGGTGCTTGCGATCGGTGCGGTTACGTATGATGAAAGATTCTCACTACGCGTTGCAGCAATTCGCTGGGTATATGAAGCGCAAGCTTGGTTTTCAGAACCCAAATTCAAATCTCGTATTGACATACAATCTTTACAGTCCCATATATTATTGTTGTTTGCACAAGAAATGGTGGGCATCGGCGGGGATCCGATGTGGGTTTCAGCCGGTGCAATAGTTAGAAAAGCGATATATATGGGGCTACATAGGGATCCTGAAAATACGCCTACAACGACTACATTTCTGGCGGAGATGCGCCGTAGAATATGGAACACGATCCTAGAGATTTGCCTTCAATCAAGTTTGACCTCCGGTGGACCGCCATTATTCTCCCTTGATGATTTCGATACCAAATCTCCGGGAAATTTTGATGATGAGCAACTTGAGGATGCCGCCCAAGAACATAAAGACATCTACACTTAAACATCAGTCTCCAGGGTTTTCCGTGAGACTTTGCGGCAGCGTCTAGCGATAGTGAACTTCCTAAACAGCCTTCATTCCTCCCGTACATATGAGGAAACCCTTCGACTTGATGCGGGTCTAAGAGCCGCATATAAAACCTTATGTGGTACTATTCAGCGATATATTATCGGTTCCAGTTCGTTCCCTCCTCGGTTTGAATTACGCGCATTGGATTTAATAATGCATCGATACCTCCTATCACTCCATGTGCCTTTTTTCGGGCCGGCATTGCACAAAGCCGCTTACGCATTCTCTAGACGGCTCTCAAGATTTGGCATACGGCATGCCTACCATCGCCCCTCGTCGCCACTCAATCTGATGAATGTATTACATCATCAGCTCGAGACGATTTGACCACACTTACTATCTGTAGCTCAGGGTTCTATCGAACCGTTGTGCTTCAAGCCGCGTTACTTATAGCGGTGGAACTTAAAGAACAGCTCCAGGAGGGTAAAGGCCTAGGTCCAGCTATTTTACGTCAAGACCTATTTTCTGTGCTGATGGATGCGAAGGCATGGTCCCTAAAATGTATCCAAGCCGGAGAAACTAACATCAAGGGTTATTTGCTTACGTGTGTAATTGTGGCACATGTCGAAGCACTCTTAAAAGACCCCACTAAGGATCTCATTGCTAAGTTACTAGTCAATGCTATTGAGGACGCTTCGGCGAAATCACTATCGATACTTGATGGTATGGAAATCCCAAACCAGGCTGAGAACCCTGTGGGTGGGCTTAGTGAAATACTACTACACAATGTGAATGAGATGGCAGATGATTGGGGATTTATGGTAAGTGGTGAACCCTTCCTATAAGAAGCATTCCCAATTACTTATATTATATAGGTGGCAGGTTCAATATTTGACCTAGACAGCGGCGGCGACACTATGGGACTATGACTAAATGAAGCATCTAACACTCTATCCTTATACTACTGAAGGATTATTGAACTGGATTATATTCTGAGTTAGGTTGGGTTACATGGTTTTTCAGTTTCCACCAGTTCGCAGGTAACTATAAATGAAAATGAACCAGGCTGCATTTCGTCTGTCGTGCGTGGATAGTGACAATCGGCCGTGATCTACACTATGCACAAAGTCGCACTCTAGTCATCTCCAGTCCACCAGCAGCGTATCTCCTTCCCTCACCTGTAAATATACTAGTACTTAGAAGGATAATAGTTACATGTTAGTTTTTATAGTATATAGAGGGTAATAGGTCTTAGTTATGCCTAAGAACTGCCTCCTGTATTCGACCCTATTATAAGATAAGAGGGGCCTAAAGTAACTTCTTTATATAGTTCTATATAAATACCTAGTTTATGTATATTTTCTTACATGTCTTGAAATAACTCTCCGTTTTTATATTTTGGAAATTGGACATGTTTTAGTCTTCGTGTTTCTAGGCTGGTAAGACCTGGTGGCTGAATGCATCCCCTATTAGATTATTAACTTTCCTCTTTTGCATTTGCATTCCACTGTTCGGCAACCCGGCAGTCCGGTCAGTCGTCGCTCGAAGGTATGTACCTCGGGGGAACCAAGGCCAGGGACGACTACCCAAGTCCTATGCACCCCCGAGGTAGCTCCCTCGAGGGATGACTAACAAGACTGTCGGAATCAAAGGAAAGTTGGTAATTGAGAATGGCAAGCCCAACATAATTCACTACAGTCAACCTATTGGCGAACAGGCTGTCTAGTAGTCTATCTTATGCTATGCCTCTTGAATTTATGCGTCCAAAGGCGCATCCCAGTGGCGCACGGCATAATTTAACGACTTTAATGGATACATATCATCTTCAACTAACGAGGCCGTTTGATAACCCGCTTTCCATGCCTGACCTGGCCGTCCAGCATCTGATCGATGACAAACTCCTCGTCGAAAAAGACCTGGTTTCCTACCTTATCTTTCCAACAGCCCCGCGCAAAACATCTGAAGACGGGATCGCGGGAAAACTGGACCATTTTAAGATATTCCCAGTATTCAGGATGCCAGCCCGCGAACTCCCAGTCAATAATTGCTGTAATTATACCATTATTACTAACAAGGATATTATAGAGCCCAAGGTCGCCGTTGGTGATTATATTTTCTTAGGCAATTCTAGATTGTATCGATATAGAAAGCACCACGATACTGCATAGATTCCGGGTGGATTAGAGAGGCAAGCCATTCATTGAACTCAGACTCGGCTGTAAATGGCCCGCCAAATTCAGCGTGGCGGGCGCGAACATCGGCTGCAGGCCCACCGTCAACAGCACCAATCAAAGCTGTTGTAGGTATCTCTATCGCCCGAAGTTGCTGCAAAATCCCCTCTAGATCATTAAGTACGCGCTCACGCTGGGGTTGCTCCATGGTCGGCCAGCACTCGCTCAGCATCGCGCCGGGCATCCGGGACATGGCCAGATATCCCACAGCATCTTCTCCCTCTCCCTCTTCCCACGCATCTAGGGCTTCGGGTACAGGCACCTGGGGACAAGCCGCACGTATGAGATTTATTGTTGTTGCTTCCCGTTGAGCGCGTACGTGACGCCCATATTTGACCACAACACCTGATATTGTAACACAGACACCGTGTTTATCCCCCCGCTCTCCGACGATCCAGGTAGCGGAATCAAGGTCGTCCTTGGTGATCAGGGTGCCCATGGTGTAGATATGTACAAGGGCCTGTATGAGCTGAATCGATAATGGAATGTGCAACTTGCTGATAGATTGAGTTGTAAATCAAGCACAGGTGCTTAGTTGACGGCTAGTCACAACGAGCAACTTAAGATGATCAACCAAGAGTTGGCCAGGGGCTTCGGGGAAGAGATATATAGATAAATAACGCCAAATATGACCGAGAGCAGCGAACGATGATTAATTGAATGGGTTTGAAGGCATACAAGGGTGTAAATATTCGTATATTCGTGAGCTTAAAGAGCTCAGGTGAAGTCTCTGCCGAATATATCAGGGCAGTGCACGTGATCTGATGTTGGAAGGGACAAAAAGGCCTTATGTCCAATGGGTACCTCTTGTCACATAATTTCTCATTAAAAGCTCCTCGGTTCCCCCAATATCTTCCCGGGCTGCCGAGAGTCAAGATATAACTCTTATATGCACGTTATTGTCCTGAGACCCTAAGCAGTTATTTAACGGCCAACACGAAGTCACATGATGCGGGAGACCTCTCTCCGTGCCCCCCGCCAAAAAAAGAAAAGCGATGTCGTCGGGCTCTGCGTCTACTGCGGGCTCGTTTAGTGAAGTTATCGAAATCGAGCTTAAGCGACTGTACCATAATGGGTGTTTTGTGTGTCGCGCTACGCCTACCCAGTCTTGCCATATACTTGATAAGGGTAATCGGTTCATGGTATAGTTTGGATACCCCGTATCTTGTACAATTATTATGGCTGATTTGGGTCTTCCTAGGAACCCCTCTTACGCTCTCGCGGTTTATTGAATCTCGCTAAGATCAATCGGAAATGCCATTGCGTTATGCCACGTTAATTTTGACAACTACACCGACCCATCCTTAGTTATCACTCCCACTGATCTTGACTATTTGTCAAATATAACCAGTCTCTCTGCCACTAATTGGTGCGGGCTCGACTTTTTGGCCGAATGGCAGATTCCGACACTATTTTATTACTTTTGAGCAGGGGTTAAAATACCCCGCCATTCGCCAACAAGCTATGACTATCTCACACGTCAAACAGCACGGCCGCTGTATCAACAGATTCTGTGGGGGCTTGTACCGCCCTATCTCCCTGAGGGAATATGCACCGTGGGTTTCGCAATGCAATGAGGCAAAGCCTTGGCATGGCGACCCAATCGTTATTATATGTCGAGAGATATCGGCTACGGGAACTATGTGTATTGATAGATTCCCAAATTCTCTATATACAAAACTCCGTGTTCTACAGGACCTGTACAGCCGCTGTGATCCTCCTGTTTCATCAGTATCTATGACGAATCGCATACAACCTGGTGGTGATGCCAGTGGATCCGCCGGCCCCCAACCTGACTCAGCTGGCCCGACGTTACCCTGCGACGATAATAAAATCACTTCTACGTAGGGTTTGAGCCCAAAAAGCACATCAAACGACGCTGTAACGAGGTTTTCCCAGGTGTTTGTTAAATACGATTCAAAATATTAATGCATAATTATGGTACGGGAGCGACGCCACAACGTGGTCGCAAAAGTTGTATATTTTCTTTTTATGCTCGGAGGATTTCATGCATCGGGATACCAACCTATTATGGAAGGACGCAGAGAACATTTGAGTGAGATGAGGCTCGGCCACTCGTATCAACTCCAAGTTTGACCAGGGTGCAGCTGATTCTGACCCTTATAGAAAATGTTGGCGGGTAAGCAGAATCCTCTCAGCCTTTGCAGCTATAAGTACGGAACACTTGTATTGCTCCTTGAACGATCGACCATGTTGCTGTTGAGCAATCGTCCAGAAAACTCGCCTCGCCAAGATGGTAAACATTCAACAGCTCAAAAGGTTGCGGCCTCTAGGTAAAATCTCCAAAAGTCCTCAAGCGGCCGTCGGTCTAATGGTGCGCTATCACAGGAAAACTCGAGAAGGTCTCAGCCTCATGCCACCACCAGGAGTTCTTCAACAATGTTGGTCTCTCGGCTCACTACATACTCTCTGAGCCCTCATCTCCCCTGGCTGGATCTGACCTGCGTCGTCTCATCTACACCGCAGTAGGAGATGTAATCCGCAAGCACCGTATACTGTTTGTTATTCCTGTCAACGAAGACGCTCCGGATACATTCTTCGCCTCTCTCCCCTCAATTGACCTCAATCGAAGCGTCACCTTCCTCGAACGATCCCAGCCTTTTGATTCCAGCGGAGAAGACGAGGAACTCGATGCGATTCTCGAGAGCCAGCACAACACCAATTTCAAGTCTGAATATGGCACCTTGCCTTTTTGGAGACTGATTATCCTGCGAAACCGTGGGACAGAGAAGGAGTTCACGGCCTCCTTCATATATCATCATGCTATCGGCGACGGAGTCTCCGGCCTGGTTTTTCACGCTGCGTTCCGTAATGCATTGGAGGCCGCTTCACCAGACTCCAAGGTGGAGGACATCGTCATACCGGACGAAGATACTCTGGTCCCCCCGCCTCTCGAGGAATTGCATCCGCTACCCATCAAGCCAACGCCCCCCAGCCCATCCACGACAGCCCTCAGAGAGTGGACTGGCAACTCCATCCGCATGCCTTGCAAGACCCGCTGGAAGTCTCTTTGCTTCTCGCCGGACGCCTCCAAAGCCTTCTTCCAAGAATGCAAAGCAAATAATCAATCGGTAACATCTGGCCTGTCTTCCATCATCGCCATGGCCTTGTTCAGCGCCTTAGGGTTGGAGACGGAAGCTCTCACTTGCATCATTCCAGTGAACCTGCGGCCTTGGCTCAAGTTACCCTGCGAAGTTGGCGACGGAGCAATTGGCTCTTACTTTGATGCCACCAGAGTACAGTTCACGCGGCCGCGGGATCCCGGTGCGACAGATGTGTGGCCTGGAGCCCAACAGGCTTCAAAGGCGATGAAAGATTACCTCCAAAACGTCTCGCCGTCTGGAGAGCCTTACACGGCTGTTGCGATTTTCCAGACCATCCCAGACATCTCTGCTGTCTTCGCTTCGATGCTTGGAAAACCACGCGACGCAGCGTTAGAAGTGACCAACGTCGGACGCTTCTCGTCTTCCGCCACCGGCAACACCGCGGATGCTCCTCTTTGGCAGGTAGGAAAGGTGATACTCAGCCGGAGTTCTCTGGTTGCTGGTGCTGCCGTCACTGTCAGCGTTGCCACGGGTGAGAATGGATCGATGACGCTCGGTTTCAGCTGGCAAGACGGGGTTGTCGAAGATGGCCTGTTACGTAGTATCAGCCAAGGGGTCAAGAAATACTTTGAGAAATATTAATAGGACGTATACTATGCCCTTAGCTCAAGACGAAGGATAGAAAATGCATTCTCTTACACTACTCTTTAAGACGATCGAGGTTGTCATTAGCATCGTGTAATAACTAAGAGTAGGTGTATACCCGCATTATGGTAAAGTACCTCAGCGCTACTATCATAGCATTGCTGGATCCTGTGCTCCTCCAAGGCTGTCCTCACGCTGCAAAATCTTGTATTACGAGTTTGCATCAACGTAGTCCCAGTTAAATCAGGCGGAGGCCCCAGGGATAATTCTTCGAGGGTAAGAAAGTCAGCTAAACACCCATGTCTTGTTCTATATAAAGCCCAGTCTACTTCCGCTCGCGAACCAACACTACATCTTCACACCAGCAGGGAACAGGTCGACATTTGCCTGAAGAATACTTCGCATTCTCGACTGTAAACGCTACTCAAAATGGCTCAGGACTCGTCATATTCCTTCCCTTACTCTCAAGCCGCACGTCTTGATGCTCGAATCAAGATCCCGCGCCCCATCATTGATCCCACGCTCGCGCCTCTTGTCGATGCATTTCTGCTTCCTGAAGAGCTCGATATCGACTTTATGCGCGGCATGGCAGCTGGCGGAGGCGACGAGGCGTTCATCTGCAACGCAGACACCATCCTCAAGGGGGCACCGCACCTCAAACACACGGAGCATTCGGTTTCCGGGCCTGATGGCAACGGTGTCGTCCTGTCCGTATTTGCGCCCAAGGAGCCAGCGTCGGCTACGCTGCCTGCTTTGTACCACATGCATGGCGGCGGCATGGTCTCGGGCGACCGTTTTACCGGCGTAACGGAGCTGTTGCATCTCCTGCAGGGAATCGAGTGCGTTGTTGTCTCGGTAGAGTACCGCCTCGCGCCAGAGACTCGCGCCCCGGGGCCAGCGGAGGATTGCTACGCTGGGCTGGTCTGGACGTCTGAGAACGCCGCCAGCTTGGGCATCGACCCAGCCGGCATTGTTGTCTGGGGCGTCTCCGGCGGTGCGGCCCTGGCCGCGGCGACATGCCTCATGGCCCGGGACAGGAAGTCTCCCGCGATCCCCGTCAAGGCCCAGATGCTGCTGTCACCGATGCTGGACGACCGGTGCGAGAGCGTCTCGGACCAGCAGTTCGAATTCGGCAGCCCATGGTGCGGCGTATCGAACCGCAGGGCGTGGGACCATGCCATCGGAGACGACAGGGGGACCGGCAAGGTGACGCCGTACCAGTCCCCCTCGCGCGCAGAGGATCTGTCGAACCTGCCGCCCACCTACATCGACGCTGCCGAGTGCGAAGTCCTCCGCGACCCTGCTGTCTCGTACGCAATGAGGATGTGGCGCTGCGGCTCGACTTGCGAGTTGCACGTCTGGCCGGGAGCGGTCCATCTGTTCGATGGAGTGGATAACCCTGATGTGCCTCTTATCCACGCTGCCATAGTCGCAAAACAGACCTGGCTTGGGAGGATTATGCTTTGAATAGTCGGGATGTCACTAAACTGATGGCCTTTATACGGCTTCTTACGAGCATTTAGTTATATAGAGTGTTCTACTGTCTGCTAGCTGTATATCATATCAGCTCGTTTCATTGATATGAATTTAAAGAGCATCTTCTTGTCCGTAAGTCTTGTATAACTGATGTTGCCAATCTTAAGTTAATGTTTGTGGATACAGCTCGTACGGAGGCCTGCCGCAGAAGCGATATCAAACCCGAATGCCTATCCCAGGTTTCCTCCTCCGCCGCCAGAGGAGCTGCTGTCAAGGAGCGCATACTACAATGACCTCCTGAGCCAACGCGAAAACCTTGCTCCCGCCGATTCCCCGGGGGATACGCCGCTCTTTGCCCTCTATCGCCTCTATGAGCACCTCGTCCTCAACCGCACCACCGGCCTGCGCAATGAACTCGAGCGGTTTTGGTTCAACAGATGGCCTGTTTCGTCCATTCCGGATCCTGAAGACCACTCCGAACCCGCGCGATATGCGGTCCTGGCGTGCATCCCCGCTCTCATGGTACTGGCGTTCAACAGGAGGATAGAACTGGGGATACCGAGACGCGCGGATGCTATCATGACCATGGAGGAGATAGAAGAATACCGGAACGAGGAGAGAGTGTATGAACAGGTTCCTGAGTGGACGTTATCCGTGGAGCCACTACAAACAATACTGAAGATACCCCATGACGGAGGAGAGACTCTGGAGTCGTTTGACGATAAGAGAGCGAGTGCGCAGCTCAGAGAGAAGAACATCCTATGCTGGCAGCCACATATTCATTTTATTTAGCTCAAATATACAGGGTTAACAAGTTATATCTCCAATATAACAGGCTCTTTCTCCGTTCTGCTGTTTGCTCTGCATTCACCAACCTCGTTGGGCTGTGGGAGCCCAGCAAGGCTCTAAGCCATGCTATCATCCAGAAACCCATGCGGAGTAGCACTCTGCGCCCATCATGATTGTTCATTCTGTAGAAGCCGAGGAAGGCCTACCACTCCACGGACGCAGCATCGTCCCTTGAATCTCTATCTTGTCACTCTAATTCTACTGTTGCTGGTTAAGCTGTTTCTCCACGCCACACTAAAGCTCAGTAAACTACCATGACTTAGCAAGGGACAGTTCGAAAACCTATGTAGCAAACGCAATAAATATATCCCTGTCCTCCCAAGCTGTTCGCAATACAGAGCAAAAGTAATATAAGCCTCTCCCTGATAACTATATTGACAGCTACATATTATAAATCTTCAACTTGAGGCGGAGTTGCCTGCTATCAGCGATGAGCGACTATCCCACGGCGAGCACTCCGGTCAAGAGAGTCGGCCTGAGAGAGATGTGCGAGGTCAACGGCCGCCGCTTCTCGAGGAGGACGGGCACCCAGCAGTGGGCTGAATACAGGCCCGAAGACAGCTTACCGCCGCCCGGCCGGTCCCTGGACCTCTCGCTCGTCCATCACGCACAGGGCCCGGGCGAACCTCTGCACTGGGCCCTCTTTGTCGGCCCGGAGAACCAGCCAGGCATGGTGTACGAGGTCAAGGGAGACGCGGAATTCATGACGTACCAGCCTCCGAGCGGGCCCGTCGACGTAACCAGGTCTGCGTCCTTTTCGACGATGTACCGGCTGGCGGCATTGAGCGAGCAGCAGGCCGCGGTGGTGAGGGAGGTCGCGGACAGCGAGGTCCCTCCTCGAGCACCGAACCGGCAGTCTGTCAAGGAGAACTGTCAGGGCTGGGCGGTGCGGGTTATCGCGAGGCTAGTCGACAGGGGCATCGTGCCGGCTGCGAAGCTTCAGATGGCCGAATCGATGATGCAGCCAGTCTAGTCTATACTTTGATGTACCTCTAATACAGTACGTAATATACTTGTACGGCTGAGTATAATGAATGAGCATTGAATACTATATACACGGCTGCGACTTGAGGGTGTCGTGCAGGATGTCCTCCAGGACCTGCTTGGCCCAGCGTAGATCGACGGCCTCGCGCTCCCACTTTGCGATGTACTGTATGGTGTTGTTGACGCGGGCGGTCCAGTCGACGAGGGGCGCGTAGAAGCCCTGCCTGGCGGCGGCGAGGAGCAAGAAGGCGCAGGTGAGGGCGCGCCGGACGACGGACCAGGTGGCGCCGTGGCGGTGGTTGTGGACGCAGGTGACGATGAGCGCGGAGCACGCCTGCAGGGCGGCCTGGGCGATGGGGACCGCCTGGGGACGGTAGGGGTCGTCGGGCGGGCGGTGCAGCACGTAGTGCAGGAACGGGCGGTGGATCCATTCGCGGCATGTGAAGTAGCGGCCCTTGAGCAGGAGCGCGAATTCGTTGTCGGGGGTTTCGAAGTCGTCGAACCGCAGCTGGGGGGGGATATGCTGGCGCCTGTGAAGTAGAAGTAGAAGTAAGAAGTGGAAGTAGAAGTGGAAGAAGTGGAAGTAGAAGGAGTAAAAGTAAAGGAAGAGAAGTAAAGGGAGAGAAGTAAAGGAAGAGAAGAGGAGATACCACAGGTCGAGCTGGTCGGAGAAGGACTTGAACTGGGCGAGGATGAGGGCGAAGTTGGCGGTGTTCCACCAGGTCTCCTGGCGGCAGTAGAAGCCCTCGAGCACGCTGTTCATGATGCGGCGGAGCGAGATCTCGGCGAGGTAGTAGAACCAGCTGCTCTGCTCCTCGGGGACGAGGGGGGCGTCGGGCTGGGCGTCGGCCGGGGGCATGGACAGGCCGGAGAAGGACCCGGGGTACCTGAACTCGACGACGCCGCCGCGCGGGAGGCGGAGGTCCGCCCGGAGCTCACTGTCAGGTCAGCGCCGGAAGAGTAGAGTAGAGTAGAGTAGAGTAGAACGTTGGTAAAGTAGATAAGGGTAGAGGTACCACTCGGTCTTGACGCAGAACCAGTAGAGGCGCTGCTCGGTGTAGCTGGTCTGCTCGGTGTAGCTGGCCTGCTCGTTGTAGCTGGTGCTGGTGCTGGTCTGGTCGGTGCAGCTGGTGTAGCTGGTGCTGGTGCTGGGAAAGTTGGCGCGGCGCCAGAGGTAGGCCTGGTACTGGGCGCAGGCGTGCTGGAAGAGGGGCCAGGCGCGCAGGGGCTGGAAGACGGCCTTCTCGTAGATGCCAGCGTAGCAGTAGCACTTGACGGCGAGGACGGAGAGGTCGAGCGTGCCCAGGCGCTTCCGGGCGGCGACGTAGTAGGCGTCCGAGACGGCGCGCGAGGCGGGAAGGTCGTCCGCCGCCCGCCGGCTGTAGGGGACGTGGGCGGCGTGCGGCAGCGAGCCCAGCGCGCACGCCAGGAGCTGTCCGGTCAGCCATGTAGGTACAATATAGAGAGGGAATAGAGAGAGCTACCACAAGACAGGTGCTGCCGTCCCAGCCAAAGCCGTGCTCGGTGATGCGGCGGGCGCAGGCGAGCAGCTCGCCCGGGTCGAGGACGGGGTTGCGCCGGTAGAAGGAGTCGAGGAAGCGCTGGCACAGGGGCACCGTCTCCTCCTCGCTGATGCCGCGGCGGGCGCAGGCGACGTCCGCCGCCGCGCTGCCGGGGTCGGGCAGGTCGAAGCCCGCGCTGGACTGCAGCAGAAACGAGCTGACCGTCCGCACCGCAGGCAGCCCGGCGAAGCTGCTCCACGACAGCACCGCCTCGCACGCGACCGTCGCCGCCGCGCTCTCTGGGATCTCGAGCTGCCCGAACCCGTCCGCCGTGAAGTCGCTGCGCGTGTCCTCCCGGCAGTCGCCCCCGCTCCCCAGACGGCCCTCCTCCAGCAGCGTGACGGCGTGGTTGATGCGCTCCAGCAGCTGGCTGTGCGACGGCTCTGCCTGTCTGCTCCAGTCAGCACACTCGTAGATAGCAACAGGCTCAGGGTAATACTCACGCCGGGTCGTCCGCGTAGGCGCAGGCGAGCCCGTTGGCCGCGCAGTAGCTGCAGGGCCGCCGGTTGTCGCACTTGGTCTTGCGCGCGCGACACGCCAGGCAGGCCGTCGTCGCCCGCCGGCGTCGCTTCTTCGTCCGCTCGTCGCTCTCGCTCGCCATCCGCGATCTCCCCGTATATTATATCTGTATGATCAAGGTACGTGGATGTGGATGCAGATGCAGTATGCTAGTATGGGGATGCCAGTATGATGCTAGCGGGGAGCTCGGGGAGATGCGAAGTCTGGGGAAGCTCGACTTGACTATAAGATGCTACCCCGGACGCCCCAGACGTCGATATCCCATACTATACTACTACTTACTACTTACTGATACTACTGACACTGAGATGGCCCTCCGCGAGCACCTCGCGGCCGTCCGCGCAGCCTTCAACCGCCGCCTGCTGCTCTCCTGCGCCCTCATCGCCTTCTCGCAGATCAACTTCGGCTTCGACCAGGTCGCCTTCTCGACCACGCAGGCGATGGACGCCTTCGAGCGCGAGTTTGGCGTGCAGAACAGGAAGACAAAGGCCTTCGCCCTCGAGCCGACCTACCTCGCCATGCTCAACGCCCTCCCCTACCTGGGCTTCCTCGCCGGTACCTCTTCTTCTACTTCTCTCTCTACCTCTTCTTCTACTTCTTCTTCTACTTCTACTTCCTGCTAACTCCTCAGGCCTCTTCCTCGGCAGCTCCGTCAGCGCGCGATGGGGCCGCCGCATGGTCATGTTCGCGATGAGCGTCCACGCGATGGTCATGGTCCCCATCACCGTCACCTCGCGCTCCAAGCAGCAGATGCTCGCCGCCCGAGTACTCAACTGTGCGTCTCCATACTTATACCACTTCTATTATATAGACTGACAGCCGCAGATATCTACCTCGGGATGGAGCTCGCCGTCGTGCCCGTCTTCCAGGCGGAGATCGTCCCCCCCCAGGTGCGCGGCGCCGTCGTCGCCACCTACCAGCTCTGCATCTACGTACGTCCCAGCCCGCTAGAATGTATACAAGACACTCACAAGACAGGTCGGCGGCCTCATCATGAGCCTCGTCTGCCGCGGCACCATCCGCCTCGACGGCAACGCCCAGTGGCAGATCCCCCTCGCCCTCTTCGGCTTCGTCCCCCTCGTCGTCGCCTCGCTCGTCTGGTTCATCCCGGAGGTAGGCCCGACACTGACTGACTGAAGATTTTGACTGTGACTCTGACTGATGGCAGTCCCCCCGCTGGCTCCTCGTCAAGGGCCGCCACGACGACTCGCTCAGCGCCCTGCGCAGCCTGCGTGACGGCCGCTTCTCCGAGGAGCAGATCCTGGCCGAGTACACCGCGCTCCGGGACCGCCTCGGCCGCGAGTCCACGCACAGCGCCAGATACGTCGACTGCTTCCGCGGGACCGACCTGCGCCGCACCCTCATCGCCGTCGGCGTCAACGTCTTCCTCCAGGCCACCGGCCAGGTCTTCACCGCCCGCTACAGCGCCGTCTACATCAAGTCCCTCGACACCGTCGACCCCTTCTCCATCACCATCGTCAACCAGCTCGTCAACCTGCTCGGCGTCGCCATCTCCATGGTCCTCGTCGACCACGTCGGCCGACGGTGCGTCTGCAACCCTCAATCTACATGCTTAACCGCGTAAATGCGTAACCATGCTAATCTATGCAGTCCCCTGCTCTACGCCAGCAGCGCCCTCCAGACCGTCGCCTGGTTCGCCATGGCCGGCCTCGGCACCCCCCGCGCCCCCACCCACGCCATGCGCTCCGCCATCGTCGCCCTCATCGCCTTCTTCAACATCTCCTTCTGCATCGGCTGGGCCCCCCTCTCCCACACCGTCGCCGCAGAGGTCCCCTCCTCCCGCCTCAGGGACATGACCTTCCGCACCGCCAACGCCGTCAACCTCATCATGCAGTAAGTCATCCTAGTCCACGGTTGTGTAGTCCATCTAGTCCGTCTAGTCCGTCTAGTCCATCTAGTCCGTCTAGTCCGTCTAGTCCATCTAGTCCGTCTAGTCCATGGTTGTGTAGTCCATGGTTGTGTAGTCCATGTGTAGTCCACGGCTGACCGGCAGGCTCGTCATCACGCTGGTCATCCCCTACCTCATCGACGACAAGTACGCCGGCCTCGGGACCAAGATCGGCTACGTCTTCGCCCCCCTCTCCGTCCTCTCCCTCCTCTTCACCTACTTCTACGTCCCCGAGACCACCGGCAAGTCCCTCGAGGAGCTCGACGCCCTCTTCGCCGACCGCGTCCCCACCCGCCAGTTCAAGACCGCCGTCGTAGACCCCGCAAAAGCAGACCCCGCAAAGGCAGACCCTTCGCTCCCCGGCAAGGACCCCAACGCCGCCCATCTGGAGGTCGCGTAGCTAGTCTCGTTTTACTTTTATATCGTTAAACCTAACCCCAGATTATACATATTTAAGTTTACCGACTTTCTTTCCTGAGTTTATTTCTTATTTCTTCTGGCGTCGGGGAGATATCGGCATCTCCACTTAACGCTAAATCTTGTATATCGGGGTCGTCGGGGAGCCCGGCAACGGCTCGATCCAACCTCGGTAGCGACTCTGTATATATCTACTGACGCATGCTGCCCGGCTACATCATGGTACTCTCCATCTTCACCCTGCATACACCATGGCTACGCGACATCCGAATTTCCTTGTCATCGTTGCAGACGACCTGGGCTTCTCAGACACCGGCTGCTTCGGCGGCGAGATCAGCACGCCCAACATCGACAGCATCGCCGCCGGCGGCCTGCGGTTCACTGACTTCCACTCTGCGGCAGCATGCTCGCCGACCAGGTCCATGCTGCTGACCGGGACCGACAACCGTAGGCCTCTCCCCTTCCCCCTTCATCCACCCAGTACTGACGCATGCAGACATCGCCGGCATCGGGACCATGTTCGAGAAGCTTCGCGAGTTCCAACGGGGCAAGCCGGGCTACGAGGGATATCTCAACGACAGGGTCGCCGCCCTCCCGGAGCTGCTCAGGGACGCCGGGTATCACACCATGATGTCTGGCAAATGGCACCTGGGGCTCGAGCCAGGCCGCTGGCCCTGCACCAGAGGCTTCGACCGGTCGTACTCCTTGCTGCCGGTAGGTAACCCCTGCCCCTGTCCCTCGCCTGTCCCTCGGGAGGCGTTCAACGTTAACCGTAACCGCTTGTTAACCGCCTGCTCCGCATTAGGGTGCCGCCAACCACTACGGCTGGGAGCCGCAGCTCCAGGCAAAAGGCGAGGACCTGCCTCGCATCATCAGACAAAATCGAGTCTTCTACGTGGAAGACGACCGCCCCATAGAGCCCCGGGACCTGGGCGCGGACTTTTACTCCACCACCGCTTTCACCGATAAGCTGCTCGACTACATGGACGACCGCCAGAAGGATCCAAAGTCCAAGGAGCAGCCCTTCTTCGCATATCTCGCCTACTCCGCCCCCCACTGGCCGCTCCAGGCGTCCCGCGACGACATCGCCAGCTATAAGGGCCGGTACGACGACGGGCCCGAGGCCCTCCGCCAACGCCGCCTCCAGAGCCTCGAGAAGCTCGGCATGATCCCCCCCGGCACAGTGCCGCACGACGTGCTCAAGTTTAGCAACCGCACCATGTCCAAGTTCTGGTGCGACCTGAGCGAGGAGGAGAGGAGGTACTCGTCCCGCTGCATGGAGGTCTACGCCGCCATGGTGCAGGCCATGGACAGGCAGATCGGGCGTGTGCTCGACCGTCTACGGGAGACACGCGAGCTGGACAACACGTTCGTCCTCTTCATGTCCGACAACGGGGCCGAAGGCTCGCTTCTCGAGGCAATTCCCATCATCGAGGAGAACGTGTTCGAACACATTGCGCGCTACTACGACAACTCCCTCGACAACCTAGGCAGACACAACTCGTACGCATGGTACGGGCCTCACTGGGCCTCCGCCGCAACAGCACCCGCACGCCTGTACAAGATGTTCACCAGCGAAGGCGGGATCCGGGTCCCGTTTATCGTCAACTATCCCCCCCTGACGGCGAACAGGGCGGGCGCCATCGACCCCTCTTTCTGCACCGTCATGGATATCGCCCCCACCGTCCTCGAGCTCGCAGGCGTCGCACACCCGGCGCCGACATACCGGGGACGCCCCATCATGCCCATCCGCGGCGCTTCCTGGGTGCCCTATCTCTCTGGCGCACAGCCTCGAGTCCACGCCGAGGACCACGTCACAGGCTGGGAGCTATTTGGCCGGCAGGCGGTGCGCAAGGGGGACTGGAAGGCCCTCATGATCCCAGAGCCGCACGGGCCGGGAGACTGGCAGCTGTACAAGCTGAGCGAGGATCCGGGCGAGACGCGAGATCTGAAAGAGCTGTATCCGGAGAAGCTGAAGGAACTGCTGGAGGCGTGGGATCAGTACGTGATGGAGGTGGGAATCGTGGGCGAAGCGATGCAGTATGGTGTCCTCGATGCCGATACCAGCCAGGTCAATGGGAAGATATAGCTAGTTTTGCATATATATATATATGAGAGACTGCTATTGAGATGTATATATATTGACAGATTTGTCGTGTTGTAAATATATTATCCCCAACAGCGACGGTGAAGATTATATATTATATTTAGAGTCAGGATATTATTTTGCATTCACTTGATTACGTAACACTTAAACTTTACCTCCCAGATCGAGATCACGTGGTTCGTGTATGATTAGCTATCGCGACGTCTGCCGACTTCAATACAACTACATTCTTCTCATCTCAACGCTCAGTTCTTAAAGCACTTGGTACAAGCGTTCTCGGGCCTCGTGTATGACAGTTTTACCTGCCCCAAAGAATAGATACACAGTCTACCCGTCAACCACTACTTGGGACTCCCACAGAGCCCTATTCCAGTCCTACCACCGGCAGATATTCTCTTTCGAGAAATAACCAAGTTGACTTTTAAAAATATTATTTCTTACTAATTTTACGTTTGGTGATAATTCCCTTTATTGGGTAACCATCCGCAGATTCGTATCAAAACGCTGGCTCAAACGCTCACCACTCTCGGTGATATAGGATGGTGCTTTACCCGACGCCGAAGAGAAAGACTACAGGTGTAGCAGAGTCTTGATTGTATTCTTCACCCATATATTTAAGGGTTAGAAAGCGCTTCTCCTTGCTCTCTTTCTTAGGGCTAGAAATGGGGACGAGAGGGTTATGGAATCTACACTTTGCCGGTACGCGAGATATCTTCCCATCCATTACCTTGGGATTAGCTACATACTAACAGACTATTCAAAGGAAAATGGTATCGTTTCCACGATCGAAAAAGCCGTATCTGCTCCCCACACGAGCCGGGAATAGTGCGGCGAATACAATCCATCGTGGCTTCGCTGGATGACTTGAAGGGATGGGAGCCAGTTCCCTTCCCCAGCCCGCTCCCGTCAAATTTGGACTACGTGTACACGATTGATGTCGATGCCGGGACTTTGACAATCACTCGATGGGAGAGCGTTGACGCCGTATTACAACCTTTCCCCCGTCAGATAAAGCTATCCTGTCTCGACGAGTCCCACGGACTGACGCTGGACTCGCTAGAGAGGGCCCCGTCCGAGGTCTCAGCACTCACAGACAGTGAAGCGGTTTCGATACCAGGAGTTAAAGTCGAGCTGCAAGGGCTTGATATTCGTCCTGGACCGCCAACACCGCTGAATGAGCTACAGTTCCGAGTTTCCCTCGACTTTTGCTTTGTATGGCGGGCTTTCATTGACGATCCAACAAGCTGGCGATATCCCTCCATGGGGTTCAACACCCTTGCCATTGGCCTTCTGCGTATTGCGGCCTGGGATCTTGAGGTGTCTTCTGACACTGAAATTGATTATCCAGTTAACGGGGTAACCTTTCCTCGCTGGGAAGCGCCCCAAGCAGATGTTTTCTGGTTCCATGGATACCTCGTCGTGCTTCACGCCACCATCAATACGGATGTTTCGTTGTTGGCTGCTATTTCCAAGGCTCAGTCATTCCTTCGCCTATCCCACAAAGATACCGCTCATCTAATAATCTTATCGTTACGGCATGTTGCCTTTGTTGAGATCTCGTCCAGGTCTGTTCTGTGCACTCGGGTGCTTCCTCTCATTGTCAATGCCTCAGCTGTGCAATGTTCTCCAGGCTTTCGTTTGCTGAGCCATGTTCTATCTTCGTCCTGCTGGAGGGCATCCTTGGCCCAGAGGGAGCAGCTCGGGTTTGGTCTGCCAATGGAAATCCTGGATCTCGTTCTTGGATCCTGCACCCCCAAGGCCGCACTGACACTGTCACAAGCTTCCTATATTTTCCAAGAACGGTATTACTCAATGATTCCGCAGCTTCCGGGTCTATCACTGCAAACTTTTAAGCACTCCGTTCCCTGTTGTGGGAAGAGGGACGGCCTACAGAATAGCCTTGTCTGTTGCCTATACTGTTATGCATTTATACATACGGAATGTGCTGGCTCGGAACCTGGGCCGCTACCGGACCCTCAGGTTATTTGTCCTGACTGTAAAGATGGAAAACTCTGCACAGAACTTGTTCCTGGAGGCATCAACCACGTAAGCCGGCGGTATGCTGGCGAAGACTGTGAAGTGTTAGTGGCCGGATCTCCCAAGGTGCTCCGAATACGGCTCTCGAAGCCTTCTCACCTTCGTCCAGAACTGCGGCTACTCGGGAACATCACCACCGTCCCACCTCGCTTGATAAGTTTTACAATTCGCTTTAATGGTGCATTTGCCGGTCTGGCTTACGGATTAGATGTCTTTTAGGCCCAAGGTTAATCCATTTTGGGGTCGAATTAGCATCATAGCCGGTTTTTTGCTCTAAGAGATAAGATACTTTTAAATATACCATGTCTTTCAATTAAGCACCTAAAGGCAAACTAATCTATACACAATACCTTTTCACCAACATTTCGCTCCAATCATCGTCGTATACCATCGTTATGCAGTTTCATACCAATTTCAGCTGTCGGACTCATCAGCAATCGAGCGCACAGGTGGAGTATTGTTTTGAGCCATATGATGTAACATCCAGTCGATGAATACGTTATCATTCCGTGCATGGAACGAGTTCCGGGATGGTTGACCCGGAGGACCCCATGGAATAAGCCGTGCGTTCGGAGGCAAGTACTGTGATATTCGTAGAAGTGAAATGTGCAACCATGAACCAGGATTGCCCAGCAGCGGCCGAATTCTGTGTTGGCATTCTCAAGGGCATTCTCAAGGGCATTCTCAAGCTGCTCCAGTGCACCCTGGATGGAATCAGTGGTTTTTTTTGCTTCTGCTAAGGTATGATCGATGACGCCTCGATCACCCGGAAAACGTCGCTGGATCCGAAGGATGATAAAGTCTGCATAATGGTCGTTTCGGTTTTGTTCTGGGGCAACGGTAAACCCGTTTGTTGCCGGAAAATAATAGTTGAGAATTCCCGATGCCATCGCCTTCACTGAATCTTCAAACCCCGAATCGTGTTCGGTGAATCGGACAAGCTCGTCGAGTATAGGAAATGAAATATAATTAGCCATCGTTCTTTGTAGGTAGTTAGAACTGACAAAAGGAGCACTTTCAATAGGTCTACTGGAGGCTGTGAGGAGGAAGAGGCCTTTAAGTACTCTCTTCGCAGCTGTTTAAGTCATTGGGATACCTATACGTCTGCGTACCGCTTTTAGAAAATCGGAAATAGCAGGTTCTATGCAGTTTCCCTTCTGAGTTGAAAGCGTCAATGTTCAAAACCCAGCGGAGCTCTACACACCGGGTTATATGACATACATATACAGCACAGGTGTGTTTCCCTTATGCCCAATCTAAGGCGAGAGGGTGACTCATAACTTGGTAGGAATGATACTATATAACTGACGGTTATATCTTCCAGTTTGGAATGGAAACCCTTAGTTAGTCATACCGAAAACCAACACCAGCAGCCCACACCACAGCCATACAACAGCCATAGCTGGCCTCAAAGCACGTATACACTCTCCAGGAAGACACGAGCCAGTTCCCATAAGCATGGCCGAAGGACTGCACCGCCGTGGCACCGTTCTTCCTGTGCCTGGCAAGCGGAATATACTCATCACCAGTGCTCTGCCGTTCGTGAACAACGTCCCCCACCTTGGGAATATCATAGGATGTGTGCTTTCAGGAGATGCCTTCGCAAGGTACTGTAGAGGACGCGGCATCAATACTCTATACGTTGGTGGTAAGCAGTCAAGCGAAGGTTCCCCTAATTAGGGCAGCAAGCCTAATCAATAGCTTTTCCCAGGGACGGACGAGTACGGAACCACAACAGAGGCAAAAGCTCTTGTGGACAAGTGCACGCCCCAGGAGCTCTGTGATAAATACCACGCGATTCACGCAGAGATATATAAGTGGTTCAATATTAGCTTCGACATCTTTGGCCGCACTACAACACAACTTCAGACAGATATTACACAGGACATCTTCTTGAAGCTAAAGCAGAATGGTTTTTTAACGGAGCGCATGACAACCCAGCTGTACTGTCAGGAACACCACTCGTTCCTTGCAGATCGCTTCGTGGAAGGCGAGTGCCCGGTCTGTGGCTACACAGATGCTCGTGGCGACCAATGCGATCTCTGCGGTCAACTCCTAGAGTCCCTACAGCTCAAGTATCCTCGATGCAAAATCGATGGCTCCAAACCCATCACCAAGGACACCAAACATATTTTCTTAGAATTAGATAAGTTGCAACCTAATATCGAATCATTCTTTAGAGACTCCGCCGCAGCCGGTGTATGGTCGAACAATGGCACGGTCATCACTTCGGCTTGGTTGAAAGAAGGACTAAAGCCACGCAGTATAACCAGAGATATCAATTGGGGAACACGGGTCCCATTGCCGGGATACGAAGAGAAGGTCATATATTCTTGGTTTGACGCTTGTATTGGATACGTATCTATCACTGCCCAGTACACTGACCAGTGGGAAAAGTGGTGGCGAAATCCCGAAGATGTTCAACTATATCAGTTTATCGGCAAAGATAATGTTGTCTTCCACTCCGTGATATTCCCTGGCTCACAAATAGGCACCGGAGATACCTGGACGAAACTTCATCACCTGTCCACGACAGATTACCTTACTTACGAGGGTGGGAAATTTTCTAAATCTCGCGGCATTGGTGTTTTCGGAGATTCAGCTCAAAAAACTGGGATTCCCGCTGACATCTGGCGCTGCTTCTTGCTTTCCCACCGCCCAGAGGCTGGCGACAGTGAGTTTACTTGGGACGCATTTATTAATTGCAATAATAACTTGCTCCTAAAAAATTTCGGCAATTTTGTCAATCGTGTTCTGAAATTTGTTAACTCTCGTCACTACAATAACATTGTACCGAACTGGGCCGAATACCGCGAAGACTCCTTCGACACCTTTAAGAAGGAGATCAACAAGCTTCTCTCGCAGTATATCCAGGAACTCGATACTGTCAAGATTCGCTCCGCCTGGTCAATAGTTCTCCAGATTTCTCAACAGGGTAACGGCTTCCTACAATTGAATAAACTTGACAATAATCTTGCCGAAAATGAGCCGTTTAGATGTGCAGCAGTTATTGGTATAGCCATCAATATGGTCCACCTTCTTGCGTCTATCATTGCCCCATATATGCCGGACACAGCAAAGTCCATCAACTCGCAACTCCGTGCGGATCCACTTCCTATCCCAGATCACTGGAATGCGGACTCTATAAAGCCGGGCCATGAAATTGGCAAGTCAGAACACTTGTTTAGTCGCATTAATCCCGAAAAGGCAGAGGAATGGCGAGAGAAATTTGGTAGCGACGAGGTGAAAAAACTCAAGGAGGAAGAGGTTGCAGTAAGAGCAAAAAAGGCGGCTATGAAGGTTGGGAAGGCAGGTAATATAGATATGGCATTAAGCTAGAGGCTATCCGCTCTTTGCCATGGGCATAAAGAATTTGCCAAGTTACGTCTTGACACTGGACCTGGAACAAGCTAATAGTTTGAAGAATATTCCGCCAAGCACATCGCTAACTACTTATAAGGCTTTCTTACTATCGGGCAAAAATGGCACAGGCCAGGGGGTGTCCAGTTGATCTAATCTAGGAATGAGTTTTTGAATGTGCATGATATATTCCATGCTCCAATAGACCCCGAAGGGCTCTACGCCAGACGCTATATACATTCCTCTCTAAGCCTTAATAGGCGGCATCGAAGCCCTAACACTTCGCCCCTTGGCCCGCCGTATTCGACCAGCGATATAGAGCCCGTAGAGACACCCTGCCAATTGCCGAGCCCTCTCAGAGTTTTACAAGGATCGAGAAATCTTACTCTACGACTAGTTATGTGTAAAGTACATCGCTCTTACCCACATACGTAGTATTCAAAGTCGGAGAAGCGGGCCGGCCAAACTATCGCGCTAATATACTTTAAGGTAAATATTTGCAACAATAGTAAGCTTGCTAAGGTTATGTATAGCAGCCCCCAGGATACTAGATATATCTCTACGTGTACTATACCTATTCTGTGACGGAGGATCCATTTCGGTAACACGCCAATTATATATAGTGTACATAGTGCATGAGGATCCAAATAAGTACGCAACTGTCAAATATATAGTTACGTAGTTAGCAGCTTAGTTAGCTCACGTGCTCTTACTATGTATTCGCCATAACTACCTAAATTACGAAGCTGCTGGCAACATGGGATATGCCTGCATTTAGAACGCATCGAATGGTATTCCACCCCACGCCCGCTCCCGAAGATCTCTGATGCTATAATGAATATGTATCCCATGCAGCAACTATCCACGTATGATGCATTACTATGTATGTACTATGTATGCAACGATCATGTTACCGGGAGATTTTCAATATTTTCGGCCAGCGGACCCAAAAAGGACCTGACTAGAGCGTATAGGGGTATAAGCCATTACAACGAATGCAGCCTGCTATGGTGGTTACATAGGTCGATGTGGCGCGTTTGAGAGAGACGGAGGTGACAGAAGTATGATAATTCTTCGTGCATACGGTTTATGCATCGGTACAGTTATGTGTGCCATGAAAAGTTGCCCTGACTGGTTGCGAAGAGCGGAGAAAGTTTAACTAGGTAGTTTGCTAAACTAACTAGTTAACTTGATATCTGACCAAGAGATGCCACCCAAGGTTCCAACTTGTAGCTTATCCGCCAACACACTCTCCAGATGCCTCAGATATTATGGATTGTCCACAATGAAACCACTTTTCCCCCTGAAATGCTTCTTTTCTGTCTTTCAAAGGCCGCTCTTACCACTAGGTCTTTTTCGTTATAGAAAGAAACCAAAGTCACTAATCCACCAAAACCAACTCCGCATCGCATTCTCCCCGTTCAGTTCAATGACATGCGCCGACGACATTATATCTGACCATCATATGAGCCTCTTGAAGGAGTGGAAAGATTGGAAAATTACCGACCTGGAGGATATCACCCAATAAGGATTGGTGATCGGTTTCAGGATCGTTATCAGATACTGCTGACTCGAAACCGCGAGACTTCAATATTCTATCAGAGCTTTCTGGCCGTCTGCATGCTTCCGACAAAAGCCCGGGTGAAACGATGGTCCCTGTAATTATGGAAAATTTTACTATTCACGGCCCCAATGGCGAGCATGAGTGCTATGTGACTGCCCCAGCAAGAGCTAGCCTAGCAGATGTGAAAGATGGATCGTGGGTCCGCTTGTTTAAACTTGATACTGCTCGAGTACTTGCTGCGCAGCTGGTTATTGCTGTCGAGTATATCCATGCTCGGGGATATGTCCATGGAGATCTTCACCTCGGCAATGTCCTCCTTAAAATGCCATCAGAATTCCATCAGCTCCCCCCCCCCCCCCCGAAAAGTTATATGAACGTTATGGGGCACCAGAACTTGATCCAGTGGTTCGTTTCGATGGTGAACCGCTTCCACCAGGAGTGCCCTCTCATGGTGTTGCGCCAATATGGCTCGGGAAGCAAGCGAAGATATCTCTGCTGTAGAAGCTCAGATTTTACTGTCAGATTTTGGCCAGGCCTTTCCACCCTCACGAGAAGTAAGGTACGAATCTCACACTCCTTTAGTTATTCGTCCACCTGAGATCATATTTGAGTATGGAAAACCTCATCCTTCCCGTCAAACATATGGACACTTGCCTGCTCTATCTGGGCCATCGTTGCCCAAAGACCACTATTCGACAGCTTTCTCGCCACACAAGATGATATGGTTTGTGAGCATGTCGATGCTCTTGGTATCTTACCCCCTGAGTGGTGGCAGAAATGGGAAGCACGACATAGTAGATTCGCCGAAGACGGCACCCCGATAAATAGGAGCGCTTTCCGGTCATGGGACGACCGTTTCGAGGACAGTATCCAGCAGCCGAGGTGTGATAGCGGGATGCCTCCGTTCGGCTCCGATGAAAGGGATGTTATATCATCAATGTTACGGTCAATGCTCTCCTTCAAACCCGAGAACAGGCCTACTGCCAAACAAGTCCTCGAGTCTGAATGGATGGTAAAATGGGCTCTGCCCCAGTGTGATAGTTATCGTGACCAATACCCCTTTGCAAAATAGCCTGGAAGAGTGCTACGATTAGTTTATGTCTTATAATAGCAGGAGAAAGATGAGAAAAAGGTTTTCCGACGTATGATTTGGATGATGATTCGATATTTACCCAGCGAGGCCGTCATTTAGGATGCCATTGAACCTGATCTGAGCAGACATGACATTTATTAGCTACTCCTCGAGTCACTAAACTATACATATACCCGGTCTCGTTGGCAGACAAGACATGAACCTCTACCTCCGCGATTGTTATATTGCTGCTTAACGTAAGAGATTTTCTCTATCTATTTGTATCTTTGGTATCGTTATTTACCCGCTAAGCAAGCACAGGACAGGGTCTGTTGGGGGGGGTTATAATCCCACAACCCTCCCTATATCAAACGCTTCTAGCTGTTCTTAGAAATGCAATGCGGCCTTCAAGCTGAGTGTTATTAGTTATTGACAAGGGCTGGATGACAGCAGAACAGTATATTTCAAAGTGAACGCAGTTCAACCTATGACCAAGAAACAGAAATTCCAGCAGAAAAGATACCAGACGACGTGGAATATGAGATTCCTGCCAGGGATGCCGGTCAACAATGTGCAATCAAATCGGTAACTAGTAATGAGTTATCTCAATGTCCCGTTGAGGCTAAGCTCCTGTCTCATCCTTGCAGGACAGAGGATCTGAACGAAGGATCGTTGGGAGAAATCTCGATAACTTGGCGAATAGGATCCCCCGTCTAGGATACGGTCTGTTTCATTATGTGGCTAAGTATAGGCCGTTTTAATGTAAGCCAGGCGTCGTACCCCATGTAGGTTGAATGTTGGATGCAGATTTCTTTAAATTCCAAGAGTGCCCTATCGCTTGAGACCATGACGAAGAGCCTTCCCGTCTCTGTCTTCCTTAAAAGAATATACAGACTTGCACAAAATGGCTGGTAGCGGAACACCAAGTGAGCCTCTCTAGTTACCATGCTGCCTGGGAAAATCCTGCTAATCAAATTATCGTATAGTTCTGGGTAGCCTGTTTGTATATGCCCCCAATAAAGCAGCACCCATCTTTTTTACGGTTGCCTACGCTCTCTCAGCGGTTGGTCATATCTGGCAGTGTTTGTGAGCGATTATTATCAGCTTTATACAAAAATTTCATTTACTAAACTTATATTAGTTATTATAAATCATGGAAGCTGATCGGACTGCACCCAGTCTGCGCAGTGCTATTCACAATTGGCTATGCCATGAGGGAATATAGCTCCTTCAACTATATATACACTGGCAGCATGACGACCCTTATCGTCTTCATCCTTGGTCAGGTCTTTATATATGTTTGTCCGTCAGTGAATCAAGGGCAAGCCACGGTTATTTTCCTCGACTAACTTGCCTCTATGTAGTCCACTTCTCGAGCTTGCCAACTACCATATTTTGGGAAGAGTGCTATTCTATGTACCTCATCTTGCACCGTTCCCTCCAGGCAAAGTTGTTTCCACGTTCGGGTTCGTGATGGTAGTTGTTGAGACTCTGAACGCGTTAGGGGTTGCTCTCAGTTCCAACCCGTCATCAGATTTGAGCCAACAACATCTTGGGAGCAATTTAACCATTGCCTCGCTATCGCTTCAATTTGCTGTGATATTCACCTTTCTAGTGCTAGCAGGCACCTTACATCGCCGATGTAATAAAGCCAAGATCCGCTCCAGATACTCCAGGTCCATTACTACTATGCTGATAGCTCTCTATATAAGCATGTGTTTGATCCTAATTCGCTGCATTTATCGATTAATAGAGCACCTGGGAAATACGGCAGTGGATCTCGAAGATATAGAAAAACTCAGAAACTTGAGTCCCATTCTACGGAACGAATATTACTTCTACATATTCGAGGCTTCCCTTATGCTCATCAACTCTGTTCTGTGGAATATATGGAACCCATCCCGCTTCCTTCCTCCGGATCACCGTATTCATGTGACCAAAAATGGCAACGCGGAAGTTATGGCAGAGGATGGCAAGGATAGTCGATCAGTATTAGCAAAAGCAGGGCATATCTTGACGTTTGGCATACTTTTTGGCAGGAAGACGGCGGTTCGACCCTTGCATGAGCCTCCTGAGACTGAGATGACGCCTGCCTCAGGCGGTCGGCTAAGTTGATCACAAAAAAAAGGACTTGTTATAAGCCGCGCCCAGGGCAGTTGATCCCATCCTACCAAATATACAGTGGCTTACTTAACTCATACAATATCACGCCGGACTCAGGCCTTTTCTCCTAATCATCTTTTCTGCCATGACACGGAGTCGATCTAGAGATAACTGGAATATATCAGTTGCGTTTCTTCCTGCTGGTAGGCTGGCTCCCAAAAATTGAGCGCGAGTTATTGAGATACTTTGAACAGCTAAGTTAGCGGGGGCAGGGAAAATATCCTATCCATGGTCAGATGTTATTTGAGAAAAGGGCGGCAATTGAATTAGTTATAGGAGTTATAATACCTCAGCCTGTAATAGCCGCGACCCAATTGTGTCTTTTCCATGTGCCTCTAGGACGCATTGAACTGTATTATTTGAAGTTTTTGACCACTTTATCAAAAAACAAACTGCACGTGAGGAAATCCGCCATGTAGCCACAAATCCTTATCACGGCAAAGTTTAGCCCATGAGTCAGACCACCCGGTTTCAATAACGATGCATGGAAATGGTTGATTATCAGGGAGTAAACAGGTGTCAGGTTCTTTAACCGAACTAGAGTAAGGCGCCCGGAAACCTTTGAAGGCTATTTGACTATTAGAAGTAAAAAAAAGTAGATCTTGGGGACGGAAGGAGCATATATAGTGCATACTTGTGCTAACGAGAAATGCGACCATGTCGGATTCTGCCTGGGTTAAAAATCCCGAAGACACCATACGTGATATCTCATTCACAATCCATCGTTGGTGGGCGTCGTGCACAAAAGTAGGCATTATTCTGATATCAATGGTTTGAGTGAGCGAGTTATAATTGATTCTATTATAACAGTTAATCATTTCAGTCGTTGATCCCCATGGAAGTTGCCGGGAAAATATACACTACCTAGGACAGGCATTCTCAATATCTGGATCTTTGATCAGCGAGTTCGTGACCAAAAGGCCAGTTTCAGTAGGGATATTCTCAAACATCAACTCATTATGTTCACGCGATCCAAGTATCGCCTTGCGGATAGTATTAAACAGCTTCTGTGGGCTCAATATTGAAGGTGGCAGCGGTGCGCTGTTTCTAAGATAATCTGGGGAGGCCTCCTCGGAGTTTGGCATACTGCCCGTACTCAGAACGAGGCTGTCTAACGGCTATTTTGGCTGTGTTGTTGCTTGCGATGTACATAAAACCGCGTCCGTATTATCGAACAGGATATGACGTAACCAAGGTAGCTCCCGACCTCGGAGTGTGAGAATCACGGGATCCCACTAAAAAGAAGTCGGATTATTAATACAAACCTCCAGCCAAAGCTCCTTTGGTCGTTTCTCTTATATGCATGTCGCGATCTTGTATTTACTATACTTCCATAAGTGTATTCAAGAAGCAGATAGGGTGAGATGCCCCTTGACTTGTCTATTTCATACTGACCTTTTCTACTAAATAGTTACGCATTTTCCACACGACTTCTTCGTTTATTCTGCGAGATATTTTACACCTTGTACGGAGTAGCCATGATAGTATTAGAAGCGCGGTGTTCCATGCTAGATCTGAGCATCAGGTGTAGTGCATGTGTACTGAGTACACCGTACTTCATCCATGCGCACGCACAACCGCCGGGGCCAGTTTTATTAAGAGAAACAGCAGACAATAATTATCACGGCGAGGTCGAGATAGCCTTACTACCTATACATAAGTAGAGGCTTATTATGGGAGACAATTACTATTCCTGGAGTATCAGGAGGTCTCGGGATATAGCAGCTTAACATACGCTCGACCTGAGTCAGAAAATGCCCAACATCACTCTTGTACAACCAACATCTTGGGCATTCAAGCTGGGATGTTAACTGGCCGGCTCTCCGCAGCTTCCGTGACCCATAGTTGGACAAAGACAGGATCTTTCTGGGATGCATGGCATGGCATAGCAAACAAGTCGGTCGGCGTTAGGGGTAGTTACTGAGTGCTCTCTCTCCATTAATCAAGGAGCAAGGCAACATGCGGGAAGAGCCAGCTAGTTAATTAACTGGTTGGTTTATAATAAACAGCTGATATGAGCTGGATACGGCGCACTCAGTCGAAGCAGTCATTGTAACCATGACAAGTCCCTTGTCACACATCCAGGATGTGGCCAGAATGCGCGCTTTCATCGGTGGCGTCCCTAGGCGCATTAGCCTGTGTCAGGGGGTAACTTACTATGTACTTAACTGGCAGACTGAAAGCTGCCTGGCTGGGGCCCTGCGGCTAACAATTGGCCTTGTTGGGAATCCCAATTTCCAAGGCCATCGACCGAAGGGTCAGAGGTTGCAGCTGGCTATGCTTTAAGGCTCCGTGCTCATCTATACGTCGGAACAAGGGGAGCGACGCCCAGGTTGCGACGGCTACCCGTCACACGGACGGGTGATTGTTCCCAAGGAGCTGTGGATGGCCTATAAATATGCGTATATGCATATATAGATGAGATCTCTGATGGCTTGACTTCCCGTCGAAGAGGGTTTTTATAAGATATCTGTCTCCCTGTTGAATATGCCGCTGCTTAGGACACTATCTCCGCCTCGCCGTGCAGTCAGGTCAAAGAGCTCTGGCAGAGAAGTGCACCGCCTCGACCCAGACGGAGAGGTCAGTCTCTTGATGACCCGATACGTCCAGTACAGCGACGAGTCAGAGTGCGGAGAGCCCAGAGCACCATGCGAGACTGCGAACGTTGGTCCTTGTGAAGAAGGTGACTTTATATAGATGCTGCTGGTAGGGTCACAACTAACCTTCCCACAGAGATCACGGTATGTGTTTCATCAAGGCATTTGATCCTCGCCTCGGCCGTCTTTCGTGCGATGCTGCAGCATGGATTTGGGGAGAGCCGTGTCCTGCGCGCGGCGGGCAGCGTCAAGATCTCTCTCCCTGACGATGACCCCGATGCCTTTCTTATAATACTGAACATCATCCACGGCCATCTACGCCAGGTGCCGCTGGAGGTGGACCTCCAGACGTTCACCCAGCTTGCTATACTTGTGGACAAATATGAGCTGCATGAGCGTATCGAGGTATTTGCGGGCTTCTGGTTTAATAATCTGAAGCCCGCCATTCCCGAATGTTATACGGACGAGGTCCCCTTCTGGACGTGCATCTGCTGGGTGTTTAACAAGCCGGAGGAGTTCAAGAGAGTCACTCGACTAGTACTGCGACAGGGTCGAGGCACCTTACTCTTCGGTGAGCTACCGGTGCCGTCCTTGGTTGTGGGTAAGCATCTGCCTCCTCCTGATTGTTCAACTACGGCCTACTAACTAACAGACGCAACGATGTAGATGCAATCAATAGCCGTCGAGAGGAGGCTCTCGGGCGGATAATCTCTGCGCTCCTTGACCATCTCGACGACTATCTGGAGAACGAGCACTGCAACTTCGAATGCGACGCGCTGATGGTAGGAGCCTTGACAAAGCGCTTGCGCGCGTTCAACATCTTGCCAGACTGCCCAAAGCCGCCGTATACGGGCCTCAGCCTTGAAGACTTCACATACCGCTTTCGTCACGGTATGTATTTCCCGGCCGCTCAGAGGACCAGCACCTTTTTCTACAGCCATTCGAAGTGTGCCATTCCATCCATGGACCTGATGCTGGCAGAGTGCGAGCAGCTGTCGGATGGTCTAGAAATGGCGGACTATATATCAGGCTCGGTGTTGGCCTTAGAAGGAGCAAGAAGTTTGCCTTAGCATGATGGAAACGATAAAAGAGGTGAATATTACGGACAGGATATATCGTATTCCTGAAGAATATAGCGCTCAAGCCGAGAAGCCAAGGCACTTAGATTGTTCTCTGTTATCCATTCGCTGCTGCTGCTCAAGGATGGATATCCACGCTCACGTTGTGAGGGCGGATACAACGATTTGCGAGACAGTACACCAGGTAATAACAGCAAAAAGGAATAATAAAAGGAACGGTAATATTCGACTGTTATTATTCGAAGGTATCAGTAAGCAACGTGCATTGTTTTGTCATTCTATTTTAAAGGTGTTCTATATCTAGGCTTGTCTCGTCTTATGTATAAATATAGATGTCACGTATGTCCCGTGTATCACTATATGATCATGTCGTCCAATCGTTATACCAACCGTACGTAAGGAAATACAGCATAGAGAGAAATGGTGTTCCTTTAGTTGCTATCGCGTTTCTGTGCGGAGATAACATCGTCTAGCGTGGTCTTGCCTTCGAGAAGATCTCTGGTAGTGGACAGAATGGTAGACCAGTCTTCAAACGTGGTATACGGGATGTTATCCCGTTTGCAGATGATGGTAAGGTCTGTAACATGGGTTAATCTTTCCTTTTAATTTCAATTCAATTGGTGACAGAAGCATACCGTGTCCCTTTTTGGCAAATAGCAGGTCTGTCTGGCGGGCAGCGGAGATATCAGACACGCCATCTCCGGCGTAGAGGAGGATCGGGCGATCTGACTTGGGTATGGCGGCGTATGGACGAATCTCCAAGGACTTGTCGTGGCCAAAGTGGCTGCTTTGATGTTAGCATGAGTAAAGAACAATGGGGTAAGACAACACACCTGTCGTCGTGAAAAGCAATCTGCCAGCCGCCCTTGGAGTTGATATCTTTTCCATCTCTGCTGGCGACCTGGTTGGCAACGATCTGGATGTTCTCCGGTTCGTGGCCGAGTAGCTTCACTAAGAGAGCGCGGATTATGGGAACCATCCCGGATGACAGAACGACAACGGGAACATTGTTATCCTTGGCCCAGTTGTAGAATTCGGTAAAATGAGGATCGAGAGTGACCCTCTGGCATAAAAAGTTGATACATTCGTCATAGGGAGCATCGATACTGTCCAGCATTTCACGGAAGCCATCTCTACAGACCGCTGTCAACAAATAGGCTCCTGCAACCTCTATATCTGGGCAGTAGAAGTCGAAACAAGAGAGAAAAATACCGGAAAGTGATCTTGCCCTCCAGAATAGCAGTGTTTCTTGCACTTCGTTCGCCGGCCCCAAACCCGAGGTGGTCAGTCTGCAGAGTCAGCGAGCTAGTTAACGAAGAGAAGAAGAGAAAGAATACGAAGAAGAGGCAAGTATAGATATCCATACTAGGTGATCGTTGCCTGTGAGCGGCATCCGCAGTTAGACTCGCATCCCCATCTTCCATCTCGAGGGTTCCATGAAGCGTACTATCCTGCAATGTGATGGTGCCGTCAAAGTCGGTAAAAAAGATGACCTTCGGATTGGTCTTCATGGCCGGGAGAGAGTCAATGGATCCCATGGCTACGGCAGTCAATGATGGTAGGTTGTTATAGTAGTTGAAGTTGTATTAGAGCAGGTGGTTTGTAGTGGTGGTAACTAGTTGGTAGTTAATAGTAAAAGTGCAACGATCAACGGTCAGACAAGGAGTTCTATAAGCAACACCCGCAAAACTGCATCTGTATAGACATCTATATAAGCATAAACACATCTATAGACATCCGTAAGTCAATAATACAGTAACTTATCTCTATAAACAGCGAGAATATTGGCGTCTGAGGGGAAATGCGGCGTCAAGTATCAGATACTTCTTTTATAGTGGGAATGCCCGCAAAAAATAAGTATCTTTTACTTCAGGCCGCATCGATGATGATGATGTGGTCTTGGCGTTTTTGTCACTTTTCGCCTTTTTTCTTCGAAACTTCAACCTTCAAGTCCAACATCGACCCCAAACATCGACATCGAACCAGCTTCTCACGGATTAAGCAGCGAGAGCGAGTCTGGTTACTCGCTCATAAGTATCTCCCATCGCTCCCTTTTCTGCTCTAGTCGGCCAGGCCTGCGATGTGCCGCTCCGTCTGAGCAGACCGAGTCATAGTATAATAGCTCCCATCACTACTACTACACCTCTTCCTCTTCCTCCTCCTCCCAGTCTCACAGCTGCGGATGGCGGGTTGACGGGTGAGCTGTGTGTGTGACTTACTTATGGCCAAGCGAAGTGCTCTCTCTTCCCTCGACCAGTCCGGACAGCCCGTTGAGAAAAAGGCTGCTGCTGCGGAGGCTTCACGCTCGCTCGGCCAGGCCTCATCTCCCAGGTAATTTCCGCCTCACGCCTCCAAAGGGAGATCGCCAGTCTTCTTCTTCACCAGTTTGATGTTGTCTTTATCCTTCTTCTCTTTTCCTTCTTCAGGCTTGCCTTCTCACTTTATCTCAGCTCTTCCCCATAATCTTATCACCAGTCCGCAGAAAGAGAAAAAACTACAGGAAAAGAAGAACAAAACACACTTACACCATGGACTCTAGAGTTACTCGATCCGCCGCCAGGCTTGCTGCCGGCAATTCTGCCAGTCCGTCAGAGCCGGCTCCGTCATCAAATCCGCCCTCTCAAGCTCGGAAACGAAAGGCCCCTTCCCGGCGTGATATAGCTCGGGGAGAACCTGAAGTACCTCAGTCACCCTCCTCATCTCGGTCTAAGCGCCCCAAACTGTCACCTTCTGCTCGCCAGCCTGCCACTCGACATAGTACTCGCCAGCCTACGGCCATGCCTCAGTCAAGGTATGCACTTCGATCTATCATTACACTCTTTTCTTTAAGAAAAAGAAAGAAAGAAAAAATCAGGCACACATTCTAATATCAGAGATGAACAGATCGCCAGGAGCGCCGGGAGAACGGTCAAAACCCGTCCCCGCTTCATCCTCATCATCAAAGACCCGTTCTAGTCGAAATAGAAAGACTACAAGAGGTATGTGGCTATATCTATCTTGGAATCCACTGTGCTTACATTTACATATCTCTTTTTAAGACGTCTCGCAGCACGTTTCTCCGCCACGTCGGCAGAGAAAGCGAGGAAAACGAGATGACGATGTCGAAATGAAGGACGGGAACGATGATGACAAGGACAAGGCAGATCACAAGGAAGACGAGGATCTATCGCCAGCTAGCGATAGCCATGAAGAACCTAGCCAAATGGACACTGCCGAGGAGGAAGAACATGACCCGTTTCGTAGTGGCATCTTTGGAGCAGGAAGCCCCTTTGGTTTGCAGAGTACACTCCGTGCCCTCAGCGGTATGATGTCGGGCATGTCTTCCCGCCTCAGAGGTATTCTTTCGAACTTGAAGACAAAGGAAGACCCGTCGGTTCAGCTAATTGCATTGCAAGAACTATCAGACCTTCTTTTAGTTTCGAACGAGGACAACCTCGCTGGTCACTTCTCCCCAGAACCATATGTGCACGAACTCGTAAATCTGATGCAACCTAATGAATTCGGAGAAGAAAACCCAGAAATAATGCTGCTAGCTTGCCGATGTCTAGCAAATATGATGGAGGCGATTCGGGGCTCTGTCGTCAATGTGGTCCAGGGCGGAGCGGTCCCGATTCTCTGCCAAAAGCTGCTGGATATACAATTCATCGACTTAGCCGAGCAGGCTTTAAGCGTACGTTATACCGCATCTGTGTATACATGCAATAGTATGCTAACCAAAGCCCATCTATAGACCCTGTCAAAGATATCTGTGGACTTCCCAGCTTCGATTGTTCGAGAGGGCGGACTCACAGCCTGTCTCACATATCTCGATTTCTTCCCCACTAGCACCCAACGTACTGCTGTCACGACAGCTGCCAACTGTTGCCGCAACGTGCCGCAAGATTCTTTCCCCGTCGTGAAGGATGTCATGCCGATACTACTAAATGTCCTCTCTAGTAGCGACCAAAAAGTTGTGGAGCAGGGCTGCCTGTGTGTTTGCCGCGTGGTTGAAAGCTTCAAGTACAAGCCGGAGCAATTGGAGGAATTAATCAAGCCGGATCTGCTACGAGCCGTCCTTCGATTGCTCCTCCCAGGCACCGCAAACCTGATCGGCCCACACATTCACACCTACTTCCTCCGCATCCTAGGAATCATCTGCAAATCAAGCCCATCTCTATCTGTTGAGCTCCTGAAAATGAACATTGTAGATACTCTGTATCAAATCCTTACGGGAGTATCACCACCCTCAGATGATGGGTCTGGGTCAATCAAGTCTGATAGCGTGCATATCATGCAAGCTTTGATCCACCGCCCACGAGAACAGGTGTATGAGACACTAAACGTCGTCTACGAGGTACTTCCCGCTGTATCAAAAGGGTCCATTGTTCTTTTAGACGATCAGCTCCGATCAACCCTCTGTGGCGGTGCTCTACCACTTTCGACTACTCCCAAAATCAAAGCTATGGGTGAAAAGCGACTGGAGCTGCTGAAGCAGTGCCAACCCGAAATTAAACGGTTCACTACGATTCTATTGCCTACTCTTACGGATGTCTACTGTAGCACGGTAAACTTAAGGGTAAGGCAAAAGGTTCTGTTGGCTCAATTGAAAATGGTCCAGGCCCTTGATGTCGCCATCATTGAAGAAGCTCTTAGGTCCATACCATATGCTTCGTTTCTGGCTGGCATACTGTCTCAAAGAGACCATGTATCCCTCGTTGCACTCGCATTGCAGTGTGCTGAGCTTTTATTCGAACGACTGAGAGAAATTTACCAATATCAATTCCATCGCGAAGGTGTCATAACAGAAATCAAGCAGTTAGCCAATGCGCCGGTGTCGGGCAAAGCTGGGAATTCGGGTGTGACAAAGTCTGATATAATGCTAGAACCAGGCCATCGAGCCCATGACGATAATATGGACTATGAGCAGGATCAGGATAGTGGCCATGAAAATGACATTCCGAACGAAGTACAGGACCATGAGGATGAAAGCAATGATGAAGATGATTTCAATGGTGATTATCCGGATGAACCAGAGAATCCTGCACATGATCATGACGATGCCTCGGACAGTGAATCATCCTCCATCGTTCATCCTCCATCTCAACCACTTGACATCACCCTCCAGGATCTCATTGTAACCGGCGCAAAACATTTCCTCCAATTCTACGAAGAGAGCAAGGTTACTGGTATGCATGAAAAGGCGGAAGTAGTACTGGCGACTCTGCGCGAACTGACTACCAAGATCGAAGCTTGTTATAAGGATCCTACTCAATTGAGCCAGGGCTACAGCCTCTTTTGTGAGCTTGCGCGGTACTTTGATGGAAACACTCTTGATAGTATCACCAGCTATGAACTCTTGAATTCCGGCATCATTCGCGTTCTTGTTGATGTCATGGAGGGTTCAAAGGGTATGTAATTCGTGGTACAAAATATTTTGTTCATCCTACTAATGCTTTGCTTATTTCATAGATCGAGCAGGTGCGGACTTTTTAAAAGCATTTAAGTGTCCCCATCTGGCGATAAAATCCGGAGCTGAACATACAACTGCTTTTGGTGCCTTCATTCATAAACTTCAAGACTTACTCAGTCGAACCGAGAATTTTGAAGTTGTGACAGTCCACCATAATGCATTTGACAATAGAAGTACTTTGTCGATGCTATCCAAACAGATCCGGCTCCGATTAGTAGCTGAGGAAGGCTCGAATATCCCAAAACCGTACAGGAACATGATGGTTTCTATTCATGCTATTGCCAACTTCAAAACGTTGGATGACTATCTTCGTCCGCGGATTTGCCTCTCAGAGCGTCCACGCAATTCTCGGCATCGTGACGTTGCTTTTCCTCATCTTCCTCCTGGGGCTAATCTTCAGGACCCAGAATCAACTAGTCGGGGAAGCGACACGGGCTCGCCGCATTTGTCCGATTTCCCTTCTTATCGACTTCCAACTGCGCACGACAACTCTAACGGAGCTAGCTCCAGGGGTACAAACAAAGGGAGACCAGCTCGTCCTTCAACCCTACGAGAAGACACAAGTGAAGCTCAGCAAGAAGGAACAGGACGAAGACGCTCGGCTAGGCATCAGCCTCCACCGCCGCCCATGGAAAGTGACGATACAGATGGTCCTTTGGAATGCGCTGACGAAACACACCTTAGTGATGATGAAGAGGAAGACGACGAAGGAGACGCTCTTGACACCATTGTAGATGATATTGATGATGATTTATCTGAAGATGAAGCCCCGGACCCCTCTGCCGTTAACATGGAGGTCGCTTCCTCCGGTAAAGTGACTGCGAGGAAGGAGGATGGTACAAGAGTTTCCACTCCATCCCAATCCACACCAGTAGCAAAGTCGTCATCCTCTTCCCTTGCCAGATCAAGCCCCCAATCTTTTGGTCGGTCTCTTTCTCTGGCTGGTCGGTCCTTTACGTCCTATGCTGCTGCAATGCTGGCCATGCCACAAGACTGGCATATTGAGTTCAGCTTGAATGGGAAAACTATCACAAACGACACTACTATCTATCGTGCAGTCCAAGGAGACCATGGCAGCAAAGATGGTTCCCCTGCAAGAAACGTTTGGTCAACGGTCCACACTGTCCAGTTCAAACGAGCTCAAGGGCCACAACCTCCAGAGCCATCAACGCTTACTCCTACCTCATCCAGTCTCTCAACTATTGTTAACGAGACAGATATGCCGGAATCACTAAATAATACCCCTACAACTGCGTCTATCCTTCGGCTCCTTCGAGCTTTACACCATCTTAACTCTCAATCAGATGATGAATTGGCAAATGGTAACGGGCTGGTAGGGCTAACACCTGAGCCTCCTTCACAGTTCATCAACACAAAACTTACTGCTAAGCTGAACCGACAGCTGGAGGAACCATTGATAGTGGCGAGCAGTTGCTTGCCTAGCTGGAGTGAGGATCTAGGACGGCATTTTGCCTTTCTCTTCCCATTTGAGACCCGTCATGTTTTCCTACAGTCTACGTCTTTTGGCTACGCTAGGTCCATGGTGCGCTGGCAAGGGTCACAGTCAAATGATGATGGTCAGCGCGAACGTCGCAGAGACGACCGCGCCTATACCGGCCGATTACAGAGACAAAAGGTACGGATTTCCCGGACACGCATCCTAGATTCTGCCATGAAGGTCCTCGAACTATACGGCTCTTCTCCAAGTGTCCTGGAAATCGAATATTTCGAAGAGGTTGGAACTGGGCTGGGCCCGACCCTTGAGTTCTACTCAACCGTCTCCAAGGAGTTTTCCAAACGAAAGCTTAAGCTTTGGAGGGATTCAGATACCAACGATGATGGAGAATATGTCAACAATAAACTGGGGCTCTTCCCAGCGCCTATGAGCCACGAACAAACTAATCAGGAAGCCGGGAAAAAGCAATTGCAATACTTTAAAGCACTAGGCAAATTTGTTGCCCGTTCAATGTTGGATTCACGCATCATTGATATTGGATTCAATCCTTTATTCTTTAGTGCCGGTCGAGGTGTGTACGCGAAGCAGCCACCGTCTATAGGCTCTGTGAAACGGGTCGACCCTGAGCTCGCACATTCATTGATGTTCTTGAAGAGATTTGCCGATAAAGCAGCTGCAATTAAAGCGGACCCCTCGCTGTCAGCAGATGAAATCACTGAAGCAATGGAGCAGTGTGAAGTTGATGATACCAAACTTGCTGATCTAGGCCTTTATTTCACTCTGCCTGGGTATCCTAACATAAAGCTTATGCCAGATGGCCATAACACACTCATCACCATGTCAAATGTTGAGTTATACATCAAAAAAGTTATCGATATGACACTTGTTAGCGGAGTAAAGCCACAGCTAGATGCGTTCGCCGCTGGCTTCTCGCAAGTGTTTTTATATTCATCATTGAAAACATTTACACCAGAGGAGCTGGTAATGCTCTTTGGACAGGTTGACGAAGACTGGTCAATCGAGAGTAAGTTCTCCCCCCATCTTTCTCCGCCTACATGCAACATGTTTATGCCCCACGGATGTCACTGACCCTTGCACTATCAGCTCTCATGGATTCTATTAAAGCCGACCACGGATTCAATATGGACAGTAGAAGTGTTCGAAACCTGCTTGCAACACTGAGCGAGTTCACACTTCAGCAGCGCCGTGAATTCTTGCAATTCGTCACCGGCAGCCCCAAACTTCCCATTGGGGGTAAGTCTTGCCACCTAACCTGGCCTTTCTATGAGACACAAACTGACCCCTGCGATTTTCACACAGGATTCAAGGGACTCACGCCAATGTTTACAGTTGTATGTCGCCCTAGCGAACCGCCGTACACCCCAGATGACTACCTCCCCAGTGTCATGACCTGCGTGAACTACTTGAAACTGCCAGACTACTCCTCTGCGGAAGTCCTCCTCGACAAACTCAGCATAGCGATGCGCGAGGGACAAGGCGCATTCCACCTTTCCTAGGCGTCTTCACCTTCCTTCCACCATTCCTCTACCCATCTTATCCTTCCTCCCCAAAACACAGCTCTTTCGTCTCCGCCGAATGACGACCCTTTAATGATCCCCCCCCTTCCCTCTTTTGATTAGACCTTATCGCACCAAGGATTACGGAAAATGACCATACTACCTCTGAACAAAATGGATTGAATGGGATGGGTCGACACGAAGTGATATGCATTTGAAATTGATATGAACATCGAAATGACATGGTGGCAAACGGCGTTTCAACTAAAACATGAATGATTTTTCTTCCCCTTCTTCTCTTTGTACCTTTAGTAATGCAAAGGCCAGAGGTTTACACTAATTTAGGTGCGTTTTTACTATTATACACGTCAATCCGGGCCATTAGGTAGCGATTCATTAATAATAAATCCGTTACTATTGATAGTGAAGTTGCTAGTTTGGTTATTAGAGAGTTGCTTGCGGCTCTTTTATTATCTTATCCCGCGTGGGCGACTTTTGCGGGTAACTCCGTTCTCTACTAGTTAGTTATACGAATAGTTATCAACATCAAAATCAGTACAACTACTTTTCTTTGTGATAGTTGATTCCACTCTTAAGCCTTGCCGCAGGCCATACGCTCCCTTTTCGATCCTCTCTGCCTGTTTCCTGTCGCTCAAAACCCCCGCAGCCATGGACGAGTTCGCGCAAACCCGTGGAGTAGACGACCTCTTCGATGACGATGTGGTACCCGTAGCATCACAGCCTCAGCCAGTCGATGAGCCAGTTCGTGAGCCTGAAGCTGAGTCTTATCCCTCTGTACCGCCGAGAGAGGCACCAGCAGGCCCCCAGAGCCCTCCAGCGCAGGAACAGGCGCAGCAACAAGACGCGGCGCCGTCGCATCCCCGCAAACGAATTGGCAACAGTCGAGCAAGAGGAAGGGGGAACGGATTCTCACGCAGACTGAAGCCCGATAATACTATTACTACTACTACTACTACTACTGGAACATCAGATAAACCCGGAGAGCAACCTGCGGCGCACCCTGTCCTAGTCGAGCAGCAGGCCGCGGATGCTGAGGCTTCTCCCCAGGTGAAGCAGCATGATGAAGAATCGCCAGCTGAAGCTGAGAGAGAAAATAAAGCCGGTGATAGTAACGAAGATGCCGTTGCTGACGGAGAGCAATCCAAAGAGCCTGCTGCGCAAAAGGTTCCCGCCGTGCGAGGCGACCGCAGTAGAACGGGAGGATTGAGAAAGGTAGGCCGCTGACATTCAATTCAGTGTATGACAGTTACCGCTGCTAACTCTCGACTGCTGCAATAGCCAAAGCTGACTGAGGAAGAACTGTCAGAACGTATGGCCGCTGCTAAACTTACCGCTGCTAAAAAGGCTGCCGCTCATGCACGCGCTGAAGCAGACGAGGCGTCTTTCCAGGAGCGCGAGAAGATAGCCCTCGCAAAGAGACTGGAGGAACAGCAGAACCGCCGAGTAATGCTTAGTGAACGAGAAAAGAATCGACAGAGAAAACTCAATTCACAGACAGGCCGCGAGTGGGATGCTGAGAAGTCGCTAGACTCCTTTTCTGAACACAGCCGGGGGAATTTTGCATATCGCAGAGGCGCTCACGGCAGCATAGCAAACGATGGGCGAACTACAGCTCTGGCTCTAGCAGCAGGAGATCGGGACAACCCATCTAGCTTAGCGTCTAGAGATCGGGGGCGAGGACGAGGCGGCCGCGGAGGGCGAGGTCAGGGGCGAAGAGGAGCTGGCAGAGGTCGGCAGGCGGGCGAGACAGATACAGAAGTACCCAATCCTGTATCGCAGCCAAAAATTCCGGCACAGGATGAATTCCCTGCGTTGCCCGGCACAGGGAAGCAAGTGGATCATGGTAAAGGAGACAAGTCCACCCCAACTGCATGGAGTCGAGCTCCGGATAGTGTACTATCGCCTGTTGAGTCCTCGGGGACATGGGCGGATCAAGTGGAAATCAATGAAGAGCTCCAGAGGAGTACAGCAAGGTAAGCTCATGAATAACGCTCGCCAGGATTGATGTGCCTTCTATTGGAATGATAAAAAATAGCGAATGACAGTGCTTGGATAGATGGTTTGTTATTCATATTCTTACGCCTATTGATACTCACTAATTAATGGACAATTCTTAAACCATGGCTATGTTATATCTGCTTCTCTAGTGACTAACAAGTAAGAACAAAATCCTACGGTACGAACAAATAAGTTTACTACTAAATGACGGTTCATTGTGTATTTTATAATAACGTTGTCGGTAAATATGAAGCTCTTTATGCTACTTTATCAGACTTAATCCCCAGTTTGCTTTTGAGCGCGGCCAGTTTCCCTACTACGAGTGCTTTGATATTTTTGCGAGGGACCTCCTCCATGGCGACAAATCGACGAATAATGATATTGAATATATTTCCGAACGCCAGAGCAATGACTGTACTTGTCAGGATAATAACATTATACGGCATGCTAAAGTCAGGCGTTGGCAGGGGCAGGAGGAGGTTCGTTGTGCGGAGATAGATAGGGGAGGACGGTAGCGTTTCATTTTTATTCAGAACACGAACAATCGCTGGGGCAACATTGAAACCCCGGTTGGCATCCGGTGGGTATTCCGTGTACCGAAGGATAGCCTTCTCGAACTCATATATCAGGGTTACCGTTGAGGCTGGCGGGACAGACAAGATCAGTTCCAGCTGTGTTCCCCGGCGACGGTCGATAGCAGGCCGATAAAAGACGTCCTTAATAATGCTTGTGGGCGGCACTTCGACCGAGGGCCCTGACTTGTGGCTTATCTTTGTCTTCATAGTGTGCAAAAACGGACGCATGAACCAGGGTAAGGTTTCAAAGTACACAAAGTCGACAATATCAGTCTTAGAAGGGTTGGTCAAGATGGATCTCAAACCACCCCTTTCTTGTCCATGACCTATGATGGTCCTTTCCAAGTGCACTACTGGCGCCTCCAGGGATTCACTAGATGTTGACTGCTGCGCAGGAACAACCAAATTGAAAGGTTGGCTGGGATGTAGTGCATAACATCGTGATCTTCCGTCGGATGTGTGCGTTTCAAGCGCACCAGAGCTCGGTAATACCTCTATACTGTTAGGGACCCTAATGCAGACAACCTGCGCGTTATTTCGGCCAAGAGGGCAACTAGAGGGTATCATCCGTCCAAAGACATCTTCTATGCTCCATGTCTGCGAGCGAGATGCTCCAATTGGATAACAAAAATCACCAGAGTGATAAGGTTTCGATTCATCGCAAATCAGGTCCCCAGCAGGTACAGGGCGAGGGATGGGGTTGTCTGGTGGACAGTGGTTAATATAAGATGGGTAACTTCTATAGTAATAGTAGTAATAAATGAAAAGAGAATATGATTGGTTACCTCTAGCTCGTTTCGATCTATCCAGGTCGAGTACCATATCGACAGTTTGTTCAATTTCAACTTGGCAGTCTTCAGACTTGTTCACACAAGTTGGGCGAACGTCAACAGACATGCTCTGCCATGAGGCGTCAAACAGCTTATGGCCATCAAAAAGTCCAGATATGCCGCTCTTACCCTTACAAGGCAGAAGTTTCAGAAAAGGGGTCAGGTTCTCCGTGCATACAACTTCGCCTGGTAGGGTTCCGTGAAGGAGATGTAAACTGTCCGTAGGCGTAGAGTGATTCCCCGTAGGGTTAAAGGTGAGAGAGGGAGTTGTCGTTCGTGTAGAGTCGATGAAGTTCATAGATGCACAGAACAATCCAGAGAGTGACTGCGTGAGTGAAATCCATTTCGCGAATGCACTGTATATGATCTCACTGATGTTAGCCCCTATCTTTCAAAGAAATGATATATTCCATACGCATCCGCATCCAATGCCTCAATCCAGGCCCAAAGCTCTACTCCAGTACCTCCCTCCTTGAAGCCATGCCACGGTCGTTCTCCCCAGTTCTCCGCGTCCCATCTACCGGTGGTGAATCGCAAGTGCAATTCCTTTGTATGCGCGTGCTGAAGAATCTGCCCTAGAGACCGAGGGAAATAGCGATAATTCTGTTGTTCAAATGCGGCACTAGATTCATTGCTGCGGAAGTTGAAGGATGCCAGCAGGTTTGATGGTGGCAGCGGATGCAGCACAAGCTGTTCATGATAGTCGACGGCGTTGGCGGTAGTAAGAATTGCGGAAGCAACAGGCGTGCAGAGCAGAGAAAGCAGAATGCGCATCATCCCGGCATGTCGAGGAAGCCAAAAAGAACTGCCGTCAGCTGCAGCAAGTTTGCATTCTCCTCATCACACGCTTTTTCTTTGAATTCCTCTCTTTTGCTCTTTTCTTATGTTGATGTTGATAGACGCGCGTCTAAATCTCAGCTTATGTAATCCACGCGGCTAAAGCCTAAGCTTTTATTCTTTTTCGACTTCGCGCAAAAATAATTGAAAAAGATGCCGATTCAACGATATAATCCAGCTGCCGCGATTCAGTGTGGACATAACTCGTCGAAACCAGCTGTATTTACTCGCTTCTAAGGGTTATAGAGTGTAAGAGTTAGCGCGTTCAGCTTGCACGATGGCTGCAGAGCAGCGGAAGCTGTTGGAGCAGCTCATGGGAGGTAGGGGATTTCATACCTCTGTATAATATATATCATATGGGAACTAACATATCGTGTCTCTCAAGCTGACCAGCTAATTGGAGGGCCCAGTTCTGGTAGAAATGCCCAGGTTGCAATCACTGACCCCAAAGTCTGCCGTTCTTATCTGGCCGGTACCTGTCCTCATGATCTCTTCACCAACACCAAACAAGACCTTGGGCCGTGTCCAAAACTTCACAGTGAAGGGTTGAAGGCAGAGTACGATGCCGCATCATCACATGATAAAGCTAAATGGGGGTTCGAATATGACTACTTGAGAGATATGCAGAAATACATCGATGAATGCAATCGGAGAATAGATTCGGCGCAACGTCGCCTGGAGAAAACGCCTGATGAAATACGACAGACTAACCATCTGGTAACTACCTGCATTCCTAGGAATATGTCCTTTAGCCCTATTTAACTAATCCATGTTTCGTTAACAGCTATCGCAAATATCTGACTTGAACAAAACAATCAACACCGGGTTAGAGGAAACTGCTATTCTTGGTGAGCTTGGTGCCGTGGCTACGGCTATTGATGAGTTTTACAAAGTGCGGACTGCGAAACACCAAAAGGAGTCATTAGAACGCGATCTCAAGGCACTTGCGGATACGTCGGGCCCTTCAGGCCACCAGAAGTTGCAAGTTTGCGACGTTTGTGGAGCCTACCTAAGTCGATTGGACAACGACCGGCGGCTCGCAGATCATTTCTTTGGCAAGATGCACTTGGGATATGCAAAAATGAGAGAAACATATGGCATCTTGCAAAAGGAGATGAAGGGACAGCCGCCTTCTAGGCATGATGACGGCCCCTCAGTACGCGGTGATTCCAGCTTCGACGATGGTGGATGGGGCCGAGACAGCGGCGGATACGGCGGTCGCTCCTACAGAGGCAGTGGAGGTGGCCACAGGCGGAAAGGTGGTGGCGGTGGTGGTTACAACCGATGGTGATTTCTCTCGCCGGTTCCTTTCATGGCATCTGCATAGCGCCGGCGTTGCTGGGTTTTTGGTTCTGCAAGAATTAGCTGATACCAGTCCGTCTCTTCTGGACAATAATTGACATTACATTGCTTTTTTCGTCGTCAGCCTTATTAAAAAATACCAGCTATAGTGCTGCTTGCGCTGGTTACCCACACCATATATAAGATAAGCATACGCTACCAAAGGAATAATGCAATGGCCAACTGGTAAACATCGAGATGATTAAATATGTTTTAACATAGAGGTAATTGTAAAGGCTTGTATCACTCTTAAGGCAACAGCAGACAACATCTCAGGAAACCTGAAACTGGAGCTGATGGACCACAATTTTGTAGAAAATTAAACACCACTCCGATAGGCAAAGAGCGCATGAAAGACAGATAGGAATGATAAACCACCGCCATACGCCACCTTTGATATGGATAGGTATCCTGCGTTCAGAATCTCCAGAAGATGAAATGCACGTAGTTTGGTTGGTTTTGGGGGTATGAAACGAATAACGGCAAAGATACACATATGTACATAAATAAAAGCGATAGGATAAATATATCTTGATCAAGACATAGCATTGGGAGAGGACGAAGAATAGTAGGTATGTTCAACATAAAACGCCAAACAGTATCAGTATGAGGATTTTTTCAACGGGTCGAGCGAAATTGCTGCTGATTTGATTTGGGGGGAGGATCCGGGTTCGTACTCTAGGCTTTTTGAGTATTGATTCCATATAGAGCACTAGAATCTTTGAAAACGGTGGGCACAGCAAATAAAGCTAGACTCTTTCCTTAGGCCGGTTGTGCGCCGTTCTTTTGCATAACCGCGCCCATCAAAAGCTGATAGCTATTGGCAGCAGGAGGATTCTTCCTAAGAATGTCAGCAATGACATTGAGCTGCTCGATGGTTGCATGTGGAATATTTCGCAACAGTTCCTGGATGGCAGGAGCCGAGGCTAGCGGCCCCAGCACTTGGATGGCTGCTTGTTGACCAGTTATGTCCTGCAAAGGTGGATAGATATAAGTCTGACCGTTGTTGAACTGTGCCTGTTGGGCATTAGTCTCTGGAATAGAGACTTTCCCTTGAGCCAGGCCTAACCCTGCAGGATCGATCGGGTTGTATTCATTTTCCGTAGGTAAAGGACTGGCGGCATTGCGGGATGGAGCCTGAGGTGTAGTAAGCGATGGAGTAGAATGGCTATTGTTAGTTTTCACAACGAGAACAAATAGCAGTAGTCGAGTTGGCGTCGGGTCCTCGACTTGATTGTTCTCGAGGAGCTCGATAAAATCGGGCTTCTTGCTATGTCCAGCCTCTACTGGAACAAGATAGGCATCCTTGACGGCGGAAAGAGGATGCTTCCCAATCACTCCATATCTTTTGCGGTCCATGAAATAATCGAACAACCTGTTGAACTGTGCGACGTCATTCGCTGCATGAGGTTGCCCGAGAGCAACTACAGAAATATCTGTGGTATGGCTATATCTCAGCCCACAGAGGTAATTACTAGCCAGTTGGATATCAATTCGCCCATCGACTGTTATAGTTGGAGGAACAAGCTGTGACCAAGGGATTCTTGAGCTGAGGTCAGCACCGCCAACATGTTTACCAGCGGTATAAAAGTCAGCCACAGAACTCATAGACACAGCACCATGCCAGATGTCCCCGTCCCCCTGAACGTCCTTGGGCGAGTAGGGCGGGGAGTCGACTTCATCTTTTAAAAGGTTATCTATATCTGCATCCTCCTGGACTTTGTTAATGATAGGCGGAGGCTCATTGAATGAGGATGCAGAGCCAAACTGCTGTTCTGGATGAGACGCGCCAGGGGAGTGAACGCTCGACCAAACATTCTCAATATTGAAGTTGGATGAGGTCCGGCGATTAGGGTCAGCGCCAGAGGATCCAATCGTTTCTCGAGAAGTTCCGTCCGAGTATCGCTGACCATGTGGTGAAGTAGGGCTGACATGTCGTGGGCTCATAGTCGGTTGAACTTCGCTCTCAGTGCCAGTATCTCGACGAGCCGGAGCAGTAGAGAACACGGATTCAGTCCCAACGGTTTGCGGATCAGCCTCTACCAGCTCCTCTCCCTTATGAGTACGTCTAATCCGAGGTCCCTGTTCCTGGATAATCGTGTGTTGCCTCTCAGCCTCCCTTTTTATCTCCTCATCTTTCTCACGGAGCTCTTGGCTCGCCATGTTCTGTGTGCTCATTGTTGATATAGAATCGGGCGTTGTACGGCCTACAAGCAGGCTATCACGTAACGAAGGATTTTTCCTTACATTGAATAGGATGGTCCGCAGTTGGGTTTTATAGGCATCATTAGGCTCCCCGGAAGATCCACAAAGATTCTTATACATGCAGTTTTCTATATCCTCCCCGAGACTCTCACCAACGCCTTCTTTTGTCTTGCCTGGAGGGATAGTGAATGTGCCCTCAGCAACCGCCGATGCAGCAATTTCTGTGACCAACTTGGCCAAGGCAGTTGCAGCACTTCTTCTGGCTACTATAAGGTGGTCCACGCCCGCTGTAGATCCGGAACGGGATTTCAATTTGATATCTTGACTTGGCGTCATTGGACTAGCGGCGCTCTGCTTTCTACCTTGCACAGGCGAGTTTCGAGCATCCTGGGGAGAAGCTGGCAAACTTGTGGACAGCTTTTGTAGTTTCTGTTTGGGAGCCTGTGCGGGGGAGTATATATGGTAAGCTATCCGGTCCAAGTGGCGGGTATAAGAATACTTACCGGTTCGCGAGAAACACCATCCCCATGTTCCTCATGTTTTCGTTTCTGAGCATTGCTGTCCTCGTAGTGAGGAGAAACAGCCACGGCAATGTTATGCTGCATCGGAGGAGATCGCTTATCGCCCTTGGGTGCTGCTGGGGCATCACCGTGCTCCGACTTAACATCACTCTGCCTAGCCTTCTTCCCCCGTTTGCCGCCCTTCTTTTTACGAGTTTTTCTCTCCTCTGCCTCTCGCGCTCTTTTCACGGCAGCTTCTTCCCATGGCTTTTCTCCCCTGCTTATCTTGTCCAATAATTCCTGATGATTCTCAGGCTTGCACCTCTCACAAAAATATTCTGCAGGTTCCTCTCCCTTTGGGAAAACAAGTCCCATGCAGTCATTATGTTGCCAGGCAGCACATTTATCACAGCATATCATATCCCGTTCAACATCTTCTTCCTCCTCGTACTCGCCGCAGATGCACCGGATTATTTCATCTTCTTCGTTTAACACCGGTGGTGTAGGTTCGTTCGAACTCTGCTTCTGGCCTTTCCCTTGGCCCTTGCTCTTCCGTTTATTTTGTGGAGGATCGATATCGAGGTTCTTGTGTTGGCCTTTGGTCGCCCGTCCGGAGCGGCGAGGTTCATCTATCACCATGTTAGTTCCAGTTTCATAACAGTGTCGCCTCTTCGTCACTCTCAGTGACAGGGCCATCACCATGGCCCCCGGACAAACTGAGTGTACAGCATGGGATACAAGTGCTTACCAGCCATGGTATTATAAAGTTAAGGCGACAGCAAAAGCTGATAATAACCGATAGACTACAATCCTTAGAAGTTCAGCGTCGAGTACTGTCGATTCTTTTTGCAACCCAACGAAACCTTTCTGTCTACAGGCATCGAAGGTGCTTAAGGGTTATACACAGGGTTTGTCTTTGATGATAGCAGACGCGACGGATAATTGATATCTGAACTTCTCCTTCAAATGTAATACTGCGTAGATCAGAGTGATTCTTTTCTCGTGGGAACAGCCTCCACTCCCACACTCAACAGCCGTTAGAGAAGATGGTAATAATATCTCTGTCCTCCTTCTCAAACCAAGTTCAGAAAGTAGCGCGACCTCTGCTCTGCTATTTAGGAGGGGAAAGAAACCCGCGTCGGCTAATAGTTGTCGATGTTGACAAGGCAGCGGTTGGGCCGTAGTCTGCGAAAACTAGAGAGAAAAAAACCCAAAGACGCGCCCAAGGCAAGTTGGACTATGGTATCTTGTAGACAAATTCAAAGGAGCGATGACAAGGAAGAAAATGAATATTTTGCGCGAAGAAGAAGCAGAAAAAGCCGAAAAGCTGCGATGTTGTTAGAAAAGAAAAAAAAAAGTTGGCGTACAAAAAGCTGAAAGAGGTTAGTATATCACGTGATGTACTTTACTTTTAAATCGACGTACAGAAAACCTTCTTTTATATCAACATCATAAAGAAAAAGAATCATAGACAGTTTTTATTTGTAAGGCGTTATGAAATCACTGAATACATTCATAGACTGATTCAACATACTGGTACTTGACAGAGAAACCATATACATAATAAAATCACAGAACACTCACAGCAAACAAAATATTAGTGCGGCAAAAAAAAAAAAGAAAAAAAAAAACGCATGAACAAGTCAAGAAATACAAGAACAACATGCCCCTGTTGCAATTTATATGGGCTATGATAGCTCTACGCCCTTTAGAGGCACATATCGACCAAAGATGAAGATATCTCACCCACGTTCCGCCGCTGGTTTAAAGCCTCAACTGGGGACTCATTACTCCGCTCGAATCCTCTGTTCCCGCAGAATTCTGTATTTTCCCCAACATGGTGCGGCTCACACACTTATTGGCGGAAGCACGGAGACATCGACTTGAACCCTACCGAGCTCCTCGAGGCACTCGTCAGCTGTCCAGCGCTCATTTGGAAAGGGAGAGAGCATCCCTCGTGCAAACTGGGCAAGAGATGGAGGGAGTCTATCGCAAGCATACTCTATTGCTAGCTGATAGTTTACGTCCCTGTTCCTCTTGCGTGATCTAGTGAGGGCTTCCGCTTCACGGTGAGGAAACACATCGCACAGGAGTAACAAGATCACCCCAAGGGCCCAAATATCCACTGCCGCGCCAGGGGTTTCGTATCTCAGCAAGACTTCTGGTGCCCAGAACTTAGCTCCTATCTTCACGTTTTTTATGGGCCCGTCTGCTGCCAAACCAAACCCGCAGATTTTTGCATCAATTGGGAACGCTGATCGTAGCGCAATATTGTCCGGTCTGATGTCTCCATGCACGAGGTCATGGGCATGGATGCAACCAAGTCCATTCAGACACTGACGCAGGATTTCAACAACATCGCTTAGCATTGAGGGCTTGAAAGTGCTCAAGTCCCCTTCCGGCATGTGTTCTGTCACCACGCATAGATTGCCTTGTTGATCGGTGATGCAGTCAACGTATTGCACAATATTCTCCTATGTACCGTTAGATCACATCGCAAATATTGCAGAGTTTTACTAACTTACATGGCGAAGGTGCTTAAGAGTACTAATTTGCTCTTTCATCTTCAGGATATCTTGACTGTTTCTATATTTCCTCACATCGAAGATTCCTCCTGTTTGATCATCTGTGAACAGAGAAGTGTCTACAAATGTCCCGTTATTACGGGTCTCAAGCTCCAAATATTGCCCAATATGCTGATGAGGCTGGACTGGGTTTGCGTATGCGCCAGTCACAGTAACGTTGCGGCGTTTGGTGCTGGAACCGAGATAGTGGCCCAAACGTTTTGCATAGTGCGCTTGGGATGAGCCACGGTCGGGAAACACCGCTTGAAACACGAGCTTTCCGCAGTGGATAATAGCATTATCTTCGATGACCTGATAATCGCCCATTTGAAGTTCCTCTTCCCCAACAGTCAAACCTCGGGAGGATATACAGTAAACCAAGAGTATACCAGTGGAATCGTTGAAGGAGATAGAAAAATGGTGCTTCGAAACGCCATATCCGTCAAGGATAACATCATTGGTTTCAATTTCTCTGCCAAAGAGAAACCCTATACGAGTATCCTTGGGGGGACCGCAAAGCTCAAAATCAGGCTCAATACACCTTCTTCCAGGCCTCCCGGACCCCTGATATTTATGGCGCGATTGATATTGGACATAAGATATACTGCCTCTTCCGCATCCTCGTTGCGAGGAACAAGGTAAAGGATGTGGTCGCCAAGATACACGCCCATTTTTCGCTATAGGAGTGGTAGAAGTGACCGTTTCGGAAAGAGTATGCAAAGGTAAAAGATGATTTGGCGCAAGTTTGTTGTGGATTGGAATCTGATAGACGAAAAGGAGATGCTAAAGTTATTGGATCTCTGATGGGATTAATGGGGGCTTTCGAACGGCATTTATACCTCGGGAATAGCAACACCGAATAATCAGAGCCAGCGCAGGTTGGCTCATTGTGGTTTACTTCACATCTTTCTCAATGTGCCCTAGAGCCTAGCAGACCCGGCTTCGATTGCTTGGCCCTACATGCGTTTCCTTTGCTGTGAGCCAGTCAGTAATACCTCTCGAGCTGGGGACTGAGTCATTCAGAGTTTTAGTCCTCCCTTCCCCTAGCTCGCTCAGTCTCCCCTGGCGGCTGCTGTTCTCAACCCGTTGATATTTCGAGAGCCAGGAGCCAGTCATTTGTTCTTCAAGCAGGCAGCAGAGCTGCCAACGTGTTGTACTATACCTCAAGGCTCTGCGGCGTATTTTCCGCATGAAAATTTTCTATTATCCCGGCAATAAATATCCTGGAAGCTGTCTTTTCCACTTTCCAGATGCTTCGCTGGTGTTCTCGCGCTACCTGTTGGTTCTCGGGACAAACCATTACCCCGTCCGACAGCCGTCATTAAATCTTAGGAAACGGAGGGAGGAGAGGAGTTACCACCGTTTTCCCCCTACATTCCAAGACTTCACCAGCTATCACAATATACCTCTATAGGCAAGCAAGGTATAGGAGGGAGCATGGGCTGCCGGCAGAAACACCCTGCTAAGAGGGCGAACAGAGTCTGGAACACCAATCTCCATGCGCATAACTCCAGCGCTTAATTAAATATGAAACAGTGTCCTGAACTCGGTTTATCACTGCGCAAGTCCTAAGGGGTGGAGCGTGATAGAGGCAGCTAAACCTAGGCGCTAAATCAAACGACGGAACGATTTGCCCACTAACTAGTTAGTTTTAAAAATAGTCACAGCAAAGTAACTGTTTGATAGTTTCTTTGGTGAACAACCAACCATACCCTGGATACTTCCTCTAGGCCTGACATTGTAACCGCTGAACCCAAGTCGACAGGCTTATCGCCTTCCTCTATTAACATTAACCATGTTAGAGCCGCAGGGATTCAATGTGCAGGATGCAGTTACAAAAGTAGCGCCGGCGCTTAGCTGCATCAACTCCTGCTTCTGCCTAAAATTGGCATTTGGCCCCCAATGAGTGACAAGCACATAAGAATACATAAATATTCTTTCTCTATCTTCTTCCTCTCGCTCTTTCATCTTTACTTCACATTCCCTAGTTATCTCTATCCTTCCGATTGTTGGATATATTGAAGACCCTATCTACCCTTAAAGAACTTGGACTGCGAGCTCTATAGAAATGCCATCAGACTCCAGAGGTAGTGTTGGTGACAGTCACTCTCTTGAAAACATACCTGTTGACGCTCCGGTGGACATGTTGCCAGGCGAAACACCCAGCCGGCCTGGCGATGAATCAGCTCAGTGTGGTATAATCCCTGGCCCCCTATCTATCGAATGCATCAAGCAACACGATAACGCACTGAACCAAGAAACCATCCTCGAAGGCCACCAGATCCATGATAACATGGAGGACGAAGACGACGTGGAGGAACTATCCCCTCGCTGCGAGCTATTCGGACTGCGGTATCCTGCTGATGACTCCGGATATGCCGCACCAGCTATAGGATATCAGGAATGTCTGGATGATTATAAGGAAATGGGGGTCAGATCACGGGAGAAGCTAAAACAGGATCGGATGGAATCTCGTAAGCGACGTCTGGCGCAGGGATTGCCAGCAGAAGATCCACGACGCAGACAACTGAGGAAAGAGAGGCGAGCGAAGTATCAGGCAATGAAGGTGGCGCGAGGAGAGGAGCTGTCTGAGACCGACACTTCGCTCAGTGAAGATGAGTTTGGATCAGCTCCCTGGGTGTTTGAAGAGCGTAAAGTACCTCCACCAGACGATGATGAGCGTGAGAGAGAAGACACCCAGCTTCCCGCTAAGTCCGCACGCGCCACTGAGGAGTTCTCAGAATATGGATTGGAGAAGCAAGCAACGATTGTTACACTCAGTGGGGAGGTTCTTACTATTTCTCCTCCGAATCCAGAAGATTTTGTCACTCTTTCTGAATCTGCCCGACGAAAGAGAGAAAAGAGGCGGGCAAAAGGGATCGCTACGCCTCCTCCTTGCTCGCCGTCACCACCCTGTTCGATCATCTATGGGTCTACCCCCGATTTGCAACCCACGGTAGAGCCAGACGAGACTGAAGCTACGTCTACTACACAAGCGAAGAAGAATACCCAAGGAGGCGTGTCTACTCCTCTTCTATGGCCGACAGAGAGAGTAATAGAGCTGGCACCCAAGGAGGAAGGGAAAGAGAGTGACATTGAAGAAATTCCTCGCACTGAGGAACCGACTTATGCTACAGGCCTCTCACCCAAGTGGATGGAGGAAAGCGATGTCACGGAAACAGAGTATCAGTCGCGTCGTGGCCGCAAGTCACCCACAGAAGTTACGATGGATGATGAAGCCATCTATGAAGAATTCCATGGGCCTGGTATTCGTGTTGCCGCTATAGATCCCAATGAACCAAGTGTTATTACCATATCTGAATACGACCGCCGGGAGAGGGAGGAGAGGAGACGGATGGGGATTCCTACGTCTCCTCCCTACTCATCGTCTGTTCAGTCTTCTGAAGAAAGCTCGTCTGGTGGATTCACTTTCACCCCACGAGAAAGACGCCCAATACACTCAAAATACGCTCGAGCGAGGTATGTACAACATCAAGTACCCGTGTTGCTTTTCTTAGTTAATTAATATCCAGTGCCAGATCATATAAACATACGTCTATCCCCAGACGCGCCGAAAGGTCGCTGGCTTCTGACCGAGATGAATTCTGGAAAAACGAGGAAGAGACAATGAGACCTGGAGACGAGGCTAATTACCACGCCCGAGCAAAACGCAGACGTGCAAGCCACGTCAAACGCGCAAAGAATGATGTTAATATTAAGATCGACCTTTGCCTGAACATCGACCCTGAGCTGAGAACGACGCTAGGCCCCGGCAACCAAAGATCTGGCCTTCGCTCCCGGTCAGCCTTGCACTCCCGCAAAACATCTCTAGACACATCAAAACCTGAATCCGTTGGGGCCCCAAATGGTATGTCATTTGTTCTACCAGTCTTTAGCCCTTTGCAACTAGCTAACTGACCTCCAAATAGCAGCATGGTATAATATAGGCCTGGAGAACAAGGCCATCATGGCAGGCCTGGTTGGCCTAGCTGTCGGGTTTACGGCTGGAATAGTTTTTCGCCGACACAGGTAATATCATGAGATTACGATTTTCTTTATAGTCACGAAGTTATACGCGCAGATGTTATGCTACATACACAACAGTCCAGATTGATAGCCTCATATATATCACTGTATTCCTTTTTTTTGTTTCTACTCTGCACATATGGATTCTATATATCTTTACCCGTAGTGTAATTTTTTAAGAGTATAATGTCAACAAATGGAGGATGGGTTGAGACAAAACAGTGATGGAATTTATGGTGGGACTAACTAGTGACGTAAGATGAGAAATTCCGCCGTCCATGGGTTACTATTAATGGGCCTTTGGAATAGTAACTGTTTTTTTCAGACTTAGTTTCGTCTTAACTTGTTATTGCTCTCTCCAGATTACAGGCCAATCATTTAATATCTCAATCTCATCCTAAGCTTGTCTACATATGTTTCATTGCCCCATACACTATGCTTAGCTTTGGTACTTCATTTCCCTTCAGTTTTCCCTGAGAGGATGTCTCACTTGTTTCTACGAGAGGCGAAGCTGGTTATTGACTTGCTATGATCTCCCTTAACTAATTGTCAAATATAACTAGTCTCTCCGCCGTCAATTAGTGCTAGCTCACCTTTTTGGCCGAATGGCAATCCTGACAATATATAATATGCCTGAGAAATATGTGTATGGAGATCTTTGGATTCATAAATTGTCAAATATTGACTAATTAAAGGGAAGCAACAGACATAACAGCCAATTGCCCAATGAGAACCAATATAATGGGATCTGGCTCATCCAATGATAATATCAGGATAAACTATAATTCGAGAGATGTTAGCTCTACACGTGACTTATCGAACGAAGGAGCTGCAAGCGCGATAGACGCGACTTTGATAACTCTAGCATTTCATAGGGAAGGCCTAATACCTATTGTCCGGATATCAAGACGGCAGCATACGACTTGGATAACTATCTTGCTCTAATTGGAGGCTATCGTCAGTCAACATGGTAGATGTACGGGAACTCCTCCGAAACGAACTCGCATCACGACACCTACCAAGCTCGAAAACTGCCAAAAAACGCAGACATGGCTCAGCCCTAGAGCCAGCACGGAAAAAAGCCAGGCCGTTTACAGAGGACAACACGTCAATTGAAAACGAATCCGCAGCCGATGATTCCATAGAAATAGCAGCTACCACCAAATCACCACCTCCTACCCGCAACACAGAACTTGACACAGAGTCAGTGGAGACTCAACCTGAGATAGATTTAGAGGGACGGCCTGCAATATCCACCAATCAAGAAGTTGACGAAAACGAGTGGGCTGCCTTCGAGCGGGAGGTTGCTCAGCCTTCTAGGCAGCAGCCGCCGCCTACCACCTCAAATAGCACTGTGACCATATCTGCTGCCCCTGTATCTGCGGCCGAACTAGACTCACGAGAGCGTCAGGATCGTGAATCTCTGACAAAGAACCGAGAGGCTGCCTTGCTCGGGGACCGTGAGGACGCTACTAGATTTCTGGAGGAAGAATTTGACGAGATGGAAGAGCTAGACCGGCGTGTCAAACGGCTGAAACAGATGCGGGATGAGATCCGTCGCAAACGAGAAGAGGATAGCCAGGCAGTCTACAGTGCAGAAGTAGATGATATGCCGGAAAATAAATCGAAAGCTGATGGTGAAGGAAATGATGAAGATAGTGAATATGACGATGATGAAGAAGGCTGGGACGATTGGGCGTTCAGATGAGACGAAGACATAAATATTTGAATTTATTCGTAATAAGTCCCTACTGCAAAGATACCCTATATTTAATTTGCACCAGTTATTTTACTCCTTGATGTAAGAGAGTGCAGCTGTAATGTCTAATCAAAATGTATGACACATATACATGCTCATGCGTAGCTAGGCTGCTATGTATCTGGCGCGGCATCATCAATATAGCTTTTTAAGCCTTCCCTACCTATCCTCATAGCCCTTTGAATTTCTGCATCTTCCTGGCGAAGGGAATCTTTGCCCTGTATCACAGCTCTTCGTTGTTTTCGTTTTTCTTCCTGCACTCTAATTTCACGATCATGTAAAGCTTTTTCTCGCATCCGTCGTTCTTGTTCTTTCTTTAGGCGCTCTTCTTCCTCCTCTGCGTCCTGGATGTCTGGTTGCTCGGGTGCAGGAGGAAGTGTAAGGATATAAGACTCAATGAGCTCGTCCCGGATTTGTGTAGGAAGAGATATGTATCGAAGATCACATAAAATCTGCTGCGGCAGAGAATCAACTGACGTTGACCTATGTAGGGAAGATAGCGGAATGGATTTCAGCAGCATCGAAAGATCGGACTTCCGGGTACTCTCTGGCAGCTTCAGCCTTGCAACATGATCACGGTAGTGCTTTTCTTTCTCCTTTTCTGGCATCCGACCATCTTTCATATCCGGTTCCTTTCGATATTTCCGCTTAAACTCAGGCCAGTAAAGTTTTGGGGTAGCGTGTTCGTGTAAAAAAGCAAAGTACCCAATTCGAGGGTTGGCCAGTTGCTCTTTTTTCTTCCTCTCCTTGTGTTCGTGAATTCGGTCACGGCTCCAGTTTGACCAAACCTCTCGCCTTGATTTCATATTCGGCAGAACTGTGTACCTTGGGTCAAAGATTATTTTCCCTTCTTCAATTATATTTTCCCAAGGGGTGTATGGGCTTATTCGGAAGTCATCTAGCAAGTCTCGGAACAGGGTGACAGTATCCGCTTCAGATAGCGGTGCCTCCTCCATATTTTCTTGCCAATCACCTTCATGGGGCCCATCGTATTCGCCGGCATCATCTGCGTAATCACCTGCCATGGCAGCAAGTTGATACTCAATATCATCCTCATTGAATTCAACATGGCCGTTAATCTCCTCATCGGCCTTGAGCCGCTTTGAGGGAGCATCCTCTTCATCATCTGTCACCTCTACTTCCTCATACTCGCTGTCCGAGTCCCTCCTCTCAGGCGTATCGGCGTCTTCTGGGGTTGGCTGTGGTGTGTGGTCAGATTCATTTTCTACCCCCTGCGTCCCCTCCTCCTCTTTCTCACTTCTTTCTCGGGCCTCTCGCTCAAAACGATCATACTCCACTACGCCTTTTATCACATCCGCTGGATATTTCCAAAAACTCTCGTTTGTCTCTGGGTTATGGACAAATCTACGGCCCAATCTTGTCTTCACAAGAACCCACGGTGCGCATCCGGGTATAGCGTGTTTGGTCTTTGGTCGATCTTCGGGGTGACGGTGTTTTCTATGTACATTTCCAGTCCTAGGGGCCCCTTGGAAGTTCGGGTCAAATCCTCGTGCTGTATGAATGGGTACTTGGAAGGGCAGTGGATATGACGGCAACGCAGCCGGCACAGCAACTTGTACGGGGAGAGTCTCTTCGACCGGCCGTCTGTATGTCGACTGCTTGGTCTCAGAATTATAATAGTAGCGATGCCCTAACCGTAACTGTCAGTGTAGGCCATTGAGTGGTGGTAAGATGCCTTGTCTTTCTCTACCTGAGGGGGCTTTGTGCTCAGTCCATCCCGGTGGTAAGGCGGGTGCTGGAGTATAAGTTGACTTTAGCATGGTACTCCGTCTATACACAAACTAATCGACGTCTAAGTAGGCGCTTTTCCTTGCTCTTGCACCGCTGTTCTCCCTTTCCCGATAATGGTTTATCTCAGGCTTTTTGTTGTGAAGTTCTGCGGCTGCGCCTGATTGGTCCAAGCTTCTTCCCACTTGGTTACGATGCTTTTGGTGTGCCTAAAAGTTGCTTTCTTGACTTCACCGGGACAACAACAACAACACATACTCAGCAACGAAGAGCAAGGGAGATATTCTCTGTCTATGAACCGCGATTGATAATTTGGAGTTAGGCAGCATAGGAAACCTTTTGGCTTGCACTTGATAAAGGACAAATGGCGCGGAGATACGACTCCAGGGTACGTACGGCCACAACCCTCCAGCTTGCGTGGTAAATTCTCCCCAGCTAACTGCTCTACCGGTGGTAGACAACGATTTTCTCGCCAGAGGGCCGTCTCTACCAAGTTGAGTATGCTCTAGAGGCCATCTCCCACGCTGGAACTGCTCTAGGCATCCTAGCCAAGGATGGGATAGTTCTCGCGGCAGAGCGGAAGGTCACCAGCAAGCTCCTGGAGCAAGACACCTCTGCGGAGAAACTCTACATCTTGAACGAGTCAGTTGCATTTAGCATGGATAATCTATACTTACTTTGTTATCGCTAACAATGCTACAGTAATATGATATGCGCTGTTGCTGGGATGACCGCCGATGCAAATATACTCATCAACTATGCCCGCCAAGCTGCTCAACGATATCTGTTAACGTACAACGAAGAGATCCCATGCGAGCAGCTGGTACGTCGACTATGTGACCTAAAACAAGGCTACACCCAACACGGTGGCCTGCGACCGTTTGGTGTCTCCTTTATCTATGCTGGCTATGACCCTCTTCGGCAGTTCCAACTATACCAGAGCAATCCTAGCGGCAACTACGGGGGATGGAAGGCTACTAGTGTCGGCGCCAACAATGCTAGCGCACAGAGTCTCTTGAAACAGGACTACAAAGAGGATTGTGATCTGAAGGAGGCATGCGGCATGGCTGTCAAGGTGCTGAGCAAGACAATGGATTCCACCAAACTGAGCAGTGAAAAGAGTAAGTCTATAATGATCTATGGCATTCGGCCTACCTTTGAACGTAACTAAGTCTAACCTAACATGATAAACCTTAGTTGAATTTGCCACTGTCGGGAAGACGAAGGACGGTAAGATCTATCATCACCTATGGGGAGCCGATGAGATCGATGCACTTCTCAAGGAGCATGACCTTGCTAAGCCTGACGACCGGGAAACCGGATAAAGCGGCTGGCCACATCTTTCGATTACAAGCACTTTCTACTGCAACGACGAGACGGCGTTCCGTGTTTGCTATCCAGTGGACATATTTGTCCAACCATATTAACTTATAGCACAATTCCACGCAGCCTCTCCCTATTTATATATTATATCGAGCTATTTTCTTTTTCCTATGTAGCGTAGTCAATCTACACAGGTCTGCCCATCCTACCGAAGAGACAAGACTGCTCTACAGCTATGAATATACAAGTATTATAACCATAGCTTAATGTTTAACATAATTAGGTGTTTAAATATATGCTCTAGTCCCAACTCCACCAACATTGCCAAACTCGGTTGAAGCGTTTAATTAGTATGATCTAAAATATATGTGCTCAGATCAGGCATCAAGAGGGCTAGAGCTGTTTATACTGTATACAAGGCGTTTGTTAACGGCCAAAGGTAGTTCTACTCAACTAGCTAAGGGCTCCATAGATCGAAGAGGAAACCTACTAGGCAAGTCAAAAGCTTAAGCTTTCTCCTATAGCTAGCAGAGCTATCTATAAGTAATGGAACGAATATATTCAATATAGATACGGAAGAAAATATATCACGTGATCTGATGACTAAGCATTGCCATTCAAACATTTTGACGGGGTAAGATGACTAAGCTGCCAAGCCACTACTTATGCAAGGTTGCAAGTATCCAATCAAATGCTCAAGATTGAACCAATCATGTAATTTACAGCAGACCCACAAATACGCACTTTCGACCCCTTCTTGAAGGCAAGGAGCCCTCACGTGGCATTACCTAATAGGTCACGTGACCCGACATGACAACTTTCCAGAGACCAGCCACAAAATCATCTACGTCGACGAGTCTACCAAAGGAATGAATATTTAATGACCGGCTATGTAACAGGGCCGAAATATGGCCAGTAGAAAGGATGTAGGTCAGGCTTACTCCTCGATTATCTCCCCCAACCAGTCTACATTCCCAGTTATCGAGGCATATAGCTGATTGTATGTTTTTGTCAAATATGCCATTCGGCCAAAAAGGCGAGCCCGCGCTGATTGGAGGCAGAGAGACTTGTTATATTTTTGACAGTTTTCTACACAGAAACTACACACTCGTAGCAAGACCAGGGAAATAGACTAGGAAAAGTGTCACTGGAGTATTGGTCACCAGGACGCCCTGCAAATCCGATGTACCTTGTATAAACGCCGGAGGAGGCCTAACAGCAAGGCCGTGGTGTATACACCAGTCCTTTATGGTAGCAACTAGATGTTGTTTCTGCTCTAGAGAGAGCTCTGGCGGGTAGGAGGTAGCGAGGGCCATTGGAGTCGCAACTAATCGAAACATCTGACCTTGGGTGATATGATAGAAGAGTAATGCAGAGCTATCTGAGCCTTCGCTGGATAGCCCAGCTAGCAGCAGCCTTTATACGAATCTTGAGAGTCTCCAATGCCGAGTCGGAAGTTGAAGTCGAGCGGCTTATCAATCAACTTCATCCCACCAGTTTTGCCCCACTTAGCACGCCTTCTATACGATATTTATAAATACAGTGTTCCTGAAAAGTAGGCAGAGTCTTTCACATCATAATACGATTACTAGTTGGTGGGGCCTTATATTACATCATCGATTCCTCGCCATATCCATATAAACGGCCAAAAAGTTCTGCCTCCATTCTCTCTGCCGCCATCGGAGCTTGCCTGATCTCACCTAACATATCGGTACCAGGAGGAAAGTCATGTTCAAAAATAACCTCTCCGGCACCCCGCATATTAGCAAGGATTGCCTGTTCGTAATGCCATTGGAGCAATACATCAAGAACATGGTTGGGGTCGTTAGGGTCACGGCAGACGGGGTGTAGTTCCATGTTGTGGTAGTCGACAGAAATGGGTCGGAAGCTCTGCACACGGTAGTTGTCGGAAGGGTTGACGGCAATAGAATAAGTATCCCAGAGCTGGTGGATATCCGATTTGAGAAGAATCCCGTTTTTGGGAGAGTTAACTCCAAGGTCGTCTTCAATAGTATTCCTTAGGCCGATCTGAGTAAAAAGAGATGAGAGTGACAGTGGAAAAATGTGTGCAGCTTCATAGGTAGTCCAATTGATTGGTGCCTCTACATTTATCCGATGCGTGATAACACAGCGACCATCCCGTCGTCTTACGTCGCGCATGAAGGCGTTGTCTCCGGAAGTATCGGAAAGTGATAGTGTCCGAATATAGTAGCGTTCATTGCTCTGGGTGACGGCTTCTCCTTGCACCACTGGGGATAGCCTGTAAACTCCATGCTCCAGAATTTGGTCATTTACTTCGATTGGTGTCGCCGAGCCAGCTTTGTAGGTGAGAAATCCGCCGTTCGCAGTGAATGCCACGCGCAGACAGTTAAGAAACTGTCTGTTCGTCATAGTATCTGCCGCAAATATGCCTCCTTGGGTGATGCCGGGCGCTGAAGAAAACTCGACCCAGACATTTCGAAGTCGTGTAGACATGATTCAAACTTCAAACACAAGACGTAGAAGTAGATATGCAAGGAACACATAGGGCCAATAGAAAGAGAAAGAGAAATAGATTATTCGATCTTTGGCACGAAGCATGGAAAGTAGCTGTAGCCGTGAAGGATCACGCTTAAATCTTCAGCATGAGATATAAAAGGTGGATGTAGTTGTAAATGGAACAGGCGGGATAGAAAGAGAAATAAGTATAGAGAGAAGGGAAAGTGTCTTCCAAAGGAGAAAGAGTGTGTGGGTTTCCTTTGTTTCTATTGGCTTTTAAGCTTCAAGAGCGACCTCATTATAGACCAATAGTAAGTAAGACGCTAAATATAAAAGTAAAGTGATTTGTCCTTTAATATTACGCGATGAACCAATATCCATCCATGGATAAATGTATTATCACGTGATATTTCTTCATTCATCTATCCTCTTCCATAACTATTGTATTACTAAACATATTTGTTGATAATGATACCGATCTGGTTAGCCTGATGCTGAATAACCATACAGATATATTGTACGAAGCACCAAGTGCCGAGATATAATATAAGTCTTGAATCGCTCAACCAAACCGTGGTAATGATACCTCTACTAACAGAGATATCAAGTCGGAGTTTTCACGGATAGAGACTTCCGCTTATAAGGTATATACCATGTAATTCATATTAGATAGTTAACAAATTGGAACCGCTTTGCTGTGTTGTTTACGGGCCTAAAATAGCAAAGTCACATTACATAGTTTTATATTTAGCCAACCAGACGTCATGGAAGCTTAGTATGAAGTCCAAAGGAGGAATCAACAACCTCCTGCGTTCACTTGACGAGAAAAAGAAGAAGCGCGAGCAGAGACAGAAGAACTCCTCCGTCATTTGACTGCGAAAGTCAAGCACACGATGGAGGCAGACCCTTTCTTCTGGTCTATTGATGAGGTGGTCGCGCGTATCTCTGTCATGGCTCGTTCGACGATTGGGCTCGTTCCTCTCTACCGCGACCTGATCCAGTCCAGTTAGAGAGTCATTTGCGAGATAATTATGGGACCGGCGAGGTCCTTTTAACTAAAGTCGATAGAGAGGCCTTGCCACGCTATCTCAAGTTAAAAGCACTCGGGCATCAAGCTACGATATTTAAGGCGATCCAGTACTTGAGATCGCGTTCGTCTGAGTTCCACAACTACACTAATGGCCTCCCAAATACGCAGAATGCCATACTTCGGTGGATGACGGCCTGCGCACCGAGAATAGAAGAATTTTAGATGGGGTCAGACGCGACAAGCCCTCTCGCACAAGATTGCGGAAAGCGCCGTGGACGGAAAAAGAAGACGAGGACCTTGAACATCTGAAATCAAGAGGTTGGGCCTGGTCGGACGCGTTGGTGGCGGCGCTGGGTTGGATGTTTGGGCTTCAGCCTCATGGAGTTGCTCTTCGGCGGCCCAAAATTGTTCTGTTTCCACCTGAGGGCTCTGTGCGTTCTCAGGCTCAGGTCCGGGTGTAGGGGTCCTGTCCTCCCGTCGTTGTGACTCTGGCTCAGGGGTCGGCTCTGGTGATGCCAGCTGCGTTTGAGCTGGTTCGAACTGGAGTTGGGGATTTGTGTCAACCTGAAACAATTCATCGATTGTAGCCGGCGGTGCAGGCTCCGAAAGAGGAGCAGGAGGCAGAGTAGGAGCCTGTTGAGTTTGAGCAGGAATTTGGGCCCAGGGCACTGGGGCCGCGATACTGTGATCAATTACAATATCGGCTTCGTCCACTATTTCTTCAATATTCTTGCGTAATTGAAGTCTCAGAGGCTTCTCATCGGGATTAAACATCTCGGTCTCGTCAAACACCACGTCTCTAGATCGAATTACACGTTTTAAATACAGTATCCAGATTCTGAAGATGTTCGTAGAGTCGTATCCGATGAGGTATCCTATATGAGCACGCGGAGCGAGCTTTTCTCCTCTCGTTACTCTAGGATTTCTGACGTACGCTTTGCATCCGATGATTCGTAGTTGCGCAAGCGACGTTACCTTTAGTATATAGGCCTCATTTCCCCCCATTTTTACAAGGTGCTCCATTAGGCAGATAAGGGGTGACTTCCACCCTAATGACGGCGTTAGAAGTCTGTTCAGGATATAGGCTGCAGTCTTGATAACCTCACAACACATATCTTCAGGGAATTTGACCTCTATCCTTATCGTTCGCGATAAAGACGTCAGCATGCCACTAGAGCGTTCGGCAGGTCCGTTTTGCTCTACAGTATACTCTGCCAAGTGTTCAATTATGATCCCTTCGTTCCTCGCCCAGTCTCGGAGCTCCGTAGTCAACGAGCGTTCAACGTCAATTCTAATAACTAGAACCTTATAGCCAAACCGCCGTTTGATATATTTGACCTTGTTCTTAATAGAACGAGAGATTATCGACTTCGATATAGCGCAGTCAACTTCGTGCCACTTGGTGACCTCATAGAAGAAATGAGCAGCCCATTGGTCCTGGTTATATCCTGCTGGTTTGACATGTATCAGGTCGACATGTAGACGTTGGAACGGAGCTGTTGCTCTTGATTCAGGAATTCGGCGCGAGACTCCGCACGATTGGCAGATCTGTTCGACTTCGATGTCATTTGAGAGCTTTTCAATATGTCTAAGGACTTCGTCGTTCGGGTGGCCGAGTCTGCGGTGCCACGTTGCCTCGTTCGCAACGTTCGTTTTGGGAGCTCGCGATGATGAGAACGCTGAGGCTCTTGGCATTTGGCCAGGTTCGTTGTATTCGACGTACCCTGGAAGACTTCTGAGTTCTGGGCCAGTTGGCTGCGACGGCTTGGGGCTTGGTATCTCGGACTGTGTCTCCTTCGACACCCCTAATGGCCCTTGTTTCACGGCACTCAATCCTATGGCGCTCACCCTGAGAGAGGCGCTTTGGCGGCGGGAGAGCCAGGCTCCCTCTCAGCGTGAAGATAACTGGAACTGTCGGGTGGCCGGTACTAGTAGCACTAGTACAACGTCACTTGGCAGGGCGCCCGGCATCTATAGCTGCACGTTTAATGGGTGCATGTTACGGTTTGATAGTCTACAGGATTTAAGGAAGCACAGCTGCAAAGCCCATCGTGGGGACAACAGGGCCCCTCCTACCGACCAGTCGGGTCAAAGAGGTGCTTATAAGTGCACACAGGTCAACCCGTCTAGCGGGAAACGCTGCAATTCTACCTTTCAGGCCGTATTACCTGACCCGCCACGAGGATACTATCCATAACCCTAACAGGCCGCAGATAAGACGTTGTCTCTGCGCGGAACAGAAGACATATAGTCGCAGTGATGCTCTTGCTCGGCACATCCGCATCGCCCACCCCGGCGTAAGCTGGCCGGGTAAACAAGAGACAGGGGCAAGAAACGCCGATGTTAGGCATGCCGTCGGATTTCGCGCCCAAGGGACAAGCGATCACATTTAGGCCACCATGGTCTTGCGTCACTATTCTCATGGACAGTACGCATGTTCCCTCCTGCAGGTTACATACGGCATGACGGCCGTTGAGCTGCTGGGTTGATTAAGGGGTATTGAGCAGTAAGGACAGGGGGTTCGGCGGCAAGCAAAACACAACGGTCCCGGAACCGTTTAGCCTGTTCTGTGCTGGCCTGAATCTCCTTAACCGCAAAGGCTACAAGACCTGTTAGCGACACTCAGTGACGAAATAGAGCGCAAACGTCCAGGGGCAAAGTGTTCCATTTAGCGCGTGTTGTGAAAGGAAATTCCCCTGCAGCTCCATAGGCAGAGGCCAGGGAGTATTAAAACGAATATTCCTCTTGTCGCTTTGTCCGACTCTGGTAGCCCAAACTGTGGCCTGGAAGCAGGCCTAACAATGCCACCATGAATGATCAACCAGCTAATACGCAGAGTATGTCAAGTGTTCTTAACTTTCTTGATGGAAAAAGTGCGCCTACTGCCTAAGCGCGCGCTTATTATCGGTGCCCAAAAGTTCGCGTGCCAAGCGTAGACAGGGTCACGGGCCTCTCCTGTCTTTTTTTTTTCGTTTCTTCTTTCAACGACAAAACAGCAAACGAAGGAAGAAGAGAACAAGAAAGTAAGAGAAGAGAATATCTATAACATCGACGTATTCGCTGTTGGAATCATGGCATTTGAGTTACTTCGCTGGTCCTCACCGTCCCTTGCGCTGAAGATGAAAATTTCATGCGCTAGCTGCTCGGCTGCGGCGTAGGCCCGCTCGCTGTGTTCCGGCTGCCCTGGTCAAGTTGATAAATGATAGGCGGTTAACGACAGGAATGTTCCAAGGGAGAAAAAAAACCCCTTGGGCGCCTAAACGCCAGATATCCCCCGGCCCTGAGACGACTCTTGATACAACTTTTACAGAATTCATTGGCCGTCAGTGTTCTGAGCTTGATATGGTGACAACGCTAAAACAGTGTTCATTCAATCTTGGTCCACTAACTGACTACCTGACTACTCTGCTCTGTAGCAGTCATTGCTAGTCCGAAGCCACCCCATGCCATATTAATTATCCCGAAAGAAGTTGCAAAAAGAAAAGAAGAGAAACCGTAAAATAACAGAGAAAAAAGAAATGCAAAGAAGGGAAAAGAAAGCATTATTGAAGTACATGATATCATCAGCGACGCACTGGAAAACAGTTCCGATACCTTTTATTTCCGCTGGAACATCTCTCCTCCCCTATTTTGGCCCCCGCATATGCTCCTGGTCGCGCTCACTTGCCAATAGATCTCTGTTTCATTTGTCTCTCATGCTCCAATTGGTTGATTTCTTGCTCGAAATCCTTGACCATGGCCTGAGACTTCTCCATCGATGCTTTCATGACGCTTCCCTCCCGGCGCCACCGGTTGATGCGCTCGACCTCCGTGTTGCGTCGGCGGTGTTTGGTTTGGATCTTCTCGCAGAGCTTGCAGATGGCTTGGATGTTCTCAGTGTTGTGGACAAGTTTCATGCCGCAGGTTTCGCCCATTCGATATTCATGGTTGCACTTGGCGGCAAAGTTGCCCCAGGCCCAATCACCGCAAAGGAATCTCTTCTGGCTGTAGAAGCACATGGTGACTCTTTTTGAAACCCATCTTCAATCAGTCTTCTATTCCTCCACCTTTGGAACGTTCAATGCGGACTCACTAAGCTTTTGGTACTTTTTTTTAACTTGTTCCCTTGCCCGACGTTTCAAGTGTTGCCGCAATAGCTTCTATAGACCTGATGGTGGATCAAGTCTTTGACAAAGGTGCTTTGGGGGTTTGACTTTTGAAGGTGGAAGTATTGATGAAGAAGGGGGAAGTGTTGCTTGCTTGACTTGATGTCTGGCTTTTGTCTTGTGTATGTGTGTTTGGTATTGTGTTTGTGTTCTCTGCTGTTGTCCGCTTTCCTTGAGGATATCTCTTCTCTACACCCGGGAGATGATGGCGATATTTATGCCTTTTGCGCAGAGAGCACGTTTGGATCTCTTTTGATACCCGTCTTCCTGCAGGCCTGGGATATGATCAACCGTCGTGTTCGCTCCATTGCTGCCTTCGCTGGTCTTGGATGGTCCGCCTTCTCTCAGCTCCCCCGGCCTGCTTTCTCCTCACCTTGGCTTCCTTTTGCCTTGCCAGCAGGGTGGAGTGGTCTGAGAACTTCACATTTGCCTCATGCATTCGCAACTTGGCCCAAACACCCTTGCATGCTGTGTAAATGCGATCCGGTTTAGCACGGTTGACCAGATGTCGTGGACACTCCCTTGGCCAACGACCACCCTTCTGTTCACTTGAAGATCTATCAATTAACTTTTTGGCCCATGCTCGCCTTGCTCCTACGGGGTGTCGCAAGCCCTCTGTATGTCCTTACGTCCTCCTATTCTGCTTCGCAACCCCTGCATCTCTGCTCCACTTCGGGCTTTCTCTGAAACTCAACTCTAGATGGAGTCGGCTGTGCTACTCTGTCAAAGTATCTGGTTGACAGTGCTGCTGCGTCCCAACTATGCAGTGGGTCTCACACACCATCCTCCCCTGTCATTCTAATATCAAAAAAGATGTTACAATGAGGCTGGCCACATATTGTGTTGTTCACGGGATTAGATCCGATCTGCCCAACCCTCTTCCTGGCCACCAATTGACCAGCTTCCTTCCAAAAAAACTGGTCTTCCATACACCTTTACTGCTGAGTGATCTCACCCAATTGACACTGCCTATTGGGGGGGGTGTTGGGGTTCAGATCTCTGCTTGCTCGTTTCCAAGTCTAGCAAACTTTTCCTCACCCCGCTGCAGTTTATGTGTGGTGTGACTGAGAAGAAATTTCGTCACTACGGCCGGATCTTTCATCCCCTCCAATACTTGAGACTTGATTTCTGTAGAAGAAAACTTTGATTCCCATATTCGCCCACGACTGGAATCAAGGAATATTATCCAATGCCTCAACTTTTATTGACTTTTAATGCCCTGCAACATGCATTGATTGCCTCACCATCCTTTCGCTTGAAAAAACCAGATTTTGTCGTGGCAAAATACTGGGAGAATTCCCCTGTCCGAGCCTAGATGCATCGTATGCTTCCTTACGCCTGATTGCCCCCCCCCCTCTTCAACTGTCTAATTGCCCTTAGATATACAGACTTTGACGTTGCATAATTCTCAGCTGGTCGCTCGCTGCGGCGTTGATGAACTTAGCCTGAGCAATATCTATGCATTAACCCCTCTTTTTAGTCCTTGCAATTTAGGAGAGGAGGCGGGGACATGATGGCAACTGCCTTCAATAGTTCGGATAAAACGGTTCAAATCGACCATGGCATGGATTTTGATGACACCAAGAGCAAGTGTGCCAGAGTTCTCTAAACCTGCATGACGTGGCAGCCATCTGCTGGTCCATAGTTAGCTCCTGCTAGCCATCCTATCCGGAAATAATGAACTCATATATACCTAGTTAGACGGCAGACCCTATCAACGGTGCCCCTTCTACTCCAAACCGTGGATATGAATAGCAAGTCAATATGAAAGATTAGCGAGGATCATGACCTGTCTGTTGCTCTGGGTTTCACGCTAGAATATGACCTTGCCAGCGCCTGTCTCCTGCGCAAGCATGACAAGCCCTCCAGGAATGAAATACCTGTCAAGCTATGGTGTTGTCGCAATGTAAGCACTGCGACTCGAGTTGCGGTGTGCCGATTCATAATTTGTCGCAGCAGGAGCCTCCCTTTGTGCTGCTTCGGCTCTTCATATATGTTTCACCTGTGTTTGTGTCTGTCGTTGTGCCATCTCCAACACGGCATACTTTTGGGCTTTACAGACCATCCGACTACAAAACGACCTGCCGCGGACTGCTTAGCACGGAGAGCACAGTTCTAAAACAGTTGCGGAGCCGACGAGGCTGTCCAAAGTCGTTACACAGTGGACGAGTTAGCATGGGAAGACCGTCCGTGGTGTACCTACTGTAGCATGAACGTTGAAATTGAATTTTTATGTTCAAACGTATCCATCGGGCCGGGTCGACGTTACTCAGCTGATCTTAAACGGACTAGCGGAAGCTTGCGCTGCATATGTATCCGAAGAGCAAATCAGAACGCTGATGCCTGTCTTATATACATATATACTATTTCATCCTGCCGGCTCCGGATCCCTGAAGGGACCAGCATGCACAACGGAGCGAACCTTCGAACGAGCTGGGTGGGCAAGCCGAAGGTGTGTGCCTGATGGATCCACTTTCCTGCCGCGAGATGACAGCCGTCAGCTTGCTCTGCAGGCTGATGATCCCTGAGCTGTCCACCCTTTTTTTTTTATTCCCCTTCTTTTTCTTCTCTTTTCTTTTTCTTTCCCCCCCGGCTTACAAGGCGGGTGTTTGTTTAGTATTTGTTGCCTCCTTTGATTTGACTTTGGGAGGCGTTTGAGTTCAAACTCCTACACTAATGCGCGATGATTATGCGATGGCCTATGGCTTTCTTTTCTCATCTGGCATTTATTTTTTTTACTTCTTTTGACTTGAATTTTTCAATGCGGCTTCCACTTGCTGTTCTATTTTCTTTTTCCACAGTTCGGCTGATGGTTGCTGCTGTGCATGTTGAGTTGAGGCTACTATGCGCCTCTATCGATGGATGGATATCATTGGAGCTACATAGTCTCACCCTTTCCCCGGTCTCCATTGCGGCCCGCAATGTATCGGCTACATGATAGCATTGACTATTACTTGTTTCTCCTGGCCTGTCGTATCCAACGGCTATGCTGTCGTATTTTTTGTTTTCTCCTCCTCTGATATAACTAACGGATCTATGCATGGCTTTGGTGTGCACCAGTAGTACTTGCCCTACTACTGGTGCGAACGGTTAATCCATGCAGATCGCCTACTTCATCTCACGGTGTGAGACATCACACGCCCGGCATTACTGAGGTTTTGGTATATACCCTGCCAGCCATCTCCATGATTGCTACGCCGTCAAACCAAAAAAAAAAAAAAAAATATGAACCATAGCCCCAGGCTGATATTCATGATCAGAGACACAAGACAGGGGGAGGGGAAGGGGGGAGGACTATGCGAATGGTTCCTCTTTCGCCGGTCGGGGCCCCTTTGCAAGAGCAGCTGTCAAACTGTCTGTTGACGTGGCAGTCAGATCTACTAGCATGGAACCAACATGTTGAGCCGACTGAATAATGAGTCTAGGGTTAGGCATCGTCCTTCTCTTAGTTCCGGCCGACCTTTATCGGCATCTAGTAGTTCTAGCCTTGCATGAATAATACTTTTGAGTGATGCTTTTGAATATCCCGTCAACTAGCACGGTGCTACGCCCGAGAAATAAACAAGTCACTGCCCCCTCTCACCCCTCCCTCGACCTGCAGGCTCGACATCTCCTTTTTTACGTCAATAAAAACATAAGGCGATGAGGCTTATAGCTATGTCATTTAGCTGCAGCAAACCTTTTTTATCCTCCTCCCAATGCCATCTAGATACATGGTACTATGCAGCATGCAGGGTATAGGTGACGTAGAGCCGCCTCGCCTAGGTGAAGCTCCCTGGCATCTTGCTGCCTAACTGGCTGCGCCACCGGGTAGGCAAGGGATGGGAATGCTCCCTCTCCCTTCTCAGGGAGCTATAGACATGGAAGCTCTTCCTATACCCCTTTGCATTGAATACTTCTTCATCCCTGTGCGGCGCAGCAATAGTTTGCATGAAGCTATGGTTAGTTGATATACAAGGGGAGGAGAGTTTCTTGGAAGTCACGTGCTATGACGTCACCTCTGCCATCTTTTTTTTTATGCAAGTTTGAAGGCGGGAAGGAGAGGAAGAGACAAGCAAAGCGAGGACAAAAGCAGGAGAAAGACAAGAGAGGAACAAGTACTCATCAAAGGTATAGCGAAGGCCCACGAAGAAAGCAAACCTTGACTCACCAGAACCAGTCGAGATGACCCCCCTCAGCCGCCTAGCAAGATACTCGAGGCCATGGCCAGCCCGTCACCTACCAACCCGTCTCAAGCCTGTGTCGATGACAGTGACAGTAACGACGACGACGACGACGACGAGAAAGATGAGCGGCAAGAGAGAGGAAGATGAAGAGTGGAGGATCGACACCGACCGGGGCGAGTACTCCAAGTCCGGCGGGGACAGCGAGGTGGCGGCCCAGCAGTGCTCCTACGAGGTCCGCTACCACGACCCGGCCGACGTGCTGATAGCGTCTGACCTGGAGGGCAGCCGGAGCAGCGGCGGCGGCAGAGACACCGGCAGAGGCCACCCGCTGGAGGTGAGCCCGGCCAACACAGAAGTCTCGCGCTTCACGGACGAGGGAGGCGGCCATCATCCCGAGGGCACGCCCAGCAGGCGCGTCTCTCCGCGTAAGGGCAAGCGCGTGGACTACGGGGGTGCGGACCTCGGCCGTTAATTTGTCTCTATCTATATCTACCTATCTACCTATCTATGTCTACATCTACCTCTATGTATGTTGTATGTATGTTGTATGTATGGATGTTAGGGCACAGGGCTAGGGCTGTGACTAAGCTTACTAAGCTAGCACGCCATCCCTGCTCTAAATTTCTCACCTTCAGAGCCTTCATCGCGGACTGCCGAAAGGGGAAATATGGCGTGATGAGGGGGTGAAAAGGTGCAAGGCCAGGCGGGAGAGAAAGGGGAAAGTCGAAGCAGATAAGAGGGAGAGCCTTTTGCCCTTTGCAGCAACAAGCAAAAACCTCGACTTCCATCAACCACACTTCTTACCGCTTCCAACGCTTCTAGGCTTCCGATGGAGCGACAGGGAGAGACTCGCCTGGGCGCGGGAAGGCTCGAGTTGGGCTTCCTGGCACAGCTAAAGGCGCAGGCAGAAGGCAAGGCACAGTTAAGCCAGTCAGGCCAGTCAGGCAGGCCGCAGTTAAAGAGCCACCGGTTGAGGGCGCCCCTGGAGAGCCTGGGGTGCGTGCGGGCGTCCCTGGAGCAGGCGAGCCTGCTCTCTCTGCCTCTGGTGGTGCATCTGCAGGCTGGCCGCGGGGGGGAAGGGGGAGAAGACGCCGGAGAGGCCGTGGAGCTGGCGGGAGAGCTGGGCGTGCCGCTGGTCTATGGACGTGGCATGGCTGCCCTGGCCGCGAGGCTTGCACCGTCGATGGTCCTGGACACGGGCTTGGAGGCGGGCTTAGACACAGGCAGTGAAGAGGCAGAGGCAGCAGAGCCAGAGAGATACCGGTACTACGGCCCGGGGGACGCCTCTGCGGTGGTGGTGGTGTTTGGCCCTGTGGCGTCGTGGGCGGTGGAGGCGGCAGCGTCGTTGAGGGGCAAGCTGGGCGTGGTGGAGGCCAGGGTGTGCCCGCTGGAGGAAGACGGCCTGCTGGGCGTGATGCCCGCGAGCGTGCGGACGGTAGGCGTGCTTGGGCGGGCGAGGCAGGGAGGGCCCGCAGAGCCAGCAGCAGAGTCCGCCTTGTTCCGGCAGGTTCTTCCTCTGGTCAGGCTGGGGCGGGGGAAGAGGCTTGCCTGCGTGGACCTCAAGTTCTCTGCCCACACGCAGCTGGAGGGCGTCTTCAGGCGGTTCTTGGGCGAGGATGTCATGGTGGACGCGGTGGACGTGGTGGAAGCCAAGATGGAAGAAGTAAAAGTGGAAGAAGAAGAAGGGGAAGAAGAAAAGACGACGAGGGACGAGGTGGTTAAAGGGCTGCTGTTCAAGGAGGCCTACGGCACGCAGGAGGCCCTGCCCAGACACGCCAGCAAGACGTTCACCGTCACGGTCAAGGAGAACAGAAGACTGACGCCCACGACCTACGACCGCAACATCTTCCACCTCGAGTTCGACCTGGGCCGGTCGGGGCTGGTGTACGAGATAGGAGAGGCCCTGGGCGTGCACCCGGAGAACCCAGCAGGCGAGGTCGACGAGTTTGCCGGGTGGTACGGCCTCGACCAGGACGAGCTCGTCAGCTACACAGACGGCCAGCAGCAGCAGCAGCGGCAGACGGTCCACCAGGCGCTGAGACGGCTCGACATCTTTGGGCGGCCCCCAAAGAGATTCTACCAGGAGCTCAGCCGGTTTGCAGAGGACGCCAAAGAAAAGGAGAGGCTGGCGACGCTGGCCACTCCGTCCGGGGCGGAAGAGTTCAAGCGTCGCTCAGAGGTCGAGATGCTCACCTACGCCGACCTGCTGCAGGAGTTCGCCTCGGCCAGGCCGTCCTTCACCCAGCTGGCCCGTCTGGTCGGGCCCGTGAAGCGTCGAGAGTACTCGATAGCCTCCTGCCAGCGTGTCTCCCCCTCGACGGTCGCCCTCATGGTCGTCGTCGTCGGCTGGGTCGACGGTCGGGGCCGGAGGCGGCAGGGCCAGGCGTCCACCTACCTCAGTGGCCTGAAGCCTGGCAGCCCGGTCACCGTCAGCGTCAAGCCCAGCGTGATGAAGCTGCCGGCCGACGACCCCCAGACACCCCTGATCATGGCCGGCCTGGGGACGGGGCTCGCCCCCTTCCGTGCCTTCGTCCAGCATCGTGCCCTGCAAAAGGCAGAGGGCAAGGAGATCGGCCCCGTCCTGCTCTACATCGGATCCCGCCACCAACGAGAGGAGTACTGCTACGGCGAGGAGTGGGAGGCCTATGCCGCGGCCGGAGTCATCACCCTGCTGTCCTGTGCCTTCTCCAGGGACCAGCAGCACAAGGTCTACATCCAGGACCGCATGAGACAGACCATGACCGACATCTCACACGCCTATCTCAGCCAGCAGGGGTCATTCTACCTCTGTGGACCGACGTGGCCGGTACCAGACGTCACCGCTGTCCTCGAAGAAGCCATAGCCCTGCACGCCCGCCAGGCAGACAGGAAGGTCGACACTAGAGCAGAGATAGAGCGTCTCAAGGACCAGCACCGTTACGTCCTGGAGGTTTACTAGTTAGCATTCTACTTGAGCCTGGCACCAGACCTTCCCCTTATTCTTCTTCTTCTTCTTCTTTGTAAATAGACTACTCACTAATGGATATCAACACTTCTTGGTCCTCCCGTACGCACCTCCTCGTTCCCGTCGTAGCTCCAGTGCCCGCTTGTACGGTGGTGCCGTCGGTGGCTGCACCGGCTCAAGGCTCACATGGTCCGCCGGCAGCTCATACGACGCATCCGCATCCCATCCGGACAGGTCACCGCACGCTATAAACCGCGGTATCCACCTCGCAGAGGTGGAAGTACCAGAAGTAGCAGAAGCTGTAACACCACAGTAGCCCTCGCACACGACAAAGGCCTCGAGGCTGCTGGCCCGGCTACTCCGCGGCTTGGCCACAGAGACCCGTTCAAACACGCTCTTCAGCTGTGCATATATCACATCCACGTCCCGTCCACGGAAGATCTTGGCCACAAACTTGCCCCCGGGCCGCAGTATCCCCATCGCCAGGTTCAGTGCCGCATACAGCAGCTGGGACTGCACATATATATCCAGATCATGTAGGCCAGTAACGTCCGGCGCGCCGTCAGACAGCACCAGATCGACTTTCTCGACTTTCTCGACATTCTCTCCTCCTCGCACTTCGCTCTCGGGATCCAACGCCTTCAGCAGCAAAGGTATCGTCGACGGATGCGTGATATCAGCCTGTAACGTCGTTATCCCTTCCAACGGAGCCATAGGCTGCAAGTCCACAGACACAATCTTCACTTCTCTCCGAGGCATCAGTCCTCCTCCTCCCGTCACTTCTCCCTCTACCCCCGCATCTGCCAGCTTCCTCGCCTCCTCCCAGGCCCGCCGGCCAAAGCTCTCCCCCTGAATCAGCACGCGGCTGAGAACCTGGCTCCAACTTCCCGGTGCAGCACATAGATCCACCACGCGCCTCACGCTGTCTGGATTCGAGTGCGCGAACAGGTCGAACTCCTCGTCGAGTTGTATCAGCTTAAAGGCAGAACGAGCCCGCCAGTTTTGCTCCTTGGCAAGGCGGTAGTATGCGTCACGCTTGTCTTTTGAAGATTTTCCCATGTTTCGCTCGTGAGATATCTTTGCCTTTTGGTAACTTCAATATTGAATAAAATATATCTTCTGTTCGAGTAGAAATACTAAGCTAGAAGGCAGTAAGTCTTTTAGTGTGTCGTCTGGGAAAAAAAAAATTGTGGATGTGGGATGAAAATTTAAGGTTCATCAGATAAGATAAGATCCTTGGCGAAGGTCGAACTTTTTTTTTCTCTTTTGCGCGTTTCAACGACAGCAAATATTGCTGCATATTATAACATAATATCATCATATTGACAACTTGACCATGACGCAGAAGCGCTACCGCAAGACAAAACAACTAGACCCACCCAAGAAGAGGGTCAAGGTCAGCCAGGCTGAAACATCCCCGACTGAAGAAGTGGTCAACATCGACGCCTTGGACTGGCAGACAGTCCAGCCGCCGGACATCCTCGAAGACGCAGAGGGGTTCTATGGCCTCGAGGAAATAGACGGTGTGGATATCGTCAGGCCCACGGACGGATCACAGTTGAAGTTCTTGGTAGGAATTGAATTGACCCTTAAACTATAAGTCTCCAGGCTAATTGGATCCGTGTGTACAGGCTGCGAAGAGCAGTATTAAGAAAGTGGATGTCGACAACAGCAGCGAATCGCCGGATGACTATGATGATGACGAAGAGTGGGAGGGCTTCAGCGATGCCGAGCCGGTGGAAGCAACTGAATCAGCACCAGTGACCATAGCGGGCGCGAGTAAAACTACAGACAAGAAGAGGAAAGAGAAGGAGCAGAAGAAGGAAAAGGCGAAGAAACAAGATAACGACAAGGTCCAGCCAAGTATACCGTTCAACGTCTTAGCCGATGAAGAGGAGGAAGAGGTCGACGTATCTGCCTGGGACGGCCTGGACCTGCGCCCCGAGCTACAGACCAGCCTCTCGCGCCTTAAATTCTCAAAACCAACGCCGATCCAGACAGCTGCCATCCCAGATATCCTAGCAGGTCGCGATGTGATTGGTAAAGCTGCCACTGGTTCAGGCAAAACCCTCGCCTTTGGACTGCCTATTCTACAATACTTACTTAACAACAACAACAAACACGGTCAGGGTGGCATAAAGTCTTCGTCAAAGGAGAAGAAGCCTATTGCATTGATCCTCTCGCCAACCCGAGAACTAGCACATCAGCTGGTCAAACACTTGAAGGAAGTTACTAGCTCTGCTCCTAATGTTGATGCATACATTGCTTCTGTCACGGGTGGACTGTCAATGCATAAACAGCAACGACAGCTACTTGACGCTGATATCATTGTTGGAACGCCAGGCCGGCTATGGGACATGGTCAGCTCAACTCCAAAGATACTCACCAAGCTACGGGGTATCAAGTTTCTCGTTGTCGACGAGGCCGATCGACTATTAAGCGAGGGACATTTCAAGGAATTGGGCGAGTTACTCTCTGCCCTCGACAAGGCGAAAACGTCAGATGATGTACATGGAAATGAGGATGAGGAAGATGAACCTGTTGAAAGGCAAACGCTGGTCTTTTCCGCGACCTTCCAGAAGGGCTTGCAGCAGAAGTTGGCGAAACGCGACAAATCTTTCCATGACAACCTCCTTGACAAGAAAGAATCGATGGAATACCTCCTCAAAAAACTCAATTTTAAGGACGAAAAGCCTCGCTTCGTTGATGTAAACCCCGTATCCCAAATGGCGGATAATCTCAAGGAGGGCATCATCGAGTGTTCTGCCATGGAAAAGGTATGTCTCTATACATCCAATTTTTAACATGCATGCTAACATAATAAATCTAGGATCTATATCTCTACGCGGTGCTACTTTTCTATCCCAAGCACCGCACTCTAGTCTTCACAAACTCCATCTCCTCTGTCAGAAGACTGACGCAGTTCCTACAGAATCTTGGCCTCCCAGCTCTATCCCTTCATTCATCTATGGCTCAAAAAGCCCGGCTCAGATCAGTTGAGCGCTTTTCCTCCCCAACCACTGACCCTTCGCCTATCCTCATTGCCACAGATGTCGCTGCAAGAGGCCTGGACATGCAAGGAATCGACCTTGTAATTCACTACCACGTCCCTCGGGCCGCAGATACGTACATCCATCGATCAGGGCGTACAGCCCGTGCATCTGCCTCAGGTAAATCTATCCTGATCTGTTCCGCAGAAGAAATAGCAGGCGTCACCAGGCTCGTTGCCAAGGTGCACCATTCACACAAGCGGAAATCTTCTGCAAAGGATGCACAGCTGCACTCCATCCATCTGGATCGGGGTATCGTGACCAGACTCCGCCCTCGAGCAAGCCTGTCAAAGAAGATAACAGAATGCGTCCTCGCGAAGGAAAAAGTGTCTTCGGAAAGTGACTGGCTACGTTCCGCCGCTGAAGATCTAGGCGTAGACTACGACAGCGAAGAGTTTGCCGAACAAGAGTCCAAAAACCGAGGACGGGGCAGAGGGGGTGGTCGTCAGGCCAAGGAGAGGGAAGCCAGCAGCGTTTCCAAGGTTGAGCTAGCGAAACTTAGGGCACAGTTACGTGACTTACTCTCCAAGAGGGTCAATTTGGGGGTGAGTGAGAGGTATCTAACATCTGGAAGGGTTGATATCAACGCTCTTCTAAAGAGCGAAGGAAATCCCGCGTTTCTTGGACATATGGAGAACTTAGATTTTTAGATTGATATCACACTACACTTGGAGAAAAAGAGTGATTAGATGTTATTATTTTTATCACATGGATACTACGCATGCCTGCTGCCAATATTGGCTGATTGCCCATAAACCACGGGATCTTATTAAGAGCTTTTGCAATATAATACCGTTGTGTACCGAGAAGAAACTACTAAAATGGAGAGAAGGGAATTAGAAAACCGTTCGTCATTATTATTATTATTATTTCTACTTTAATTATTATATTTTTCCTGGGCGGCAACTGCACCAAATTCAAGGGGGCGCAGACGACTGGCGTTGTGAACTTGATGATTGACATGAGTTCAACCAACAGTATATCTGGTCACAGTGAATTTATAAGGGGCAGTTTAAATGATAAATTATTCAGTATTTAATGAAGTATTAAAGGTTAGAAGCTCCTCAAAAGAAACTGGGATATAAGCATGCGGCTCTTTGTGGGGCACAAACTCTAGTTAACTAACTACTTAACTAACTAGTTAGTTAACTAAGTGTCAAAAATATAACAAGTCTCTCTGCCGCCAATTAGTGCGGGCTCGCCTTTTTGGCCGAATGGCATATTTGACACTAAGTTAACGGAATAACAAATATCTGAAAATGGCTGGCCTCGACCTTAGAAGTAACCCTCGCAAAAGAAAATATGCCAATGATCAAGAGAACGATCCTGCTGTAACAGTATTAACAGAAAACCGTATATACCGACTGAAAACTTATAACTAAATCACTGACAGGAGAAATTATCTATCAAGATGCGGGAACCTGCTGGCAAAATGATATGACCATGGAAACCACTCATTATACCCGTATCATGGTCCGAGAATCGTGAGACCCTTCATTACTCTGGCAACCCACTAGCTACCTTTAGATAGGGGGCTGGTGGGTGCTGAACTCTGGATGCCGATGCAGACATAATACTGCACCCAAAGGCTGCTGCAGGTGTTTCCCACTGTTGGGTTCCAGGCGTAGAAGTTATCCAGAGAGATACCAGCCGCATTGGATATATCAAAACATGAGTCCCCACTGACAACCTGGTGGAACTTGTTGCAGTTGGCCACCATGCCAGGTTGGGTGGGAGTTGGTGTAGCAATGCCATTACCAGTCGGAGTTGTGGTGCTCGTAACAAAAGTTGTTTTCGTAGGGGTTGATTTGGTGGTCCCAACACAGACGTAGAAGTCCGGCCAGAGAGTGCTGCATGTATCGCCCACCGCAGGGTTCCAAGAGTAGAAATCGGGGAGGGTAATACCATTAGCAGCAGCAATGTTGTAGCAGTTATCTCCACTGACAACTTTATAGAATTTGTTGCAGCCGCTTACCATGCCGCTCTGAGTGGGTGTTGGAGTGGTAATGCCAGTAGGAGATGTAGTCACTGTCGGCATGTGAGACGTTGTAGTTGGCGGTCCTGTGCTCAGGAAGGTCATGGATACATAGTTCACTTGCACGCAATAATAAAGGCCTTGAATGAGATTACACCCCGAGCCTAGCTGTGTGACGCTGGGATTCTGCTTACAGTCAGCAAAACCAATGTTGTGTCGAGAAGCGAAAGTAACCGGTGATAGACTTACCCATTTTTCAAATTGAGCCGCACTCATACCGTAGAATTGTTTAATAATGGCGCATGTCAGCCCATAGGACTGCTGAACCCAATCTGTGCATTCTACGGTAGCCCCGGGGGCAGGTGTTCCAGGGGGCGACACTAGGTAGGAAGCCGCCTGGCGGAAAATTAGAGAAGTGAAAAATAAGGTAAAGAGTCTCATAATTCTGGTATATAGGCTGCTCGAGCAAGTAAATAAAGGCCCTGACCTGGATGTGATGCTCAAATCGCCTGCAAAAGCTGACTACCGAGTTTTGGTTTATATATATGTATTCCCTGAGAGAGTCATTATGCGCATATTATATATTTCTTTCCTTCAACCCATGACAAGATTGAATGCATTGTGATGGCTATATAATCACAGCATCCATTCATCCTAGAGAGTGGTTTAAACGAATCAGTCTAAAAAATGCAACCGAACATATGTTCCACATGGTTGATGGTTGGAACCGGCCATCGCTTTTTGCCCCCCGCTACTATTATGTGGAGGCTCTTGATATGTCTGATTTTTAATTCTACATCATCTAGCCCACCTGCCTACCATCCCCGATATTGATCCTACATCATCTAGATTGCGACATCCCAGCAGCTGATGACTAGGGTTATTTTATTAGCCTATGGTTGCCTCACTTTGAATGTATATACTGTGTACCATGCAACCAGAAAATTGAATCCCTAGCACCCCAAATGTTTCTATATTTCGTTGTTTCATGAGCGGCAAACCGGCACCGTAAACCCCATACATGGTATCGGTATATACGTATCTGGTGTTGGCTTCCTTCGTACCCTAGCGCCGGAATACCGGTCATTTCGAGTACAATACTCTTAATACCCTGTGCTAATAGCGATCATGGAGTGATAGGTGATCATCTAGAATATTAAGATGAGAGTAAAATGAAATGACTAGGAGGTAGCAATGCCATACCGTGGCTAGTCAGATCTTGTTGCTAGTTAAGACTCGATCAAAGGCTTGGTTAAGGTTACCGTCGTTTATCACATAAACCCTCATGGATATCATCAGTTCCTTGTTCTCTCGTTTCTTTCATCCTACTATGTACGTAAATATAATCCCCCCAATCCTTGGGTAGACCCCTGCCCCTGCAGCCTTGTCCCTGTAACTTTATCCCTGCAACCTTATCCCTGCAACCTTAACTTTGTAACCAGACTCCATCGACTTCCAATACGAAAACAACCACATTATCGTTTATTAGTATACATGACAATTATCGCCCTCGTTGGCCAATGATGACAACGACTATGTAGTAAGTCATATCTGTCACATTTTTCTGCCGTTTTCATCTTGTTCAACCCTTTCACCAGTTGCACCTTCTACCATCCCATCCTTCAAAATGAAACGATTTTCGCTGATACTGCTACTGCTTTGGTCTATTACTGCTGCTGTAGCCGGCCCACTGGGGAAATATGGTCCCTATGATGAAACTACCGACTCTTTGAACCATACCCTCTGGCCCGGAGTTCGAATAGGAGGCGATGGCAGCAGTTCCCAATCGCTGAAGATATCAGATCTCTTTCTAGAAGCAGACAGCAACTTTAAAGGAGGTTGTGCTTCCAAATTGTCCGTACTCGACACATGGTTAAAAGAGGCCATACAGCTCCACAATGCCTTAATAAAGGCATACAGCGAATACAAAACAAATCGGGAGTCCTTGATAATTTGGGTAGAGTTCTTTGGTATCCGAGCTAACAGAGATATGTCCATCTACGAAGATGACGAGCCACTCTGGAAAACCATTGGAGGTACTAAGCTGCTTATCTCACCTTTTTTTTTTACATTTCCGTTAATTGTCTAGTTGAACAGACCACATCTCACGCGTCTCCGAATTTCTTGCGGGGGCGGGTCTACGGAATCCTGTGAAGCCAGGAGAGAAGCCTCGCATCTTTTGCTCGGAAGATGCGGGTGAATATGCCCCATGGGATCAACCCATCAAGGACGAGAATGGAAAAGAAATACCTTATGCAAAAGATGAGAACACCGGAGAGGTAACTAAATATTGGACAGTTGGCGAAGTTTTCGTGATACAAAAGAATAAGTACGCTGATGCGGCAGCCTACTGGATGAGATCATATAACGGTTACGCCTTCGTTAGGGGTGCGCTCTGCACGAAGACTGAAAATAAAATGGATTACGCCAAAACCTCCGCCATCCCCCCTATACCTTATACCGAAGGCGAAGAGCTATACTTTGGCAAAGCCAATAGGTATATCTTGTTTTGCCCGCTTGCCTTTGATGCACCGTCAGGCAAACCGCATTCCTTGTCATCTCTTGCGGATGCCGCATCGTCCGCCAACTACCCCTCAGGCGCAGGAACTCCCAAGTTGGATGGAATATTGCCTCGTAGCGCTACACTCTATCATGAGCTGTATCATCTGACGGATAATGGGGATACGTCAGATCCTTATTGTATGTCATGTTATTTCTTCATCTTGCTCTTTTGGTGCTTGTTCTTGGTTTTCCTGGTTTTCAACCCATATCATAAAACTATCCCTTGCTAATGCTTTATTCTATGTTATAGATATGTTAGATTCCCTCTTACGGGCCGCACAAGCCAGATTAGTGCCGAGCCCCAGCAGCGAAACTGAAAAAATCGCGAAAAACCCCGAGACCTATGCCTTTGCTGCGATGGCCGCGTACATGAACCAAAATCCACCCGAAGGCCACGATCGCATCATTTATATTGGCGGCCTCCCATTCAAACCTGAAGCAATCTTTAAATCCTAGCTTGTCCTGAAGTAGAATTCAAGGCTTCCAATAGACCAAGGGACGATTTGGGTTGATAACTGCACATGAACCTGTATTTGAGACGCCAAAGTGGATTTTATAAGCTGAACTCATATCTCATTCATTATTTAGTATTTCTTCCTTCAATATATGTATCATGAACGGCAGTCTTTTTTGTACTTACGAGCTTTAACCGCTCTACTACTATTTCCTAAACTCTCAGTAGCGCGATACTTCAACCAAACATACAGTCAAATGAGTATAACACCCTAGAGAGCGACTGCCCTTCCGCCAGCTACCTGCGTTGCCAATGGAACTACCTCTTACCCTACACCCTGCAGTTTACGTTACGTACATACATCACATGCATATGTAGCCGCAGGCCCTGTTGATCCTGCGGTTGCAATGTTTGCCATGACATTATCCAATAGGAAGCATTGGATATGAACTTGTTAAATAAAATGGTGAACCAGATGAGATGGTCGTATTGACGATGATAACTGAAGTGGACGTTGAGTTCGTCGGTGGATGACTAAAGAACTGCTTTGGCCAATAATATCAAAGATCGAGAGAAGAGATGGACTCACTAGTTATAATCCGTCATAACGTTTAAGGTCCCCGAACCTTCCTTGGACCACAATATCCCAAAGGAACTGACACTGTCTAATGGAACAACAGCAGAACAGCGGATCTATGCTATCACAAAAGGCGAAAGTAGTCCTAATGCCGATGGTAAAGCTGTTTAAAGGCGCAGACCTACTGGGGGGTCTAGTCGATACGGCCGAAGTGGTACCAAAAGTTGATCCATGCAGCGGGATTTGTATCTCACCTCAGCTTGATATCGGTTTTTCTTCTGCTGCAGGCATCAATCAACCATCTTATGCTCGCTATATTAGCCTGCTTCCTTCGTCGTATAAGCACCCTGTCCCTGTATTCTAGATACCCCATGGCTCATTATGCAGTTGCAAGGGATAATGCTGAGGGGATATCCAGACATGCTTGAACCAACACGTTGATGACCACATGGGCTTTAGTTTCTCGCTCAATTCCCTGTCTTGGAGATGACTGCAACCTCAGTCGGCACAACCTCCTCGTTCGGTGTATTTTATGCGTGTGCATGGTTCTTCTGGTACTGCTGAATCACATAGTATATGTATTTTTCGGATAAGTTCTCCGGGAATTATAACCATGGAAAAAGTGCGGTCTCGCTAATGAGTAATATCTTCCAGTTTGGGATCCCATCGGCATGTATTTGACAAGCAGAAATCCCCTCGGCCTTTCGCTAGAAAGGAAAACCACAAACGCAGCCAGTGACTTGCTCTTCTAGGCTTTTTCTCTGCCTCCTATGCCCAACCTCAAAATTAGTGCCGGATAGGTTATCTCTCTAGCGCGTCCTTTGTCCATTTATATGGCCACTCCTTTACTATCTTCTACCGAATTATGTTAACATTCATCATGAGATACCCTACATTAGCGTTCGCCGTCTCTCTGGCTATTGCCTGGTCTCTTCCAGGGGCACTAGCAATTGATTCCAATGCTGCCGAAGCCAGAGAAGCGGCGAGCTCATACCTGGCCTCTCTTTCGATTGCTAAAACCCATAGTGCCTCTTTTGCCGAACCAACAGACCTGGCCAGTGCTCGTGCCGCCGTCGTAGCCGGAGGTTACTCCTCCAAGCTATACATTGAGATAATGAATCGTTGTCCAACAAGTTGCAGCAGCGCTGGCATGAACACCAGTTCTTGGTATACATACCATGATATCGACCGTATTAAAGCGTGCAACAAGACT